TGTCTCTTTCATCCTAACCCTGAGATTATATTCAAGGCTCTTTAGGAGAATGAGACCCATCATTGTTACTGGTATTTGGCATATTTGGTACACCACGGGGAGTTTGCCAGACTCTGCCCTGTGGGCAGGTTACATTCATAGCCTGCAAGTTTGTCCAAAGTAGGAATGAGATAATAAGATGTCATAAAAAGATGTCCTGATAAGAGGTTCCGGGAGCTGGATTTTATAGTCTCTGAGTCTTGGCCGCTGATGGGATTACACGGCGCCAGGGGGCTAGGTGGTGGATGTGACCCCCCCCCCCCCCTACTGGAATTTGGAGGATCTGGGTGGAGGATGCTCGACTCCAATCCGAGTAGGCTGGGAGATCTCGGCCCCGGAACCCGCGTGACTTTGTCCCTCTGCCAGTGCCTTCATGTGTGCGGAGAATGGTCCTGGAGGTCTTCGACTGCCGGAGCCCTGGTCGGGGCGGGGAAGAAAGCTCAACCCGCTCCCCTCCAATGTTTTAATTTGCATATGCCTGATAATGGGCTGGAGCGATAGCTCAGTGGTAGGGCGTTTGCCTTGTGCGCAGCCGACTCGACCCACCCGGGTTCAATTCCTCCGCCCCTCTCAGAGAGCCTGGCAAGCTACTGAGAATATCTCACCCGCACGGCAAAGCTTGGCAAGCTACCCGTGATGTATTCGATCATGGTAAACACAGTAACAACAAGTCTCGTGATGAAGACCGTTACTGGGCCCGCTCGAGCAAATCGATGAACAGTGATTGATTGATACCTGATAATAGAATTATACAGAGCATTTTTCATATGCTTAATGACCCTTTTTGAGAAAGTGTCTGCTCATTTTGTCTCAATATTCTTTGGTGCATTTTTTGGTTAAGTTTTACAAGTGCTTTATATATTTTTAATGAAAAATTTATTTGTGTTTGTTAAGGGACTACAATATTGTTAATGATGGTTTCCCACGTACATAATTTCAACACCACACTGGTTACCAATGTGCCCACTTTCCTCCCCCAAAGAGCCCAGTGCCCCCCCCCAACCCCTTTCTCCCCCACAAACTCGGTTTTTTGGATTTGTGTTGCCTTTGATTCTTTGGTTGCTGCTTTGATGTACCTCTTTAAGTTGCATATATGAGAAAGATCATTCTGTATTTATTCCTTTCCTTCTGACTTAGCACAATATCCTCTAGTTCCTGCCACATCGAGGCAAGTTGCATTATACTTTTCTCTCTCTTAGAATTGCACAGTATTTCATTGTGGTGTGTGTGTGTGTGTGTGTGTATACATATATATATGAAAGATCTCACAACTTCTAGATTCATTCATCTGTCATAGAGGTAAAGGTAAAGGCCCTCCCGTTGATCGTCGATTTGCTCGAGCGGGCCCAGTAACGTCTCCATTGGAGACTTTGTTGTTACTGTGTCTGGCATATCGACTATGTCACGGGGAGCTTGCCAGGCTCTGCCGTGCAGGCGAGATACTCTCGGTAGCTTGCCGGGCTCTCCGAGAGGGGCGGAGGAATCGAACTCGGGTTGGCCATGTTGGCCGCTTGTAAGGCGGCATTTTCCTTATTTCCATATTTTGGCTATCATACTTTTACATATCTTGGATATTAACCGCTTAGTGGATGAGCGGTAAGCAAATATCTTTTCCCAGTCATGGGTGTTTCTGACATTTTATAGATTCAAATAGCACAGGGAAAGTAAGCATATGATTATAATTTTACCATAAAGCATAACTAGTTTTACTTTGATATTCTTGCATGTCCTCCTCTGTTTTAAGTTTCTCTATAATCATCATATTCTCTTTCTTTTGAATAGTTTTTGAGTAATTAAAACAATTATTTACAATGTTGTTCCCAGGGCAGTGGAACTTAATACTTATTTGGGATGTGGGGATTTTCCACTTCTCTAAGTATCTTGGAATTTCTCTCCCAGTCCAGAATTAGGTCTTAGAAACTGTACCACACAGTGGGTATAAAGTAGTTATGGTTCTAAGAGATACTTTCTAGGCCCTGAAACTAGAGATCTAAAGATTTAGATAGACAGATAAAAGATTCCCTACTATGATATTTAAGACTTGTTTCAAATGAGGATCCAATTTTCTAAATACAACAGTTTCACAATCATCATTGATAAGATTCCCTATTGATTAATGTGTTTTATTTATCTGTAAGGTAAGGTAAGGTAAAAGCCCTCCCGTTGATCGTCGATTTGCTCGAGCGGGCCCAGTAACGTCTCCATTGGAGACTTTGTTGTTACTGTGTCTGGCATATCGATATGTCGATTTATCTGTAGTATTGCAATATTTCTGATCTATTATTGAGATTTTTCTGAAAATAGTTTAGGATAGTTCAATTTGGTGGTTTTCAAAATGTGGTTCCCAGACTGCAGAATTAGCATGATCTAGGAATTTGTGAGGAATAAAAATATTTGGGATCTACCGCAAATTAATTAAATCAGAAGCTGTAGGCTGTGAGTCTCAGCAACCTGTAGGTTAACAAGCCCCCCTGGTGATTCTGAACCATGCCAAAATTTGATTCAACATAATTATTTTGCGGATTTGAATACTAAGGGCCAGATGTAAGAGACTAGATCTACAATATATGCATACTTTTCAATCCATCCAGTTTATATATGCTCATATAAAAATTAATAATTTAATAAAGCTATTTAATTTATAGCTTTATTTACTCCTTTTTAATTTTAATTGAATTATGCTGACATGGGCTGGAGTGATAGCCTAGCGGTAGGGTTTTTGCCTTGCACGTGGCCGGCCCGACTGACCCGGGTTCGATTCCTCCTCCCCTCTCAGAGAGCCTGGCAAGCTACCGAGAGTATCTTGCCCGCATGGTAAAGCCTGGCAAGCTCCCCGTGATGTATTTGATATGCCAAACACAGTAACAACAAGTCTCATGATGAAGACGTTATTGGGCCCCCCTGAGCAAATCGATGAACAACAGGAGAACAGTGCTACAGTGCTATTATTGTGTTAAATTAGGAAGGGCAATTGTTAAATTAGGAAGGGCAATTTTACATATACAATATTTCCTAGAGATTATTTTCTGCGTTCTTAAAAATGAAAGATAGTAACACAGGAACACGTATGTTCTGAAAATTGAAATGATACATGGTATTTAAAGGAGAAGGGATTAGATACATAGTTTGGGGTTGAGGCGTGTGCTGAACCAGAGGCAGACCCAGGTTCAAGTGCCCAGCACTGCCCAATCACCCCAGGAGTCATCCTTAGCATAAAGCCAGACAAAAAGGCAGGTGCCATGATTCTTCCTAGAAACTTCATTTTACACTCTCAGTTTTATGGTCAGGACACGGAATATTTAGGTGAAATCACACATGCAACGTTCTGTAGCCTGTGCAGCAGGGTGCTCTAAGGACTTTGCACGCCAGAGCGCTTAGCCTTTTCATAGATCAGCTTCTGCCTCGCCTTTCCAAGCAATTTTGGCCAAACTTCTTTCTCAGACTCTTCATCTTCAGCCCTGCAAAATTCCTTCGCTCTTTTCCCTCCAGGGAACACCAGGAACCTTCTTTTCCTTCTCATCTGCTCCCTCCTGGGTCCCAGCGGGGCAAGGGTCGTGCAGGCTGGATTTCTGCAGGGAGAGGCGCGCCCAGATACTGGCCTCTCGCTCAAAGAAGTCTTTTGTCCTTTGTTTGTTCTCCCCAGCTGGAAAGAAAAACTAGGACCTGCAATCTACCTGAACCCGAGAGTTTGTCGGTGGAAATCTACCCTCGCGGCTCCATTCTTTCAAAAGGCCGTTTTCTTTCCTGGTACCGATCGCATTTTGGTCAAACCAGCAGCATCCGCGGGAACACATGCTGGACACTCTCTTAGGCGGCCACTTTATGTCCCCTTCTTATTTCTGCCTTTAACAAGGGAGGGAGAGGGGGGGCTGGAGCGATAGCACAGCGGTGAGGGCGTTTGCCTTGCACCCGGCCGACCCGGGTTCGATTCCCAGCATCCCATCTGGTCCCCTGAGCACCGCCCAGGAGTGATTCCTGAGTGCAGAGCCAGGAGTAATAATCCCCGAGCATCGCCAGGTGTGATGAAAAGCAAAAAAATAAAATAAAATAAAAGGGGGGTGCAAACCCCCTTCTCCACCCTCCCCCCCATCCAGAAGCACCTGCCTTCTGTTTTGGGGGGACTCGCGACAGAGCCGGGGGGAGTCTGAATGAACATCGCCCCCAAAGGTGTGCTATTTCGGCGCCCCGGGGCCTCCGAATCCCGACTGGCCGCGGGTGCGGGGCGGAGCTGGGGCCGCAGGTGGCGGGCGCGGGCGGCGGGGCCCGGGCCGAGTACGTGGCACCAGCCGAGGGCGCCGGGGGAGGGGCTGGGCTTTCTCCCGCCACGCAGAACCTCGGCACGCCCCGCTGCGCGGAGGAGGGGCTCCCGCGCGCTCGGGCTACCCTCGCCCCGGAGCCGGGCCCGGGTCCGAGCCCGCCAAGCTCCCAGCCGCACGGCCGGCCCAGCCCGCGGACCCCCAGACCCGCTTTAGGCCCGGCCGGCGGGGGCGCGGGACGCCTGCGCAGAGGGAGGCGCGGGCTCGTGGACTACAAGTCCCAGCAGCCCTCGCGGGAGCCGAGCCCGCCGCCATCTTGAAATCTGAGCTCCCAGCCCGGGGCCTTTGCGTCAGCAGCCGGCGGCGGCCGCTCGGGTCCCGCGGAGCCCGGGCGCTTCCAGGGAGGGCACCGAGGACGCGGCGGCCGGCAAGCCGGACAGCTGCAGCGGGGGCTGGCGAGTCCTGCGAGTCCCGGCCCGCCTGGCTGTCACTCGGCATCCCCGCCGGGCGTTTCTATGCCCGCGCCCTCCCTGCTCCGAGGGGCGGGGCGGGCCACTCCGGTACCCAGCGCCCGCGCGCTGCCCCCGGGGCTGCGCCCTGCGCCCGGGGGACCCCGCCGGGTCGCGCCGCGCCGGAGCCGCCGACTTGGGGGCGGGCGTGCATGCAGGAGCTGAGGGCCGGAGCCCCCGGGTCCTCCGCTCTGCTGCGGCGCTGCCCCCCGGGAGGGGGCCGGGAAGATGAAGGAGATCTGCAGGATCTGCGCCCGGGAACTGTGCGGTAACCAGCGGCGCTGGATCTTCCACACGGCGTCCAAACTCAACCTGCAGGTCCTGCTCTCGCACGTCCTGGGCAAGGATCTGCCCCGCGATGGCAAAGGCGAGTTCGCGTGCAGCAAGTGCGCGTTCATGCTGGACCGCATCTATCGCTTCGACACGGTCATCGCCCGCATCGAAGCGCTCTCGATCGAGCGCCTGCAGAAGCTGCTGCTGGAGAAGGACCGGCTCAAGTTCTGCATCGCCAGCATGTACCGCAAGAACAACGAGGGCCCCGGCCCCGAGGCCAAGGCGGGCCCCGGCACGGTGGACATCTCCGGCCTGCCCGACGCCCGGTACTCTGCCCTGCTGCAGGAGGACTTCGCGTATTCCGGGTTCGAGTGTTGGGTCGAGAACGAGGACCACGTCCCCGAGCTGCACAGCTGCCACGCCTCGGAGGGCCCCGGCAGCCGACCCAGGAGGTGCCGCGGCTGTGCGGCTCTGCGGGTCGCCGATGCGGACTACGAAGCCATCTGCAAGGTGCCGAGGAAGGTGGCCAGAAGTATTTCCTGCGGCCCTTCCAGCAGGTGGTCCACCAGCATCTGCACGGAGGAGCCGGCCCTCTCCGAGGTCGGGCCGTCGGATCTCCCGGGCACCAAAGCCCCCCCGGATGGAGAAAGCATGGAGGAAGGCACCCCGGGGTCCTCGGTGGAGTCGCTGGATGCGAGTGTCCAGGCCAGCCCCCCGCAGCCGAAGGACGAGGACCCCGAGAGGGGCGCCAAGGAGCTCGCCAAGTGCGACTGCTGGGCAGACGAGCAGGCCCCGCCCCCGGCGTGTGCCCACCGGCTGGAGCTGGCTCTGAGTGTCATTAAGGGTCTCGACTATAAGCCCATCCAGAGCCCCCGGGGGAGCAGGCTCCCCATCCCCGTGAAGTCCAGCTCACCCAGAGCCAGAGCCGGCCAGGTTCTGCCGGACGGAGTTGGTGCCGCGTTCCTGCCCCGGTCTCTGAGACCCCTGTCCAAGTCGCCCGCGAGCTATCCCTTGGAAATTGCAGACCTGCAGGAGCTATGGGATGATCTCTGGGAAGATTATTTGCCACTTCGGTTCCAGGTATACACCAGGGCTCCGTAAGCACCTTTCTGATTCTAGCTAGCCGGCACGCAGACTTCACATGACTCCCGAGTAGGAAATTCAAGTAAGGTTCTAGGCTTGAAAAACAGTGAGCATTGAGCCCATTCTTGCCACAACTGTTGCTGGCATTCCATTAGGAAAGTGGGAATCCCTCTAAAATAGTTTGCGTTTCACAGTCCTGTGCATACCATTTTCTAGTGGCCTTTTTCCATCAGTCACCAAAATTGAAGACATTCAATAAGACATTCAGTAAGATCCTAAACCGCTTTCATCTGGTAAAGAGACAGGTAAAATTCTGCCTTAAGTTTTAACATCTAGTTTTATTTCTGGCGTGCGAACTCTTTCCTCTGACCTCCATTTCCTTGCCTTTCTTTCCCCTGTTATTTTCTGTTTTGTTTTCATTTTCACACGTAGAGAGATTTTCTTCCATTCTGGAAGGGAGTCAGTTTGCTAGTTCTCCAATGCTCCCCTCCACTCTGTAAGCTGTTCATCCCCTAAGCATGGGTCTCACTAATGAAAGCATAGGCTGAAAGATCAGGGGAAACCTACCAATCTGACAGTCTTGTATCATGGGGGCAATATTTATAATCACATAGATATTTGAGAACTAGTGATTTATTCTTAAAAGGCTTGGGAATTAAGATGTTGTCTTTATCATATTAAAACAAAGAAAAAATTCAGAGCCAGCTTTGCCTGCAGAAAAGTGCTATTAGATATCTGATATTATTAGGTGTTTGATAGAGAGGAGAGCTTAGCCGTTATTGGACGGCGTGAGAGTTATACTGTTACTCATCTGTTACACTCTTGGGAATATTGCAGGCATCTCAGTTTGCATTATTCATATCTACCCAGTTGATTTCATACCAGCCTTTTATATTCAGTTATACAGGGACCTGGCAGATGTTATTTTGTTTCTATGGCAACAGGAAGTGCTGGCTTCTCCTTAACTCAGTGAAACACCTGGCATGTTCTACTTGATGCAGATTCCTTATTACGACTAAAGGAAGGAGATGTACAAGGTGCTTCTGGAACCTTGCTGATTGGTCTAAATTATTCCAGAAACTTAGAGCTTGATAGCAAAATTTTCACGTAATATGCTTGATAGGAAACAGACATAACTATGTAATACCTACAATTGTTGATAACTTTTGCATCACAATAAGTGCAAAGTCTGGGAAATTCTTTTAAATTTACTCTGTTTTTAGAAACACCATAGGTGAAAGTGTTATAAAAAAGGATAAATAGATCAAAAATTTTTCAAATGAGTTCACTTGTATAAAATGTTGAGTATTAGTATGCTTAACATTGATATATGTCTTTTCTTTGGTTTCTTTTCCTTTTAATGGGGCTTCATAGCTAAATTTGGGTGTCACAGTATTTTACTTTAGTTTTATTTGTGACACAGACATAAGTGTCACAAATTAAACATGATGTTTTCCTAATCACCAAAAGAAGGCTCGGCAGGGCAGATGAGAAATAAGTCTTACCTTACCCTCCAATCTGGTCAATATTGCAAAGGGTGATATCATGACTTAGAATTTAGATTGAAGTTCTTCATATTTAATTAAAAATTTTGTTTTAAATCTTAAGACTCAATACATTTTGGAGCTGGGAAGGATTTTATTATTTATTTAATTAATTAATTTTTTTTAACCACATCAGGAGCTACTCCTGGCTTGGTACTCGGGGTAATTCCTAGCAGTATCCAGGAGACCATGTAGTGATAGGGACTAAACCCAGACCTCTAACATGCAAAAACATGCCCTCCCAGCTCTTTGAGCTCTCTCTCTCTGCCCCTAAACATCATTCTTTCCATTTATAGGTAATAAAAAAAGCTCACGGTCTATATAACTCAGGCTAGGCAGAGCCAAAGATTTCTAACCATTCTTAGCCAGCATTGATTGTTGTGTGTGAATTAAATATTTATTTTAAATGAAGAGCCTTTAAAAAAAATTACAGATTTCAGTAGGATTCTCTAGCAATTCTGTGAAGAAAATCATCACCCTGATGAGTACATTTGAACTATGGTCATTTTACCTTTAGGTAAAGTCCCTTTCCTCAGTATTTATTTGGATACTAGAAAAATAGATCCTAGAGCAGTAGTGTATCACCTTTCTGCTGACATCTGGTTTATATTCTTTACTGCTTTTAGAATAATAAAATGTGGAGAGAAGAGGAAATAACATTTTGCTTAAAGAATAATGGTGTTTAATTAAGATGTCAATTTCCCAGTAATCCAGTAATGATGAGAAAAGGGAAGATAAATTTGACTCATAGTATTTGTGAATTAAAAAGTGTTTTGGGTCACTGACACTGTTTGTCTGGTTGACTTTTAAGCTCCTTAAGGCTTGTTTTCCTTTATGACAAAACTAAGTGGGACAAAGGCAGACTGGCTTTTGTCTGTTTCCCTGAATGACTATGGAAAGAATAGAAATAAATATAAATTTTGTTGATTTTATTTTGTAGTTTGAAGAAAGAAAAAAAATGAAGGAAAATAAAATTCTTCCAGTTAATTTCTGCCCAAAAATATGAAGAAAAGCTCTTATCATAGATTGTTATGGCAGGTCAATAAGATTCCTTTGTTTCATCCTCTACTTACTCCTCCTCCTCTATGCTGTTAAATATTTGAATTCTACTGGAATTATTTTTCTTGCCTTCATCTTTCCTTTTTATTAACAAAAGCAGCAGCAGTATAATTGCAACTATGCTAATATTTGTAGTATTATTTAAATTGATGTATTTGCTCTCTCTAGAATTTATACCTTAAAAGCAAGTTTGCGCCTTTATCGAAAGGCTTAAAGCCTTATTCTAGTTGATAATTACCTTCTTTATTATTTTGTTCTGCACTAGAAACACTATGGTAAGAGGGCTATGGGCCCTTAGCAAGTGTTAATTCTGCTTCACGTGTCAATTCAATTTTTTCTCTCTAAATTCCAAGAGCAGGAGAGTTGGCTGACAGAAGCCTGCAGTAATCTGTGTGACGCTGGGAAATTTGTTCCTCTCAGAATTGAGCCAGATAATCTAGTTCAGGCCCTTTGGGAGATAAAAGAATTAGATGCTAGTCGAAGATTAGGTCTTTAGTTTTATGCTAGGTTATGGTTCTTGTGTTTCTTCTGGTACTAAGAATACCCTCCCAGGGTGGGAGAAGCATGCTAAAAGTAGTCTATAGACCAAACATGATTGCCACTCAATGCCTCTCTTGCAAAGCACAGTACCCAAAAGAAGAGAGAGAGAACAAGGGGGAATGCCCTGCCACAGCGGCAGGGTGGGACAGGGCAGATGGGGGGGTGGGAGGGATGCTGGGACCCGTGGGGGGGGAGGATGGGCACTGGTGGAGGGATGGGTACTTGATCATTGTATAACTGAAACCCAACCACAAAAATTTATAAGTTTATAACTGTACCTCATGGTGTTTCACTAATAAAAAAAAAAAGAATAGGGCAGAGGGTCCTGAGGGATAGTCCAGTGAGGGGAGAGTGCTTGCGTTGCCTGGCTGACCCACATATCATCCCAGGAGTCCCTCCAGGAGTGACCCCTGAGTGCTGAGCCAGCACTCAGTCCTAAGTTCCACTGACTGTGACCCCCAAAAGAAACAGAATGAAGACTGGATAGAAAACGGCAGCTGGTTGAGATTATGTGACTTGCTATTGGAAGGATTAGAAGAATGCCCTTAATCCAAGAAGATCTAGCTCATTGCCTTTTAGCTTAAAGGTCTTACATATGAAAAATTAATCTTAGAAGCCTAATTCTCTTTTCTGTGGCTGGGAAGCCATTCTTCTATCAAAAGTGACGCAGTTAAAAATTTTATTATTCCAACAGGGTTTTATGGTGTAATCATGTCATGTCAACTAAATCTAGTAATCATTTCAGCCTGTGAGAACCCTTCAGGGAAATGCTTGGGTTTGTACCCGATGCGTCATAAGAATTCTTTTTGAGTTGTAGACTTAGTCAGATTTTGCTAAGTGTTCTTTTGGCAGGCAGCTATCTGAAAGAACGTTTTTCTGAGATGTAAAATAACAAGGAGCAAACGCTTCTCAGCTTTTAGATAAACCTTATGTATACAGGATTAGTGGTTTCCTATGATTCATCAAACCAAGATGGGCACAGATGAAATGTAACGTATGTAGCTTCTCTTTGCATTCTTTGATTTTAGAGCTGACGTTGAAATACGTTATAAATATTTGACTATTATCTGGCTTATTTTGAAGACGGTGAGAATTAAGAGAGTGTTCTGAGAATTAGGAGACAGACATATTTTTGGTTTTTATTGTTCTTGTTCACTCATTGAACAAAATTTCGCTCCCTACAATAGTTTAGACTTAGTGGCAGGTTTATGGTGATAAAATAAAAGTAAAATTACCAACTTAAGATTTTGTTAGAAATTTTTGGATCTTTCGTGTAACTTTTGACAGATCACTTCTCTATCATAAGGTTTGACAAATTATTACCTCTAAGATTCTTTGGTTTAAAGTGGATAAATATAACTGTCTGCATTCCTGCTTCCAACTTAAAGCACCTTTCTGTTTAATTTGCTTCTTATAATTTACATTTTTTTTTTTGCTTATTTTTTTATTTTGTTTTGTTTGGGGCCACAGCTGGAGGTGGAAAATGCAGTTCTAGATATGCTTTTCTCTTTCCCAGGCTTTTCAGTTAGCTTTTCTCTCTCCCAAATTGTTCTTCTAGTTTGCTGGACTGATTCCTGGCCCTTCAACTATCCATTTAAGTTCCGTCTCATAGAGACCTTTTGTCCCTCAGCCATCTTAAGAGCAATTTAGCCACTTTAATCATGTTTTCTTATTTTGATGCTTCTGACTTGCCACTATTTGATATTTCATTTTTTTAATTATACATATAATTCCCTGTTTCAGACCCCACAAGACTTTTTAATATTATGAATACTAAAACACCTGAATAGGTGTTAGAAAAATTGATAAATAAGCCCAAAGAAATAGGGACTTTCCTTTTGAAATCTTTTCTATTTCCTGTCAGTTGCTGGTGGGCATGAATCTACTGTAAGATGTAATGGCACTGCCTTGAAGTTGGCCATCAGAGTTTGAAAGTGTGAGGACAGGGAAAAATGAATAGCATTTGCTTTTTTCTCCTCTTGTAATGAATTTACATGATTTTAATTGGAATGAGTTAAGAGTAGTGGGTACTGCATTCCTTAGGTTTTATTTTAGTACCCTTGTCACATAATAAATGTTAAATTTATTAACTCATCTTATTCTGATGGATTATTTATATGTGAATATTGTGGGTTTTTTCTTCTGAATCTTTTTGTCTAATTGACATACCCCTAAAGCATTCTTTCCAGGGGCTGGAGAGATAGCACAGCGGGTAGGGCATTTGCCTTGCACGCGGCCAACCCGGGTTCGATTCCCAGCATCCCATATGGTCCCCTGAGCACTGCCAGGAGTAACTCCTGAGTGCAGAGCCAGGAGTAACCCCTGTGCATCGCCGGGTGTGAACCAAAAAGCAGAAAGAAAAAAAAAAAGCAATCTTTCCAGATCACTGTGGCACTCTCTTCCAAGATCATAGTGAATTTTTTATTATTCATTAATTTTTGTTTTATTTTTTATTTTACTTAATTTAAGTGACTAATTTCAAACTTATTGGGATGCCCTAAGTATAAAGAACTACCAGATTCACTAGTTGCTGATATTTTACTACATTTGTTTTTTTTATTATTATTAGTGAAACACCACTAATAAAGTGTTTGTCACTTCCTCTTGCTAAACACTGATTCCAAAACTGTATGAGAATTAGTGCTAGATAATAAGCATGTCTATAACAAACACTTGAGTATGTATTTCCTAAAGACAAAGATACTTTTTATACAGCATTTAATATTGACAAAATGTTATGTCTAAATATATATAGTCCATGTTCCAAACCGGCCAATTTTTCCAGTGATGTGAATAGACATTTGATAAGAAAGATAATTGGAATATTTTTTCCTCTTTTAGGGATAGTATAAGTTTAAATTTCATAATAAAAAAATAGGATGGATTTAATATTTGATGATTATAGCCATTTCCTTTTTTAATCCTCATCTTCCGTTAATACTAAATGATTTGTTTTCATTGAGTATAGAATGTTTGTGGACATTCATAGAGTTTATCCTGTATATTTGTTGGCGGGGAGCAGAGCAGGATAAGGAAGATGGAAGTGGCTTAAGAGTCTCCATAAGGAACTGGGCTGTCTTTAAGAATTCATACTGACAATCCTTGCAACAACTTTGGCTTCCTAAGTTGCTTGCAAAAGCTGCCAGTGACATTTGAAAATGACATTAAAATTTATTGTTGACTCCAGTCAGCTCAACTAACTTGTCTTGCTGCTTCTTCCTAGCCCATGGCTGAAGATTTATTCAAGCAACCAAGACTGACTGAAAATGAGACCAACACAGCACCACAATCTGTGTCTGATTCCCTCTTGGCAGAACTCCAAGAAAAGATCCAGCAAACAGAAGTCACCAACAAGGTATGGTCAGTATTGACCCCCAAGGCTTTCTTGAAGAAGTGCCAGAGTCTACCTGAGTCTGTTAGCCTGAGTGGGAGTTGGGAGATGGATACTGTACTCTCGGAAATATTGGACTGGAAGTGTAGTTCTTTGGGCTTGAGAGAGCTCACGGGGCTAGAACGTATGACTGCCACATGCAAGATCTGGCTCTGCGGGTCCCTGACACTGCCGGTCTTGGCTCTGTTGGCCCTCCGCGGCACTGGGCCTTTATGACAGCATTGATGGCCTGAGCAAACTCCTCCAGCAAACTTGGCCCCCCACGACTGAGCCCAGTTACTATTGGGAGTGGCCCCTGGGGCACTAGTGGAGTGGACTGTCCCCTCCAAAGTGTAATTCTTTCCCTTTCTTTCATTAAGATTTTAACTTGTGGGGCCAGGTCATAACTGAGAGGACTGGAGCATATGCCTGTCATATGACGAGTTCAGTTCCTGGTACCACATGGCTCCTGAGCATCAACCACGTGTAGCCTGGGGGCCCCCACATTGCTGCACCCCGTGGCAACAGAGCACTGGATTGTCATTCACCCTGGTTGGCTGAGCGTTTTGACGGTGTGGCCCAGAGTCCCCTCAAAGTGCTTGAGAGGCTCAACATTTTCAGCAACATCGGTTAAAAAGAGCTTTTAATTGATTCTGCATAGAATTTCTTTAATTGTCTAAGATGTCAATGCTTGTAGGGCTGGAGTGATAGCACAGCGGGTAGGGCATTTGTCTTACAAGCAGCCAGCATGGCCGACTCGAGTTCGATTCCTCCGCCCCTCTCGGAGAGCCCAGCAAGCTACCGAGAGTATCTCGCCTGCACGGCAGAGCCTGGCAAGCTCCCCGTGATGTATTCGATGTGCCAAACACAGTAACAACAAAGTCTCCAATGGAGACGTTACTGGGCCCGCTCGAGCAAATCGATGAACAACGGGAGGACTGTCAACACTTGTGCTTTTGATTTGAGGTTAACATCTCATCCCTGCATGCCCTGTTTATAGGCCTTGATTTAACATCTGCTTAGAAGAAAATCTGCCAAGTTTTCAATGCCGAGCTTCTGGTCAGGTGTGGTTCCATGTTAGACTGCAGAAGCCCCTGGGCACCCAGGGTGACTCTTGTCAAGTGCCCAGTTTGGCTGCTGTCATAGAGAAAGCACAATGCATGAGGACGAAAGCAACTGAGTATCGAAGTAGTTCATATTCCTCTTGTCGATTAACTTAGTACTTTAATGTATTCCTCTTGTTGATTATCTTTGTACTTAAATGGTTTGAAATGTGGGATGAAAGGACGAGATATTCTTTCTCTTTTCTAAGAAATTCTTTAAACTTACAACTGAAGGAGGCCTAGATAGAAAATAAGTCCTCGGCCTAACAATCTGGTTTTCCTGGCTGAATCTAGGTCCTTCAGGAGAAACTGAATGAAATGAGCTGCAAACTAAAATCTGCTCAGGAATCATCTCAGAAGCAAGATGGCACAATCCAAAGCCTCAAGGACACTCTCAAGAGCAGGGAAAGTGAGGTAAAGGGCTTGGCAATCAGGGACCACCAGGAAACAGTTTGTCCTGTTGAAGGTAAACGAGTGTGCGTTGTTTTGTAGAAACCGATATTATTAGATGAACACATGTTAGTCTACAGAATTGTCACTGAATCTAATTTGATATCTTAGAGTCGTCATTTAAAGTCTCACAGGTGAGATCATGGACTTTACAGCCAGTATTCTAACATACTTGGTGCTCCCTCTCTTTCAGACCGAGGAGTTGTACCAGGTGATTGAAGGTCAGAATGACACCATGGCAAAACTTCGAGAAATGCTGCACCAAAGCCAGCTGGGACAACTTCATGTACGTGAAAATCACGTAGGATGGGAAGCAAGAGTCGTGTGGAGGCTGTGCCGTTCTCAGTTACGGTCGTACTTGCTCTCCTTGTAATTAGGGTCTTTCCTCTTTCAGAGCTTGGAGTCTTCTCCCCCAGCTCAGCAGCAGGTCGCCCTGCTGGACCTTCAGAGCGCTTTGTTCTGCAGCCAGCTTGAGATCCAGAAACTGCAGAGGATGGTACGACAGAAAGAACGGCAGCTGGCCGACGCCAAACGATGTGTGCAGTTCATTGAAGCTGCGGCCCAGGAACGAGAGCAGCAGAAAGAGGCTTCCTGGACACATAATAAGGTAAATCATTAATTATCTTGTGGCCCTCCTAAACGCTGACTTTGCCCATATCATTGTAACTTCTTATCAGGAAAGTTTGTCGAACGCCTGAGTCACTTGCTTAATGTTGGTGATTCAGTTTAACATTTGTGTTCTCAGGCCCCGTGTCAGGTATCAATGGGCTGTGTTCTGAGAATGCAAGGGTGAATGGCACAGGCTCTTTCCTCTTCAGTTTTCTGCAATTCAGCACGAGAAATAGTCATAGCAGCAAGATTCTTTCAGATTAAATGGTAGATAGCAGGTACACCTGGGATCCTGCAGGAAATTTCGGAGAGGCTTGGCAGGGAGTCCGGGAAGCCTTATACAGAAGATGTCAGGGGTTATTTCAGAAGGATAGGTAAAAGTCGGCTAACTCAAAAAGTGGGAAAGAACTGCCTAGATGATTAGCCTTGCCTTTTAGGGGAGGGGTGGCCATGCCTCGTGGTATTCCAGGGTCGTTTCCCACCTGTGCTTGGGGATCACTCACAGAAGTACTAGACAGACCGTGCAGGTATTAAAGTTGAGCCTTCTGCATGCAAATTATGTGCTCAGCCGTTGACTTAGATCTCTGGCCCTGGTCGGTTTTTATTTTCCTCCTTACCCAGATTCCCAGACATTGGGGCTCTCAGGAATGTGCACTTTGGCACGAGACCAACCTCAGCAGATCAAGCTAAGAGATCAAGCTTAGAGCTTCATACTTTTTGCTTTGCTTTGTTTTGTTTTGTGGCCCAAGACAAACAAGGGGTCTCTCCCGGCAGGGCTTGGGGGACCATGTTCAGTGCAGGGACGCATGGCCATCATCTCCAGGGCCCAAGGCCTCACACTTTGTTCTCGGTGCTGCTAAAGTCACTGAACCATCCTTTTTTTTTAAATTAGTGAAACACCATGAGGTACAGTTGTAGACCCAAGTCACTGAACCATCCTCCAGACACTTTCTCCCCGGGGATTCCAGAGAGCAGAGCTGTCAGGGTCAGTCCCGTGGAGACAGGCAAAACTGGGGTTTGCCTTCACAATCCTTATTTTGCCAAGCAAATGCTGTAAGCCTCTGGGCCCTACCCTTTTTTTTTTTTTTCTTTTTGGGTCACACCTGGCAATGCACAGGGGTTACTCCTGGCTCTGCACTCAGGAGTTACTCCTGGCGGTGCTCAGGGGACCATATGGGATGCTGGGAATCGAACCTGGATTGGCCGCGTGCAAGGCAAATGCCCTCCCCGCTGTGCTATTGCTCCAGCAATTTTTAGTAGTTTTTTAAAATTTGGAGCCACAACACTTATCTTCAGGGGCCGCTCCCAGATCTGTGCTGGATTCTCTCTCAGTGGTGCTCAGGCGATCATGCAGTGCCAGGGATCATACATGGGCCTCTTGTGTGCAAACCATGTTTTGGGCTTATTAAGCTTTCTCTTTGCAGCCCTGCAAACTCTCCCACCATATTCTTGCCATGTATCTAAAAAAAAAAAAAAAAAAAAAAAAAAAAGAAAAGAAAAAGCATAAAAGTTTTAAGTGATTTCTTTATCTTGTTAGCTTAAAGCATATGCTATCAACAGTACAGTTTCTGAAGAATCTTTCCGGGTCAGTAACTTAAAGATTAAAAATTAGCCATGGAAGTTCTTTAGAAATGCAAAAAATGTAGATGTTCTGGCAAATTCGGGAGCAGTGGGAAAGGATGGTCATGGAAGGATGGTTATGGAAATAATTCTATTGTTTTTTTCTTGCTTTTTGGACCACACCCAGTGATGGTCAGGGGTTACTCCTGGCTCTGCACTCAGTAATTACTCCTGGTGGTGCTCAGAGGACATATGGGATGCTGGGAATCAAACCCTGGTCGGCTGCATGCAAGGCAAATGCCCTACCCGTTATACTATGGCTCTGGCCTCGGAAATAATTCTTATTTAAAGAAAACTTTTCTGTTTTACTTAGTTGGTAAGGTTATACCTTTGGGGTTTGTATAAAGTAACAATTTATGCCTTTCTAATTTTTCTTTCCTTTTTTGGCTTTTTGGGTTACACCCGGCATTGCACAGGGGTTACTCCTGGCTCATGTATTCAGGAATTACTCCTGGCAGTGCTAGGGGGACCATATGGGATACTGGGAATCGAACCCGGGTCAGCCATGTGCAAGGCAAATACCCTACCCGCTGTGCTATCACTCTAGCCTTGCTTTTCTAATTTTATTGTTAGAAAAATAAATGTAATTTAAGAAATGTGAGTCACAGTCTTCATGATTTCTTTAGTAAAGAGAATGATAGAACAGTCTATTCTTGAACTTATTATAAAGGATCCAGGTTTACAGTGAGTCAGATTCCCATTTAGTAGTAGTTACAGATCAAAAAAATAATCTATAATATAAAATTTGCATAGTGTCGCCATCCTCAGTTCCCACAATTTCCTGCATATTTGATTCATATGTGCTATTTCATTAACGATTTTTAAAATGCTACTTATCTATTTTGGGCTCTGCCTTGGAAGTTTTAAAAGCTTTTGTAAGTAATGACCTTGTGAAAAATGAGAGATGATTTATAAAAGGGACCCTATGTAATACAGGAATTGCGAAAAGCCTTACAACAGTTACAAGGAGAATTGCAGAATAAAAACCAAAAGCTTCGTGCCCTGGAGGCTGAAAAATTCAATGAGATTCGAGCCCAAGAGCAAAATATCCAGCGTCTAAACCACAGTCTGAATCACAAAGAACAACTGCTTCAGGTGAGTGTCCAGAATGACCTAAGTTAAACTTAGGTTTACAGAGCTCTAAATATTTTCTCAGGATATCAGTCAGTCCACCTGTGGCTCATACCTAGTACATGTAGAATACATGTACTAGGTGGGAATCAACATAAAGTATAATTCATGAACCAAGATGCTAGCCAGAAAATACAAGGAACTGTCACTGCAGACCTGAAGGACTTAACTAGTAAATATTTAGAAAAGAGCTATTAAACATTCTGGTTTTGGAAGCCAATAAAAATATATGATATTGCTCTCAGTCTAGTAGGTAGAACCATCTGAATAGACATGTCCACTGAATTTTTATGACCGGGAGGACATGGTAATCACCACGAGAAGATTCAAGCGTAAATACATTTTAATGCAGTATGTTTTAAATGCAAGATTTCTCGTGTGAAAACTGACTTATGTAAATGAAATAGGCAGTATATTGTATTAAGTGATTTGAATTTATTTCTATAAGTTCAAATCACATAGCAGTCACAAATTGACTTTTATTGAATTATTTCCTGATCATTCCATTTATGATTCCATTAAGTTTTGTTGGATCAAGCAGTATGAAATAAATTTGTCATATGCCAACCAAGGGGGCAGACTTGGGTGGGAGGGAAGGGTGGACACAGGAGGCGATGGGGGTGGGAGGTGGGGGGGACCTGGGTATAGAGAGGCGCCCACTGGGATTGGGCTTGGTGTTTTAACATTGTGTGCCTGCAGCACCTCTATTATGGAAAACTCTAAATCATGGCATCTTAATAAAAATACATTTCGAAAAAGAAAGGAAGAAATGTCCACGGAGTTATTTAGATGGTAAACGAACATTTTAGGGGAAAACGGAACTGTGAGAAGAGTTACCTATTCACTCTGAGAAAACCTTCCTTTTTGTTAGGTCTATCATTTTTTTCATAGTTTAGGCATCTTGTGCTTCCATATTTTTTCTCTGCCCCTTTTCACTGGAGAAAAACGTTTGCGACTCACACAGGGAGCAAGCATCACCTGTTTTGTGAGATCTTTAGTGGCGTCTTCAGAGAGAACAGTGCATCCTCCGTTCACCTAACAGCTAAATGTGCCCTTGCCATAATGCAGAATAGTGAACAACCTGTGTTAGAATGTGTACCTCTGGAGAGTGATCACATTTTTATTCTTATCCTAAATGACCAGTGAAACATTTGGCAAACTGTAGGGACACAGTTAAAGGTAAAGGTAAAGGTAAAGGCCCTCCCGTTGATCGTCGATTTGCTCGAGTGGGCCCAGTAACGTCTCCATTGGAGACTTTGTTGTTACTGTGTCTGGCATATCGAATACTCTCGGTTGCTTGCCGGGCTCTCCGAGGGACACAGTTAATATTAGATAAATGAATAAAGGACTTTTGGTCTCATTAGGAATTTCGGGAGCTACAGCAATATCGGGATAACCCAGATCCAACCTTTGAAGCGAATGAAATGTTGCTTGAGAAACTTCGGCAACGAATACAGGACAGAGATGCTGCTTTAGAGGTACGTGCCCTAATTATGGCCACTGTGCCGTGGATTCTCCCATTCATAGGGGCACACACTGTAGAAGCGTCTATTTAGTTTACGACCTTTCACAGGTGGTTTTGCATTCCTTTAGATTTAAAATCTTATTGAATAAGGGAGAATATACCGGGATAGTGAATCAGATGGAGCTTTGGGATTCTTCCTTCCCTTGCAGCGAGCCATAGATGAAAAGTTCACCACCCTGGAAGAAAAAGAAAAAGAACTGCGTCAGCTGCAGCTGGCAGTGAGAGAGCGAGACTATGACCTGGAGAGATTGCGCGTTGTCCTCTCCTCCAATGAAGCCACCATGCAGGTAAGAGCAACTCTCGCTCGGTGACCCGGCCCCACTTGGCTTCTGTGCTGAAAGCCACAATCCCAGAAGCATCCCCATCATTCTCGGGAACCAAACCGTTTGCTTGATGAGAAAAAAAATCTAAAAGCAGACACGGGGCCAGAGTGATAATGTAGCAGGTAGGGTCCTGTATTGTCATGTGGCGCTGTTACTATCATGTGCAGGACCATGCGGATGAGCCGGATTCTGTCTCTGGCCCCCAAATGGTCCGTCAAGTCCAGCCAGGAGTGATCCCTGAGCACAGAGTCAGGAGTAAGCCTTGAACACTGCTGGGTGTGGCGCCCAGAACAAAATTCATAATAATAATGAAAGCAAACAAAACTAGCAGACTTTAGTTCCATCATCATAGGCTAAGGCGTGAGAAGTCTCTGTGCGTTTTCCTTCTTGCATACTGTGGAATTTGTAGTTGGAGGCAGTGGATTTGAGGAGCTATACATGAATCTAATTGATTTCTAATCCATGTCAATATCGAGCTAGTTTGACATAAGTATTCCCGGGGTAAAAACTCTTCTGTGTTTTGTTTTCCTCGTTGATAGTATATGTGTAGGTAATATACCCTCTAGAGCATGTATATGTGTTCACACAGCCAGAGAGCTTGTTTTTTAAATTTATATTTATTGTGGATTACTTTTATGGATTTAGAGCTTAAAGATCTTACTCTATGCTGCTTCTTAAAGAAGTCCTCATAAAGAAGTCTGCTTCTGTGTATTAAATTTCTCTCTCAAACAGATCAGAGTTTATAAAAATGCATAATAGCTAATATGGTGTTAAGAAGCGGTGAGTTTTCTCCTTTGCAAAAAAGTTAATAGATAATTTATGAGATCAATTATTGGTGGATCAGTTTCTTATTTAACCTAAGCAATGTATGCAGTTCTCTAACTGAAAATCGCTTTGTCACCGTAGAGTATGGAGAATCTCCTGAGGGCAAAAGGCCTAGAAGTGGAGCAGTTATCTACCAGCAGTCAGAACCTCCAGTGGCTCAAGGAAGAAATGGAAACCAAATTTAGCCACTGGCAGAAGGAGCAAGAAAGCATCGTTCAGCAGTTACAGACCTCTCTGCATGACAGGAACAAAGAAGTGGAGGCAAGCCATTCATTAACTTCAGAGCAGCCTCTTTAGAGATCATGTAACATCTTGGATTAGGACTTTTGAGCTCTGGAAGGCCTCCCTGAAAGTCCTTTTTGTGCCTGGGCAAGTCAGTGGTTTACGCGGGGACTTTTCTTTCTTAACCCCATAAACTCAAGGAGACAATTACTTTTCTCTCAGAAGTTACGTGAGAATTAATGAGACCTGAAAGGTACACGGAAAACGTGGTTGCCAGTATTTATTAAGTTATGCTAAGGCCGTGTTTAAGAGCTTAACAAGTAATAACTCATTAAATCCCCACAATTTGTGAGAGTTCTTACTTCCATGCATCTTTCATAGACAAGGAGAGGAACTTCTGAAGTTGAGGTACTTGTTGAAATAAGCATGACTGATGAGTGGCAGAGCAGGTGGGGTGCCAGTTTTAATGACTGTGTTCTTAGTGGAGAAAGCTTGTGAACTGTGTCATCTCAATAATAATGATTATTTTTTAAATTTTTTTATTTTTTGCTTTTTGGGTCACATCCGGCGGTGCGCAGGGGTTACTCCTGGCTTTGCACTCAGGAATTACTCTTGATGGTGCTCAAGGGACCATATGGGACGCTGGGAATCGAACCCGGGTCGGCCACGTGCAAGGCAAACGACCTCCCTGCTATGCTATCGCTCCAGCCCCATTAAGATGATTTTTTAAATTAATTTTACTGAATCACTATGAATTACAAAGTTACCAAGTTATTCTTCGTTGAATTTCAGGTGTTGCTGTCCCAACACCAATCCCTTCACGGGGAAGTGTCTGCTTCCCTCCACCAGTGTCCCCAGCTTTCTTCTCCCTCACAGTGTCCCCCTGCCGCTACGACAGGCACTTTTTACTTCCTTTCAATCTTCCTCAGAGTGACCTCTCCCTCCACCATTGCCGCGGTGTCCCTCCCCCAGCCTGTCCCCCTACTTCCCAGTGACAGGCTTACTACTGAAGACCAGTTCTCATGCTCTTTGCTTTGTTTCTGTTGCCTTTGAGCAATAATAATGATTTTTAAAACAAAGTAGGGATGACATCACCGTGCTAACACAGTGCTCCTTTTCTTTCTCTTCTGTTTATTTTGTGTTTCCCCTACGTTGGGGAAAAAACATGAAACAAATGAACCGAGTATTCATTCTTCTTAATTTTATATATATCATTAATCAACATGAATCTAATAAGTAAAAGTAAAGGCCCTCCCGTTGTAATAAAATAGCTCGATTTGCTCGAGCAGGCCCAGTAACGTCTCCATTGGAGACTTTGTTGTTACTGTGTCTGGCATATCGAATACATCACGGGTGGCTTGCCAGGCTCTGCCGTGCGGGCGAGCGGTAGGGCGTTTGCCTTGCACGCAGCCAATATGAGTCTAATAATTTAGTAGTAATTGTTATTTCCATGAGAAAATAGGGAAAGCAATATGGATATTATTTTTCTGTTTTTATAGGTTTAGTGTTCTTTCATTGAGTATGTATTTTCAACCTTTTATTTAACACCCATGCTAGATCTGTGAAAATGAATTTACTTGCTTTCTAGAATTTTATAGCTCTTCTGTGATAGAGTTTTTTTTTGGGAGGGGGGGAGGGAGTCACACCTGGCAGTTCTCAGGGGTTCCTCCTGGGTCTGCACTCCGGAATTATTCCTGGCGGTGCTCAGAGGACCACATGGGATGCCGGTTTCCAACCCAGGTCGGCCGTGTGCTAGGCAAACGCCCTGTCCACTGTACCATCCCTCTGTCCCAGATAGATTGTTAGTGGGCCCTCCAGAGGCAATAGACCGGGTTTTCCTTCAAAGCTTATACTTTCCCTTCTGTGTCAGGATCTCAGTGCCACATTGCTCTGCAAACTCGGACCAGGTCAAGTGGAGATTGCTGAGGAGCTATGTCAGCGTCTACAGCAGAAAGAAAGGATGCTTCAGGAGCTTCTGAGTGATCGCAACCAGCAAGCTGCGGAGCACGGGCTGGAGATCCAGAACCTCCTGCAGTCCATGAGCTCCAGGGAGCAGGAGAGCCAAGTAAGGACGCGGCCGCAGGTCAAAGCAGCGCTTTGGAAGCCCAAGACGAGGAAACTTGTGTGCCTTGTGAATACACCTTTGTATCAATTGATATTCCATTCTGGTTTTTTCCCTTCAGTTTACTCACTTGAGTACAGCTTTTCATCTATCATTAGAGTATAAGATACCCAATTCATGTAGCCACTAATTTTATTAAATATGTATTTTTTTCTGTAATAGTCTGATAATTTTGACAGGGAATATGGAGGGCTAGAGAGAGATACAGGAGGTAAAATACTTGGGACCAACCCTGGTTTGAATCTTTAGCATATGTTCAATCCCCCAGGCACTACCAGGAGTGGTTCCCGAGCACAGAGCCAGATACAGTTCCTGAGTACTGCTGGGTGTGGGTCGTTCCCTCCTTTAATAAAAAACCAACCAAACAAACAGAAAACAGAACAAAGCCATACAGACCCTCAGCAGCACATAGTCGGGAGTTAAATAACAGAATGTAGGAGATTACTAACATTATAGAAGATTTTTCAGCTCCAGAAGAATGGTGATTATTTTCTTGTGGATACACTTTTTTCTACATTGCAAACAAAAGAATCACCTACATAGCTATTTTTTTTTGTTAATATTGAACAAATAATATATTTATCTAAAACATTTGTTTGGGATAGTACAAATCAGTAGTCTGGAAAATAATATTGTAATAAAATAGCAATATTAAGTTGCCTAATATAATTCTGACATTAAGTTTATTTTCTGTCATAAGTAATTTCTAACTTTATGAATATAGTCTGATGATTTGCATTCCTACTTGTGAACAGATATGTCCATACCCTAATCTAAGCTGGTTGAAAATGTTTTTGTAATGATTTTTGAAGCTGTGTACCCTTACATAGTTATTTTAAAACAAAATTCAAAGCTCACCCGCCAGAGACAGAAATGAGAAGTTATATGTAGAATTCAAAATTCACGTTTCTGACAAGCTTCTTCCAGATGATGGTGAGGCAGCTGGCTCATGGAACGTATCTGGAGAAGCATATACAAACAGCACCTAGAGGGCCTGGAGAGATAATACGGCCAGTGGTAGGGCACTTGCCTTGCATGGGACCAACCTGGGTGTGGTCCCCAGCACCCCATCTGGTTCTCCATGCATCACCAGGAGCCATCCCTGAGCACAGAGCCAGGATTAAGATCTCAGTGCTGCCAGGTGTGACTCCAAAACAACAACAACAACAAAAAGTTAAAAACAGCACTACTAGCAAAAGTGTAGCAAGGCAGATGGATTGTATCAATCATTTTTGATCTTTTCACAGTTATGAAAGTTCATGGCCAAGCACCTCTCTATATACTGGAGACTGAAAACTACTACTAAATATGAAATAAAGTATTTCATATGTTATTTTTCCCATAATAATTTCGAAGATTTAAAAAAATTTCAAATAATTTTTTTATGAAAGCAACTTAATATATTGATACTTCTAAAATGGTCATATCCAGATCCCGATAGTGCTCAACCGTTACATTCTAAAGATAAAAAATTTTCTTTTATTTTTCTTAGAAATAATGACTCAGATTAAGAGCTCATCTTCTCACTTAAAACAGTAATGATTTACCAAGACATACTCCATTCTTTGTCATAACTAATACGTATTTAGCTCATTTTATTGAAATAATTTAAATCTTGGTTGTTGTTTTTTTTATATCCAGACTTTGATTCTGCTGTGGTAATGATCTCAGTTAGGGTAGATCTTTCCCTGGTTGTGCCATCATCTGTTTTAGAAAATGCGACTTGGAACGCAACTGGGTTTGGTGAGGTATTTTTTGGTTTTGTTTTTGCTTTTTCGGTTTTTGGACCATACCTGATGGTGCTCAGGGCGTACTCCAAACTCTGTGCTCAGGGGTCATTCTTGGCAAGGCTTGGGGTGCTGAAATTGAACCCAGGTCAGCTGCATGCAAGGCAGATGTGCTGTCGCTCTGGCCCTGGGTTTGATGTTTTGAGGTTTATCATCTTCCAAGAAGCTGGCCTATTCGAAATGTATTTGATTCATTCATTAAATAAGTAAGGAGTGTTTACTCATGCCAGACTCTCTTCTGGATGCTTCAGCTACAGCTCTGAACAAAACATTACAGTACTTGCCCAGAGACCTAAATCCATCTCGTACTCTCAAGAGACAGTAAATACCAGTGTCAGAAAAGTATATTGTTAAAAATTTTAGCACAGCAATGGGAATTGAAAGAAGAGAAGGAATTGGTTTACATAGGATGTTCAGAGAATGCCAACCTGATACGGAAACTATTGGCAAAGACCTAGAGAAAGCAAATGGCATGAATGTTTTGTAGAGACCTTCCAGACCTAAGGCACAGTGAACAAAGGCATCTGTTTCCCCAGCTCAAACTAGCATCTTCCCCATTTACCCAGGTGAGGTACTAATAGAACCAATTTCGATGATTCTGTCTGTAATAGATGTGATATGTTCAGCTTTCCCCATATTCTGCTTATGTTCTTCCTGTACTGTTACTGCCTGTGAGCTGAACATGGAGAAGCCATTTCTGATTGCTCCACTGGGTTTTCATAAATAGTTGACTTTCAATAAATAACATCAGAACACAGAATTTATGAATGTTTTTTGTGGTTTCCCTTTACTAGGTGGCCTCGGAGAAGATGGTACAAGCCCTGATTGAAAGAAATTCAGAATTACAAGCCCTGCGCCAATATTTAGGAGGGAAAGACTTCCTGGCTTCCCAGGCACTCATGTCTAACCAGCTAGCTGAAGTCACCTCCATCTGCCCCCTTCTTGGAGAGCAGACGGATCAAGTAAGACCTGTAAACTTGTTTAGATGGATGTTAAAACCAACTGCATTTTTCTTTTCACATTTGACACACATGTCTGATCAGTTTAATGCATAATTATATGAGACTCTTCCACATCCTGGTCATGTTTTTCCATCTTTCTAAAATTCTGTGACTCTCCCAAATTTTAGGGCTCCGTGCATATACCCTCCAGAGATGATAGCACTTCACTGACCGCCAAAGTGGACACCAGCATGCCCAGATCCTCACTAGGTAAGTGCCAGATTTTCATTTCATAAAATAATCATCTGTGTTTTCTTGTAACATTTTTGCTAACAGGCTCTTCCAACCTTAATGGGAAAAAAGTTGGATTAGGTAGTTTGTAGGGATTCAGAAATGCAGGAGGTTATGTTTCCAAATCTGCATGACAGAAATCCAGGGCCTTCTCCGCGATGTCTTTTAAACAAACTACTGTTATTCGCTGTGTTTTAACATCACCTACAGTACATATTGGAAGGGGTAGGTGGTACACTTTGTGTTGTATGCCAAGCTCAGCTTCACCATTGGATACTTTTGGCCCTAAACATCTTAAAAACAACAGACTTACACAAATGGTGGGCATAGAACCCAAGCGGATGCCTTGGATTGGGACCTGTTACAGAGCAAATGGTTGGAGTCTAGGGTAGCTTCAAGAAACTTACTGCCCAGTGACTTACTTTGCAGTGCCATGGATCAAAACCCAGGACGTCACATAAGTATGACAAATTTTTTTTTAAAAGAGCCTTACCTCAGTTTTTATTTTTTGAATTTCAAATCTGTAGAAAAGTAGCAATGTTGTACAATAAATACCCATAATTACATGTTATACATTTTGAACAATTAGTAACCTTTTGCCACATTTACATTATTTCTTTGTACACAAAAGTTTCTCTTCAACCATTAACATTACTTCAACCATTAACATTACTCTTCAACCATTAACTCTTCAACCATTAACATTACTTTTGGAGATCATTGTTGGCTTGTCACCTTTGGGAATGCTCTACACAACCTGGGCCCTAATTCAGCAAGGGCAGGGAGAGATCACAGATGTAGGTGGACCATTTCCATTACTGGGTGTCAGTTTCACTGGGAAAGGGGTTACTTATAAGGTTTTTCTTGGATAGCTGCAAAATAGTTTTCTGCACCATCTCATGCCAGATGTCAAAGTTTTACAGAGGTCTGACCATGTCCAGCCAGGTATATAATTCAGTCCATAGCAAATGTATTACACATCATATTCTGTTAATATTGTATCCTTGGGGCTACTTTTGAGGCCTCGGAAAGCAGAGCAGACACATTTTACAGGTGAAGCTGTAATATATATTCCAAGGACTCAGTTCAGCATGCAGGTCTATATGCAAACAGTCTTTTCACTGCTTTCCTTAACAATCATAAATATTCATTATATATTCTGTAAGAACAAGGGCATTCCATAGGACTATGTTTACTTTAAACATAGCTTAGTAGTATGTGATATATAATCCATATTCAGACTTCCTATTGTTCCAAAAATATTCTCAATAGCTGTTTCATTTCCCCTTCAAAGATCATGTTTAGAGGCTGGAGCAATAGCACAGCGGGTAGGGCGTTTGCCTTGCACACAGCCAACCTAGGTTCGATTCCCAGCATCCCATATGGTCTCCCGAGCACTGCCAGGAGTAATTCCTGAGTGCATGAACCAGGAGTAACTCCTGTGCATCACCGGGTGTGACCCAAAAAAGCAAAAAAAAAAAAAAAAATCATGTTTAGTGGCTCTTAGTTGACGGATGGCTTTAATGCAGAATAGTTTTCTAGCCTTTTTTTTTTTTTGACATTGGTGTTTTTAAGATGTGGGCCAGCTAATGTTTCTCAGTGTGTCTCTGATTTGTTTGCCCCTGGTTCGATTCAAGTGAAGTAATTTTAGCAAGTAGACTCCATGAGTTTTCTCTTTCTCAGTCCATTAAATCAGGATTGACTGACACCACTTCTGTTATCCTGGGGGATATTAAGTTTAGTCATTTGTTTAAGGTTGTATTTACCAGACCGCTCTACTGTCAATTTCCTTTTTGTAAAACTTTCTTTTTGCTTGCTCACTTTTCTTTTGTAAGTGTTAAGTGCTCTGCTGTTAATACCTTGAAATCTGACAGTTCTTTTTCTCAGACATCAATCCAGTGGTCTGAACATCCCTTGAGCCTTGTCTGAATCAGACATCGCAGTGGTAGTTTAAAAGAATGATTTCTTAAGATTCTCTGTTCATCATTGTGTGTTCTTCTTCTTCTTCTTCTTCTTCTTCTTTTTTTTTCTTAAATAAAGCCGTACCCTGGGGCTGTAAAAAGTACTACAGTGGGTAGGGTGTTTACTTTGCATGTGAATGGCCTGAGTTCAGCACCACCAGGAGTGATCCCTTAGCACCGAGCCAGGAGTAAGCTCTGAGCACTGTTAGGTGTGGCCCAACCCCTGCTCCCCGCCAAAATAAATAAATAAATAAAAGCACTGCCCTTGTTCTGTTTGTTTATATCAGTATGAACTAACAGATCCTTTTGTTTTCCATTGATGCATTGTGTCATCAGCCTAGCTTTCCCGTATTGGGCCAGTTGGCCACCTCTCAAGCTGTTCCTCTGCCCTTTTCATATTTCCCTGTCTGATTTTGGGCACAGTTTACAGTAAAAATGTTCTGTAATTGCTTTATACTTTTCTTGTCTTGGCCCTGGAATGAGCCATTACTCCAAGGGAATCTTAGTTCCTTGTTGTAGGTGAGGGCTTGTAGGCACCAAAACTGGTCTTTACAAGGGTTCGTTACTAGAGGGATACCATTTCCTTTTAGGTATTTTTAAGCAATCAGAGCTAGACGAAGATAGAGAAATAAAGATGATTTATCTGTACATCTTAATCTGTGTATCAACATCTTAACTTGATAGTTTTTCTAATCTTAATTTAATTCAGGTCTCCCCTCTCCCCCTGTTCATAACATAACTGCCCTTCCCAGATACCTGATTATCTATCGGCATGAATGTATTTAAGTCTATTTGCAAAACATATTTATGTAGTACTCAAAAATAGTTTTAGAATTTCTGCATGAATAACAGTACTCATGATAAATTTATTTAGAGAGCATCCAGATTTCCTTGTAATTTTTTTTTTATCTTCTACTGAGGATGTGCAGTTGGAATACTGAGTTCAGAAATTATTTGAATTGCCTTTTTTTTTAAAACCTGTAGGGTGGTTATATATTTATTGTGTAGGTTCATTTATTACATGAGTTTTAAATTTTAGACTTTCTCCCATGATTGTTGAACTCTCTGACATTCAGGATTACTTTAACATGATTCAAACTCAGATATGTGAGTATGCTCAGAAGTCTTGTCCAGTTTGCTCTCTTTTCTTCGTTTTCACATTGGAAAAAGTTGAACCAACTTGAGGAACACAGTTACAGAATTGTTCATGATTGGGTTTCAGTCATACCATGTTCCAACACCCATCCCTTCATCAGTGGACATTTCCCTCCCCATTGCCCTCAGTTTCCCGGCCGCCACCCTAACCTGTCTGCTCATATAGCAGGCACTTCTCTGTCTCTCTCTCTCTCTCTCTCTCTCTCTGGCTCTCTCTCTTTCGCTCATTCTCTCTTTCCTTTTGGGCGTCATGGTTTGTAATACGGGAACTGAGAGGTTACCATGTATATCGCGTTACCTCCTTTCAGCTCTCTGTTCAGAGTGATCTTTTCTAACTCTCATTGTCATAGTGGTTTCTTCTCCTCCTAACTGCCCCTTCCCTGCAACTTGTGGCAGGCTTCCACTGTACACCGGTTCTCCTGGCCCTCATATCTACTGTCCTTGGATATTAGTCTCACACTTCACTCATTCATTCATTCATCATCCTGTTATTCGTCGATTGCCTTGAGCAGGCCCCAGTAACGTCTCTTTCATCCTAGCCCTGAGATTATATTCAAGGCTCTTTAGGAGAATGAGACCCACCAAATATGCCAAATACCAGTAACAATGATGGGTCTCAGTCTCACACTATGTTTTTTTATATCCCACAAATGAGTGCTGTTATTCTATGTCTGTCCCTCTCCTTCTGACTCATTTCACTCAGCATGATACACTCATGGTCATGTATTTATAAGCAAATTTTATGACTTCATTTTTCCTAACAGCTGAATAGTATTCCATTGTGTAAGGTAAAGGTAAAGGTAAAGGCCCTCCCGTTGTTTGTCGATTTGCTCGAGCGGGCCCAGTAACATCTCCATTGGAGATTTTGTTGTTACTGTGTCTGGCATATCGAATACATCACGGGTGGCTTGCCAGGAGCTCGGGGAGGTGAGTTCCATTGTGTAAATGCAACATAAATTCTTTCTCTTTCCTCTCGTTTCCACTTATACTCTGAAGGCAACCAATTTGATTTTTTTTTTTATCTTTTTTTTTTAACCTTTTTTTTTTTTCTTTTTTTGGGTCACACCCGTCGATGCACAGGAGTTACTCCTGGTTCATGCACTCAGGAATTACTCCTGGCGGTGCTCGTTGGACCATATGGGATGCTGGGAATCGAACCTAGGTTGACTGCGTGCAAGGCAAACGGCCTATCCGCTGTGCTATTGCTCCAGCCCCCAGTTATCTTTTTTTTGTGTGTTTATTTGCAAAATAAGGAGATCAGTTACATGTTTGGATGTATTTGTTTCTGCATATCTTGATTTCCCTGTTTTTTGAAGACAAAACTACATTTAGGTGTATTCTTTTATGCCAACTTTGTTTTACTTACCAATATGTCTTGGGAATCATTTCTTAACAATTTCTAAAGATCTACTTCATTTGTCTGGCTATTAAGTAAATAGTACGTAATTATATGGATATATGGTGGTTTATTCAGTCTTCTTTTGGGGGACAGATAGGTTAGTGCAGTAATTTGGTGTGATGAATAATATTGCAAAGAACATCTTGTGTGTTTTGTTTTTTTTTAATTGTTGGGGCATGTCTTTAGAGCAGATTCTTCAGAAAGGAGACAGAGAGGTCATATTGTATTAATAGTGATTGGATTAATAGTGAGAAAAATGAACACTGTTCATTTGTAGGCGACTCGGACACAGTTGCTGAGCTAGAAAAAGAACTGAATCATGCCAAAGAGGAACTGGACCTCATGGCGAAAAAAGAAAGAGAAAGTCGGGTGAGTTTTCTAGTCAAACCTTATTTCGAAATTTGTTTTAGTTTTTCAACATAACTTATCATTGTTCAAAAGGTGCTTCTTAAGAGTTTGTTTTTGATCATTTTTCTGATTCCTGTGTCTGTTGTTCCTCTGTGCCTTAAATAATCCCTTCACCGTAGGCCTCCTTGTTGAGTGGCTTGAGTGATAAAGACTTTTTAGGTATCGCAATCAGTTCAGTTAAACCCATTTGATGTGTTTTAGAATGCAAATTCAAGTGAAAGGCATCGTTAAAATTTCTGTTACAGTTTGGCAGAGACCAGCCTCTGGTTCCACACTGTGCTTGATTGATCTCATCAAGCAGTGCACAATTCACGTGCTAGGTTTTGCTTGCATTACTGGCTAATTGTGGAACAACACCTGTGTTTGCACAATGTAAGCGTGACACCGACCATTCTGCAGACGCTGACCTGAAGATTTCATCTCTCCACAGATGGAACTTTCTGCTCTCCAGTCCATGGTGGCCGTGCAGGAGCAAGAGCTGCAGGTGCAGGCTGCCGACTTGGAGTCCCTGACCAGGAACATGCAGCTCAAGGAGGATCTCATAAAGGTCTCTCACGCTGTTTAAGATGCCTGGAAATGATTGCGGCACCAAAAAATACCGAAGGGCATCTTCAAGCAGTATTTTGATATATTGTGACCCTTAGGCAGTGCTTATTCTCTTGATGCACTGTTCCTTTGGGCCTCTTAATAGTAGCGTGGTTTTGTGGGTTTTTTTTTTTTTCATTTTTTTAGCTTTCTTGTTTTGGGGTCGTGCCCACCTGTGTTCAGGGCTTACTCCTTTCTCTGCACCCAGGAATCACTGCTGGCAGACTTGGTGGGGCCACGCAAGGCTAACATCACACGCCCACCCTGCTGTGCATTGGCTCTGGCCCAGATCATGTTTGTTGACTTGCTAGTATTTCATAAAGAGTGTATCATTAAATTCACAGTGCTTCGGCCAGAGAAATAGCACAGTGGGTAAGGTATTTGCTTTGCAGGTGGCTGACCTGCGTTGATTTCTGGCACCACATCTGAGCCCTTCCTGGAGTGATCCCTGAGCACAGAACCAGGAGTAAACACCTGAGCACTGCAGCTCTGCCCAGTGCTCCCCTACTCTGTCCCCCTCCCCTGTATACATTGAGCTTATCAATATCTCATCGAAGGCCCGTCTGATTATTTCAAAGGCATTTGCTCCTTTGCTGAATAATATCTTTATTCCTATACTTGCTTTGTTTACTAGGACCTGCAGATGCAACTGGTCGATCCAGAAGATATACCAGCTGTGGAACGCCTGACCCAAGAAGTCTTACTTCTTCGGGAAAAAGTTGCTTCAGTAGAATCACAGGGTCAAGAAACTTCAGGAAACCGAAGACAACAAGTGAGTCCTTGAAAACAGACCTGATATTTCACTGTGAATGAACCAGTGCAAAAATCGTCAACCTCAGCTGCTTATGAAGACTTTTCTTTGTTCTCTGTCGCTTCTACCCTTGATCAGCAGTGGCCATGGATATTCTTTTTTTGTCCATTTGTGGTCACTCCTGGGAGTGTGCTCAGGGATCAATCCTGGAAGTACCTGGGATCGAACCTGGGTCAGCTGTTTGCAAGGCGGTCACCCAAGTCGCTGTGCTGCCTCTCTGACCTCCAGATGTCCTCTTTCAACCTCTGTACTTCCTTTGTAGATTGGACCCCGTACCTGACCTTTCTTCAGAGCTAAGATTCTCAATAAGACCTGCTCGCCTACCTCTTCTGTCTTTGTTATCATCGCCCTCACTCTTTATTCTAAATTGGCTTTTAACTTGGTCACTTTCCTTAACACATCGGCTCCTGCACATATCACTGGTAGCTCACGCTCGAATCAGAAGTTGAGCACTTCATCTTTTGTCGAAATAATGAATGTAATCGATGTAGAGAAGAGTTAAGTAGAAATCATCCGCCTTACAGGCATTTGGAGGCGGGTATATTGGGGTTCTTGGTGGTGAAATGTGAATACTGGTGAAGAGAAAGGTGTTTGATCATTGTATGACCGAGACTTAAACCTGAAAGCTTAGTAACTTTTCCCACAGTGATTCAATAAATAAATATAAATAAATATAAAAGGAAAAAAAATTAAAAAAATTAAGGTGGAGTTCATGCCCAATTCAATCAGCTAATCAATGGCTGAATAAATAGCAGTAATCCTACAAAAAAAAAAAAAGAAAGAAATTGAGCACTAGCATCAAGACGTTTGGTGATTATACACTGCCTTAGTTTGTCTTCTTTGTAGCTTGCGTTTGAGGTCATGCTGACAGATGGTTATGATTGATGAACGTCTTTTGTCCCCACTGGATAGTAAGTTTATTACAGTACGTGGAAGGTTCTTGACTGAGTGAAAAGTACTAGTAGGTTCTATTGTTTTCCTCTTGCCTCTCCTTCCTTCTCTTCTCTTTTCTGTGTTTCTGTTTCTCTGTTCTGCTCCCAAACTTGCATCATGTGTTACAGAATTTCAAAGATAAGAAGACTCGATGAAACTAAATCTGTGTAAAACTCTCAGTAATAAAAAGTGAGGTATTTTTTTTTAAAGTAATGGTAGATGTTTGCATCCTTTTTACCTCTTTGCATTCTTTTGGTCTCTTTATCGGGATTTCCTGTGGCTTCGTGGCTCAATTTGTTTATCACTTCTGTTCTTTCCTCAGTTATTGCTGATGCTGGAAGGGCTTGTAGATGAGCGGAGCCGGCTCAACGAGGCCTTACAGGCAGAAAGGCAGCTCTACGGCAGCCTCGTCAAGTTCCACGCGCACCCCGAGAGGTAAGAGAGTGGCGGTTGTTTCTTCCACTCTGTCTCATGAAGTGAAGATGCACGCACTTGTAGAGGGGGAGAAGGAGCAGAGAAGACTGCTGGGACGACAGAGAAAGTTTGCTGTTTGTTCTGTGAATCACTCTGAGCTGAAGTCAGGATCGATACTTCTTTCGTAGAGCTGCTGCAGAGATCCCTGGGATGCATTGGACATCCGAAATAATGCCTCGAATATATGAATCGCGTAGTGTATTTTTCCATTCTTTCCCTGTTCCACTTCCTGTCAGGTCCATAGGCTGGGTCTATGAAGGGCTCTGATCTTTGCTGAGTACCACTAAAGAAAATATGTTTAAATGGCTAATATCATTCCAGGGCCGCTGATGGTCATCACGATGGATATATTTTCTTCCCCTCTTGATTTTTCATCATGTGTATTCTATCTTTGTGGCTTGTTTTATAGACCCTTGTTTTTCTCATTTGCCTTTCCTTCTCACCTCCTTTCCTTCTTTTCTTCTTTTATCACTCAAGATCTTTTAGTTTACTATTAGGCTTAAGACTGTTTTCTTTGAGGGCAAATGAAAGGTACAATAAGATCACTGGACTGTATTGACTTTTTGAAGGATCTCTGGATTCTTCAAGAGATCCAGTCTGGGCCAGTGGTTGGATCTAACCACAAGGGTATGAGGGGCTGAGAGTAGGTAAGACATTAAAGAAAACAAGATGACAATGATAGCTGGGAATGCTCACTCTGGACAAGAACTGAGAGTTCAAAGTTGGTAAAGGGATATTCTTGATAACCTTTTAGTGTCAGTATTGCAAACCACAATGCCCAGAACTGGGGAAGGGACGGAGGGAGGGAGAGAGAGAGAAAGAGGAGAGAGAGAGAAAGATGTGTGCATGTGTGTGTGTGTGTGTGTGTGTGTGTGTGAGAGAGAGAGAGAGAGAGAGAGAGAGAGAGAGAGAGAGAGAGAGAGAGAGAGAGAGAGAAACCTGCATAGAGGCAGACAGGAGTGGGGAATGGGGGGTGATGGGAGGGAACCTGGGGACACTGGTATTGGGAAATGTGGTGGAGGGATGCGGTGTTGGAATACTGTATGACTGAAATCCAATCATGAACAGCTCTTTAAAGGTCTATCTCATAGTGCTTCAGTAAAAAAAAGTATAAAAAATAAAAAGAGAGAGAGAGAGGGAGAGAGATCCAGTCTAAGTGAACTGGATTTTTTTTTTTTTGCAGGGTGGGTGGGGGGTTTGTGTGTATTTATAAGTGCTTGTAAAGAGAACAAATGTCTTTGGTTGCAGTTCTACTTGCTTCAGTTGTGTTTAGGTTTTCTTGGGTGTTGCTTCTGCAGTAACACTCTTACTACACAATGAAACTTCTCTTTTGTGAGCAATAGAGGTGTGGCATAAAGCTTAGAAACTCTGATCTTAGGAGACCGGTGGAGAATCTAGCAGCAGAGAACAAACTTTGAATGACCAGGCATTGCTAATCGACCCACAGTAAACGTAAGCACGACAACAGTGACTTCTGTGTCCTCCACAGCAGTTTCTTTAGAAACTCTCCCGACTCTGAGTGCGGCAGAACCCTTGTCTCGTTGGCGGCATCAGTGGGCTCGTTTCAGTCGATGGCTAATCAATTTTCCTTCCATGTGGCATGTTTAACCAGCTCTGAGAGAGACCGAACTCTGCAGGTGGAACTGGAAGGGGCGCAGGTGTTACGCAGTCGGCTCGAAGAAGTCCTCGGAAGAAGCCTGGAGCGCTTAAGCAGGCTGGAGACCCTGGCAGCCATTGGAGGTGGGCAACTGCCAAGTGTGCGAATTCACCACGAGCATGCCACCTGAGCACTGGCGGGGCAGACTGCAGCCCAGGATGGAAAAACAAAACAAAAACACAAAACCCTTGTTTGCACTAACCCGAGAGAGAGCCCTGACTGACTTTGGCAGAATTAAACGGTGACCTACTAACCCGTACGAGTAACATCAGCTGCAAAAACAAAAGAACACTTTAGTCTACATGAATTTCCCTGTCCCTATCCGTAGCTCTAAGTTGGATGGTAGAGGTTACAAGGTGTACTCACATGAATTTTAATCATTCCATTTCAGTCTCCCCTCCCACGTCCATGCCTTTCCCTGGCGCCTCTGCCCTATCCCGTCACCTCCTCGATGGCCAATAAAGTTTATTCCTCTTCCACTTTCACAGTCCATCTCATATGTTCCATGTCAGAATTGCATGTGTGTGTATTATTTTTGCCGTTCAGTCAGCTGCTTCTTACTCAGAGCAATATGTTAATCATAAGAGAGTTTCAAGATGAGAGAAACAGATTTAGAGTCCATAAGAATGACCTTGTCGGGTAGGGCACTCCCTTTGCATGTGGCCGATCTGGGTTTGATCATTGGCACCCCATGTGGTCCCCCACGCCCTGCCAGAAGTGATTCCTGAGTGCAGAGCCAGGAACTGAGCATTTGGGGGTTTGCCCAAAAAACAAATGAAAAAGAATGATCTTGCAAAAGTGGTATAATCCTTAGAAGTATAGACTGGAAGAATTGGTAGACCAAGTTAAAGAGCAGAGCTAGACTACTAAGGTGTTTATGGCAAAACTTGACCTCTTCCTTTGTTAACAGATAGTTGAGTGAGACCGTGCTACTAGAGTAGTGTAGATTCAAGTCCATTAACAATTTTTCTTTAGTGATCTTTTAGCTTCGTTGAAACCAAGGTATATCTCACTAATCAGAACAGGACTTGAAGAAAGTTCTGAGGTCCTCCACAGAATTCGTAAATTAGAAAATCGTAAGAATTCTCTATATAAAAAGATAATCTCCAATGCAGTATTTTCCCTTTAATTCAGTATTTCACCAATTAACTCTCTTAGTCACAGTATTGTTTATTATATGTTTTCATTCATTAGTGGCATTCGGTAGATTTTGATGGTTATTTTTCTTCCTTATGGCATCATCAGATGGGTCAAGAAAGGGAGACTGGAGATTGTATTTCTTAAATGTCAGTTGTATAAAAACTAACCAAAGTTTACGTGGAGTTTTGTAAGCTTCAGTCCATGAGGTTTCTTATTTCTGCTGGAATCAGATTCCTAGATTAGAAGCTAATATCTCAGTTTTTAAACATGTCAGTAGGTTAACAGGATTGGGACATTTTTGTACCCTTATGTGACTCTCTAAGTAGGTGAAGCATAATGATCTTTCTGTTTTACCCTCATTTTTTTTATGCAACACTTTTATTTCTTTTGCATATGTGTTGACGTGACTTCCCTTACATTTCAAATTCCATCCAGATCTCTGTAACCTCGGCCATGCCTATAGCAGGCACAGAGCATCCCTCCCACGAGCCAGAGAAGCAAATGTTCAACTGGAGGAACACTCTGGAGAGTTTTGATCAAATGTTTTACAAAAGATTGATAGTCAATACCCTTCCTAATAATGGAAATGCTTTCCAGTATTAATAGCATTTGGTGGAGAGAGGAACTATTTAAGGAAGTAGATAGGAAATGTATGCAGAATCACACGCTTTTCTTAATTTTCTAATCTTAGGGCAGTTTTCTGCACAAAACTTTTTGTAACTTTCTAGAAATAGGGAGGGAAGGTGATTGTGGTGTAGAAATGTCAACCCACTGGGAAACTCTTCTGTCCTGTCATCATACCAAGACTTTTAATAAACATACCCTTGATTTTATTAGTGAAATTTTTTTCTGTCAACATTCAACCATGAGTGAGTCTTCGGTTCTAGTGGCTCATTAGTAATTACTATAGTTTGTGGTAATTGTAGTTCTTGCTTTTATCCTCCTCCAACAAGAACAAGAATTTCCCTTGGCATCTTGGAAGATTACAAATAACTGAATGAATAGTGAGAAATCCAATTTCCTACTGAAAAATTATCAGAATAGATGGAAGGGAAAAAGTCAATTCTGGTCATAATTTATGTCCTAAAAAGACAGACTGTCATTTGTGCTTAATTACTTGCCTTTTATATTGATCCTTGGGAAACATTTTAGAAAATTAAGTGATTAAGTGATAAAAGATAAGAATTTTAACCACAGATGATACCGAAGCTAATTTTCTGGTCTTGAGACCTAGAATGTGACTTGCAAAGTAATGCTGTCTGGAGGAGGTTGCTGGCATTTTATTTGAGAATATGATTCTGATGAGTTTTGTTCTATAACACACAAACGCATAATGCTGTAATTGACCCCATCAGCGGTCATTTTTAGCATGATATAATACTTTATTCTCTCTTCAGGAGCACAGACGTCTTCTCTGACTGGATTATTACCCCTTCACGAGGCATTTTCAATATTACAATAATTTGAGCTAAAGCATCTTGTGCTTGAATTTAAAACAAAAGCTTGTGCTTGAATAAAAAGCCTTGAAAGAAAGTGTATGAAATAAATTATCATCTAGACCGTATTTAATTGGAAATAGGGAATTGAAACTTTCAAAAATCTGTATTGAAACTTTTAAATGTCATTTACTTTTAGGATATTAGAAAATGTTAATATTTGCTTAAATGTTAATGGCTGTGAATGGTTGAAGTAGATGAAACCTTTGGTACTTAGAATTACAGGGTTGAGGACAGGGCAGATGGCCCAGAGGGTTGAAATTCATGCTTCTCACACAGGAGCCCTGGGTTCGAAACCTGGCATTACAGAGTTTCCCAGATAACACTGGGAGCAACCCATCAGCTGGGATTTGCCCCTTCAGCTCTAGGTCTTCCTCCAAAACAAAACTGAAAGAATGACAGAGTTAAAAGAAACTACCTGTGGATTTATTTAATTTGTGAAATGAAAGTCATTATCACAGATTTCCCCATATTCTCTTCTATTGTAGATTTAAGCTGTATGATTGAAGCTTAATTTTAAAATTGTGAATTTTAAAATTGTTTTCTGGTTTGATAGCTACATTTTTTTTTTTTAATGTGGAAAGCGTCACATTTGAGCTCCCTGGAAAAAACCCCAGATGCTTCTTTAAACTAGAGTATCAGGTAGTAATTTTATAGGTCTGCAATCAGTGCCCTACAGGGAAGTGTATCATAATGTTGGAAGAAGAATCTACACAAATTGTCCTATACATAGATTTATTGAAATTAGCTTTCTCTCTTTCAGGCTAACATCTTGTGAGGTACAAAATATTTTTCCTTCTTTTGAAATTAAAGCTATAAGCTTTTTTTCTCCCTTAATAGTATTGAGATATAAATCCTGTGCAGACAACAGGAAAGTTAAGCTCACAGAAAGGAACTCAGTAATAAAAACACAGAAGGAATGAGTTAGCAGGACAATGCAGTGCAATGATTCGGTAGGGTATTGGTTTCTAAGTCTTGGAACTGGGTTAAAGCTGCCCTCACCAGATATATAAGGCACTAACTTTGATAAACTAATTGTGACTGGAAGACAAATATTGTGCCTTTAAGTATTTGAGTATTGGAACTGGAGAGATCATACATCAGGTCAGGGGCTTGCCTTGATCCCTGAGCACAGAGCCAGGAGTAAATCCTGAGCACTGCCAGCAAAAGCAACACAAAGTATTTGAGTACTGGCAGAAGGTAAGTTGTCAGCTTCTTTCCGTAGAGTCTTAAGAACCAGGATGATTTTCCCAATGAAAAATTTAGTGCTTGTAATTCACTTTCAAAAACGAATAGGACTTAAAAGGAAACACAAAACTATAGGACCAATGATACCAATTTTACCAGACATCAAGTGAGAGTTATGCTTATAACATTGCATACTGATTCTTTTTTGCATTCCTTCTTTTGGGCATTTAAGGTCAAATTTCAGAAATAAAAAATCTCTCAAACTGTTTTGCTGAAACAGGAAGGATGAAATAGAAAGTTTAGTAATATCAAAAATTTCTTGGTTTAAAATAATATAGTTGGGGTGTTGAGTCCTTGAACCCAGTAGATTTCTTTGTTTCCTTTAATGACTTATAATTTTCTAGCAAATGCAGGTAGGTGTACAGGACATGAGTGGACAGTGATTCCTTTCACAGTGATCAAAATCAGGACTCTAAAATACCCATCTCTCAGTTTGTAACTAAGTATTTATACATACAAGTACATATTACAAGTCATGAATATAAACCACGAATTTCCCTTTCCATGAAGTATTATCAATTTGATAATAAACTACGGGCTGGAGCCATAGCACAGTGGATAGGGCATTTGTCTTGCATGTGGCCATCCCAGGTTCGATTCCTCTGTCCCTCTTGGAGAACCTGGAAAGCCACCAAGAGTATCCTGCCCCGCACAGCAGAGCCTGGCAAGCACCCCGTAGCATATTCGAATGCCGAAAACAGTAACACAAAGTCTCACAATGGAGACGTTACTGGTGCCCGCTTGAGCAAATTAATGAACAGTGGGAGGACAATGCTACAGTACAGTGCTACTAAGCTTAATGTTTTGATTCTAGGACTGTTAAGAAAAATTACAGAGACAATGAGTGATAGCACAGCGGGTAGGGCGTTTGCCTTGCACAAGGCTGACCCAGTCGCCCGAGTTCAGTTCCTCTGCCTTTGATTCCTCCGCCCCTTTCGGAGAGCCCGGCAAGCTACTGAGAGTATCTAGCCCTCACGGCAAAGCCCAGCAAGCTACCTGTGACGTATTCGATATGCCAAACACAGTAACAACAAGTCTCACAATGTTACTGGGCCCACTTGAGCAAATTGATGAACAGTGGGAGGACAGTGACAGTGACAATGTAAATGAAGGAAAAAGTGACATATCAAATGATGCAGTAACATTGCATTTGGAAAAACAAACAAACATTGCATTTGGGGGGGAAAAATATTGCATTCAGTGATTTCCAGAACTTTCCCCCACCACAGTCAGCTGTAGATTTTCTTCTGAACCATCCATTTTTTCTCATGGCACTTTGTTGTGTTCAACTTTTGTGCTAAGATGGCAAGTGTTAACACTTAACACTGTTAAGTGTTAGAATCGAGTTACTTTTTTAGTTAAGACCTGAAAAAAATTGTTACTGATCCAATAAAAGTATCAGAGACTTCATATTAAGTATGGTTTTATTATTAAAAAAGTTACAGCAGCCTTGGATGCCTCCTTCCCCCCCATACACACACACACACACACACACACACACACACACACACACACACACACACACACCACACACCCCCCTCTGAGCGTGGCTGGAAGTCCCTGTGCCTGCCAGGAGGGGGCAGCACTGCACACTCAGCCCCTGGCATGGAACTGCAGGCCAGCCTGGGCGACCAGGAATCACCAGAACTGACCCCTGGGCAACTTGAACACCACTTGAGAGGACTCCCCCCCCTTGCAAAAATAGTATGATAAAGGAAATAGGAAAATAACTCTTCTTTTTTTCCCCCTCAGAGGAGAATTAGATTATATATCATTTTAGTAAACTTTTCAGTCAAGCTGAGCTCTGGAGTGAGTGACTGTCTTTGGACTTAATTTCTGTTATCAAAGGAAGGAAGAAGGAATCTGAATTTTCTTTCTTAAGGGATTGTGATGGATATGATTTACTTTCAAAAAAGCTTTACTTAAACACAATTTTTTTCTTGCTCTCCGTGCTAAAGGAGAATGGTCAAGAGCAGGATGGAGATTTGAAGAGCCCTTTGTTTTGGTGGGCATTGACATTCCTCAGACCTGCTTAGTTCTTGGAGGAAAACAATCATCCCCTAGGAAGAATTTCTTGGCAGAGCAAGATCTTGAACTCACAAGGCCAGGGCAGGAGTCTCGTCTCCCTGTTCTCCCAGGATGGCCTGAGTCCACACATGTCTTCATTTGCCTAACCAACAGGGACTAGTTGGACTCTTCTTAAAAGATGAATACTGTTCAGAGTTTTAGTGAGATTACACATCCGAAAAGTGTTCTTTTTTTATGTCTTTGCCTAATGCCTTATTTTAGGCTGGGCCTCTTAGGCCACTTAAGCAATGTTGCAATTTATGGAACTTAACCAAAGAAAAAAAATTCCTAGTTACTTCTGTTCCAAGATCAGTCTATTTAGTTTAAGAATTTGGGGCCAAAATTCAGATTTCTTCTTAAGATATAGACCATTTTCTTCCCATTTATAAACATTCATTACTATGTACTCCCTTAATTGAATTTGGAAATTTGAGGTGATCCAAATTAGTTCTGATGATAGTAAAATTAGTTTTCCTAGTTAGCCTCCTGTTGCCTTATAAAAGCTTACAAAATGGTATTCCCTCCACAAAAGAGAAATTATCTCTCATTTATTTTAAAAAACAGCACCAGAAGGAGGAATGGTAGAGAAAGAGGACTGCCTAATGTAAACTGATATGTAGGACCTTGGATGGTGTAACTTACACATTTAAGTATTTTCCGTAAAATATTTTCAACTATTCTAGCCCTAAACACAAGACAAAACACAAGAGCACACATTCAAATTGGTAAAAGTCTGAGAACTCCTTAAAGTATCCCAAAAGCCGGCTACCAATATGGAGAGCAGAAATGGGCCCCTACTGTGGCAGTGTGAGAGAGGGACACTTTGGCCTTTACTCCACTCCGGAAATTAAAGCCATGCCACCTTGCCCCTGAGAGCACTCTAGAGGGAGTATTATCTCAAATGCCAATGTGGCACCAGAAAGATAGGCCAAGGTAAGTGGCAAGCAGAAAGTGTCTCAAAACCAGACAACCACCTTTTCTTATTCCCACTTTCTTTGTCTGTAACTCAGTAAAGGGATTATAACGGAGTGTGGGCCTAACATAGCTCTACATCCTCCAAGACACAGTACAGGGACAAAGATCCTGACCTCACAGAACTGAAGAGTTTTCCACCAGAGAATCATTGTCTAGCTCAGTGCTCAGAAGGGAAAATGTAGAAAATATGTTTTCATGATCTCTGGGGCATTTTTGTTTTCTTTCCAGGAGTAAAAGTCCATAGCCTCACTGTTGGACAAGGGAAGATTATCCCAAAGTAAGATTAGCATGGCAGGGATGTGCTTCAGTTAATTAGCATCCTGGTCTGTGGGTTTCCAAAGCAACCATTGCTTAGAGAGGCATCGTTCACCTCTATGCAACCAGTATTCTCAGAAGGAGCACATTTTGGAAATTTTTATTGCTCACTGTCTTCCAAAGACCTCCGCAAAATTCTGAATGGTAGAGGCGACTTGTGGGTGGGCATGTTACTTCTAATAAAAATTACAACTTCTTATTTGTTGCTTACTGTGCTGTCCCTCTGACCCCTTGTATGGAGCAAGTTTTAAGATAAATTGTTGGGACAATACACTTACTTTCTTTAGGACTTTAAGGAAATGGGCTTCAACCTTTGTAAGTATTTTGGGATGTATTTTCAGACGCTAATAGAAGAAAGATGTGAACGAAACTTGTTCACCTTATCTCCAGTGGGCAGTGAATGCTCCTTATTTACTCAGAGCTTTTCATCCTTGAATGTTGAACTCGGGAGTAGGTTAAAGAAAGTAGTACGTAGAGAAAAAGTAAATCTAAAGATCTGATTTGTCTTCATCAGAAAAAAGCACCCATATCTGAAATTCTGAAAAGAAAAATTTAAAAAGCCCATATCTGAAATTATTTTTTTTTTTGCTTTTTTGGGTCACACCCTGCGATGCTCAGGGGTTACTCCTGGCTCTGTACTCAGGAATCACCCCTGGCAGTGCTCAGGGGACCATATGGGATGCTGGGAATTGAACCCAGGTTGGCCGCTTGCAAGGCAAACGCCCTACCAGCTGTGCTATTGCTCCAGCCCCCATATCTGAAATTTTGACACAACTCTGTTCACAGCTCTGCTTGGCACAACCCTGCTCGGAATTAGTTGTGTAACAAAGTGTAGTTTCCATTTACCCACATAAGTCATTAGTTAGAGGATGAGTCGAAAGCTATTGGTTGTCAAAACAGATCTGGTTTCTCTTACTTGAACAGTGTTCTATAAAACCTGGGGAAAGTCATAAGAGGTTTTCTTTGGTGTCCAAATAGACCATTATAAAAATTTTTGGCTTTTTTTGGTCACACCCAGAAATGCACAGGGGCTACTCCTGGCTTCACACTCAGGAATTACTCCTGGTGGTGCTCGGGGGACCATATGGGATGTTGGGAGTCGAACCTGGGTCAGCCATGTGCAAGGCAAACACCCTACCTGCTGTACTATCACTCCAGTCACACCATTATAAATTTTTACACTTTTAGAAGGAATCAGTATTGTGGGCCACAAGTATTAATCTAAAAGTGAATATTACTGTAACAGTTGTAGAAATGTCCTAACTTGGTGATACTCAATATTGAAGATCCTACTCACATGTGGACATTTTAAATTAAATTTATAAACTCAGTTCCTCAATCATGCTACTTACATTTCAAGTGCTCAGGACCACTTGTGACTAGTGTCTACTGCAGTGGTCATTACAGGCAGAGAAATGCAGAAAGGTCTGTTGATATGTTATGGGCCTTGTACAGACTACAAGTACTGGCCCCTTGAACTTGATGTAGACGTCTGTGTCTTAGAGTCACTGTTGTAGTTTTAGTGACGTGAAAGAATGTGTTCATTTTGTCAGTACAGTCCCTGAAGGAACTCTGTAGGCAAAGGACATTGACATTCAACATGATTTTGAGAGATGGGGAGGACGCAGAAGTAAGAAGAAATCAGGAAATTCTAGCCCTCGTATGTTCTTTGCCTTGAGTCTTGACTTCAATTACTGCTGGACACCCCTATAGAGCTGATACCAATAATGGAAAAGTATGAGGGGTCAGGGCAAGAGGACAGCGGGTAGGAGATTTGCCCTGCAGGTGGCCAACCTGAGTTTGATTCCTGGCACCCTACAAAGTCCCCTGGGTCCTGCCAGGAGTGATACCTAAGCACAGAGCCAGGAGTAAGCACTGGGCTTGGGTGTAACTCCCCACCCTGCAAAAATAAATAAATAAATGAAAGTGTGAGAGAAGGAGGTTTTCCAGGAAGTCAGAGACCATCTTAGTGGTGAGAAAATACTGAATAAGTCAGAGTGGCCCCTGTTACAAAATTGAAAGTTGTTATGTCGCTAGCCCAGCTAGCCTGTGGCAGGACGGGCAATCACGGAGGCTTCCTGGAAGTGGTTGAGTTCTACCTGCAAGTCAGCTCTGTGGGCTCAGACCTGTGAGTCAATGCCTGTTGATATTTGGAGGCATACACTTGAGTTTCTGTGAGGACATTTTTTATTTATTTATTTTTTTTGCTTTTTGGGTCACACCCGGCGATGCACAGGGGCCACTCCTGGCTCTGCACTCAGGAGTCACTCCTGGCAGTGCTCAAGGACATTTTTTAGCGATATGGCCAGAAGGATTCCCTATACATGTGACACATTAATTCCGCCCTCCCTGCTGGTTAAGATGCATGTATGTGGTAGAAGAAATCAGAGACCAGTGGCAAAAGGCGTGTAATTTTAGCTGTTATCTGGAAACCACCTGTGAAAAGAATCATCTTTCTCTTCTGGACTTCCTTCTTAGGTACCGCTGCGGGAGACGACACTGAAGATGCAAGCACTGAGTTCACTGACAGTATTGAGGAAGAGGCTGCACACAATAGCCACCAGCAAGTAAGTTCAAGTCAGGTTATGTGGACCATGGGTGCGAGACCCTTTGGGGGCTTGGGGCCTTGGGCCCTCACCCTTGTGGGCCCAGAGTGAGGGATACCATTTTATCACCATTCTTTTTCTTTTTCCTCCCTGAGATTCTCGGTCTCTTTCCTACCTTCTGTCTTCACTCCATTTTTCTCTCCAACCCACCCTTATTTTGACTCTTGTCTCCTTCTCTCTATCCCTTGATGCCTGCATTTGTCCTTGTGTATTCTTTATAGCTATAACTTCCAAGGAATGCTTCCTTGCTTACTTACGACAAGACCCTAGACACCTCTTGGGCTTTTGTAGCTGAGACATTCCACAGAAGACAGGGAATCATTGAAAGATCCCTTGGGAAGGTGGCAGAGGCGAGGACTTGCTTCGGGAGAGAGCTCTCTGAGGAACTCCAAGAGGATCAGGATGCTTTGAGAGCAGACATATTTCTTTGTGAAATGTTGTATAAAAGAGAACTTTGTTGGGCAGTTTTACAAGCCATCCTGGTTGTGACACATCAGTGATCATTAGATGGTGCTTCAAGAGCAAGACCTACGGAATGTCAACACTTGGTACCTGAGGCTGAAAAACTTACCACAAATTCGCAGTGAAAATATCACCAACATGTTGTCAAGCCCGAGTTGGATGTCTCAGAGATTGTCACTGACGGGGATCTCATGGTATACACTGAAATTTCTCCGATGGGTTCCCACCTTGCCCTGTGACATTCAGCACTTCTAAATGGACCATTCGTGTGACTCTGAGTTGTTAAGGAGGAAGTGGATGATTGATATCTATCATTCTACTGGGCTTTCCCAGTGCTAGCTTCCTTGGAGTGATTAGAAAATTGGGTCCTGCCTCTGCGTCTCCTGTATGAGAAGAACAACTCTTTAACAAAGCAACATTAGAGGCAAGTCTCCAAATCTCTCAGAATTTGGCAAACTCCTTGGCTTCTAAAGATTCAGAGTTGTCTGGGATCCCTCAGATCTTCATACGTGTCTTCACCTTCTCCTGAGATCCCACTGTTGTTGTTACAGCCATAGTTGACCCTTATTTTTCCCTTGAGTTTCTGCATGATCTACACTTCTGCTTCTGCTCGAATGGCTACGTAGGAGTTCTCTGATGCTTGTGACTTTTATTATGGACACAGTTCCCCCCGCCCCCAGCCTAGATCCCTGTCATTTTTCACTGATGATCTTGAGTAAAAGAGAACGGTATGCAGGATGAGCGAATGTTCACTCTAAGGAGGAGCTAAATTGGAAAGTCTGCAGGTGGCTATTTTCAGTTATTGTCACTGTGGGACAGGATTAACTCTAAACAGGAGACGCAAACAATAAGAGAGCCAGAGCATTATTGCTATAGTCAATATCAGGTTGTATAAAATCTCAGTTGCAATTGGTAAAATCATTTCTTCTTCAATCTCTTTCTTAAGCATAGCATAGATCAAGTGACCAGACAACATTTTGAGATGGATTAAATATTTGTCGCTGGGTATTTGTATTCTCCTTGCAATCACTGCCCTTTTGGCAGAAGAGAACATTGATTGTGATTTAACAGACTATTGGATCATGTATATCATGGGCATATACTCATGAGAGGCAAATTATATACTGGTTGGATGAAGACTATTTTGGGTAACACCATTTATTCATTTTTCTGTCAGCTTTTCTTGAGAAGCAATCTTCCATTTTTTGGTAAGAGGACCATGAACCGTTGTAAATTTATATTTCTGTATTGGAAGTCTGAGGGTGTGACTTTCCTGCTACCAATCAAATAAAACTCATTTGCTATCTGTTTTGTGTCCAGATTCTCAAAAACGTGTTTGCTTGTTTCCAGGGAAATGGTCCTTTAAAATAAGGTTCTGAGCATCTCTTGTTATTGTGTCTTTGGAAGGTAGACTTTATTCATGACACCAAACTCCCTCTCTAACACACACACAGATACAGACACATACAGACACACACACACACACACACATTTCCCCTGACAAAAAAGTTTTGCTTTGTGTTCCTTACAAGAAGTGCCTTTTGATCAGACCAAGTTGCTTTGTTCTTTTTTTTTTTTTTAATGAATTTACCCACATCAGGAAGTCTTGAATTAACCTGCTACAAAATTTCATTCTTAAACAAATTTAAAATCTATATTAGATACCTGGAGAAAAAAAAATCATCTTTTAATGCCTTTAACGCTCAAAACTGACATTATGAGAGAGATTAGTAGGACAAAGCAAAGCAACTTCATTCAAACAGTTTAGATCTGCAGGCTTCTGTGGACAGATGGGAACCTAGCACCCAAAGATTTGAGTTGAACCACAGAAGGAATAAAACAGATAGTTTAGTATACCTGGGAACAGAACCTACACGGGAGACCATTACCAATATACCTAAAAGATTCATAGAACATACCAGAAGCCCTGGAGTTTTATTTATGGAAAAAATAAGAATATTCCCTCTCCACAGATCATGAGGTAAAACTAACAAAATAAGAGCTAGATTCTGATTTATATCTCATACATTTACATTTAAATTGTATTTTTAAAATCCACATGTTATCTAGGTTGAAATATACTATGTAAAATTGGTTTTCTCACAAATATATTTAAATTTTAAATACAAATTACCCAAATTAAACTGCCTTTGCCATGGGAAGTATGAAAACCAACTTTAACCTGGGGACAAATTTGGTCTTCATTTTCACATTTAAAAGTGGAACTTAATGTCTCTTCTAGTGCTAATATTCCACAGGATCTTAATTTTTAAAAGGAAATTAGGTATATTTAAATAGAAGATAACATACATCTAGAAGGCGTTTAAAAATAAATATTATTGGATTGGAGAGATTAATGAGAGAAAATTTTAAGCAAAAAATTTAAGGTTTAAAAAAGTATATATGTTTTATCCGTATTTAAAGCTGATGGCAACATTTTGCTTAGTTATGTTCTCTGGAAAGCGTTTATATAGAAAGATAATGTCTCGGCATTTATGAGGTTTTCAAACCAGTCCATCTTGTTCATTCCAAGTACTTAGTGGCACCTGTGGAGATGGCCACCAGGGCAAACATGCCTGGCAGTGGAGCCACAGAGACAGACATCAGCAGATGCTCCCAAATCCTAGACTCACAAAGTAAAGTAAAGTAAAGGCCCTCCCGTTGATCATCGATTTGCTCGAGCGGGCCCAGTAACGTCTCCATTGGAGACTTTGTTGTTACTGTGTCTGGCATATCGAATTCCTCCGCCCCTCTCGGAGAGCCCGGCAAGCTACCCAGAGTATTCGATATGCCTAGACTCACAGCCCCAAGTAATATCGATGCTTAGGAAATGAGGTACTGGGTCTGAACTTTTGTTTCTTCGTAGCCATAGATGCCCATCTCTACCAAATCAAACGCCAAAATATATACACACTTGGAGCCAACTCCCCCACCTATGTACTCGTAGCCTAGATTTTTTTCCATGCTCTCTACACAGAGCAATGACCAATGGCTTTGTGCCTAGCAGATCTGTCAATTATTGATCCAATTATTGGCCCCATTTTGCTCAATAATTATATGTCCTGAGTGAAAGTATAAAGCCGATAAGTGAAACAAATCATTCCTTCATGACCACTGAATGACTTACAGAGATATAGGTCAAATATGTTGATGACTCTGACAATTAGGAAATAATTCTATACAGTCAGAAGGAATTTCTAAGGAACAAGTACAAGTCACATTATTTACAGACTCCATGGTCTAGAAAGAGCTATGGCAGAGAGGTCAAAAATTAGATCAAAACTAACCTTAAGTAAAACATTAAAGTTGTGCCACTGAGAGTTAAAAGAAACCAATATGAGATGGGGAGATGGGAATGTATTAAAATTAATACGAGATACGTGGTCAAGAAGTTCACACACTGAAATAATTACTGTACACATAGTAAATTGTCATAGTAGAGTTTGGTTTCTGCATTTTAAAAAATAATTGGGTAAAAGTAGGAGCTAAATCTGAGATAAAAGCCTGGAAATTAAAAAAAAAAAATTCTCACTTGAGAAAAAGTGAGAATTTTTTTTATCTGAATTTTTTTTAAATTTTTATTTGAATCCATTGAATAAATTTTTTTTATCTGAATCTACTGAAACGCCAAAAAAGTAATTTGGAATATTAAAACATTGTTTCTGTCTTATTTTCTTTTCACTTCCGTAGACTTCTAAAGTGAGTTTAGTTGGCAGTGCCAGCTCAAGGCTAATGGCCCAGAAGTGAGATTTGCTGTGACACAGAAGCCTCACTGGGACATCGCAGCAGATATAGGTGTGATTCTCAGGCTTCCAGTGAAGTGAAACTTGCTGTGTGTCACCCGGAGCAAGTGAAACTTGCTGTATCTCACCCGCCTTCCAATTCTGTTTCTGACTCTTGACTCATTCTTGCCATCTTTATTGGGAGTCTTGGATACAGACCTAGCCTTAAGCCTTACGCTTTGTGAGAGGAGGTCTTCAACCATGATCTTCGTAGACAAGGACTCCCGTGCTATGGAGCCTAATGATTCCTCAGGAAGGAAGCGGCCGTGGCCCCCATACTTCCCACTCTTGTTAGGCTTCAATTGTTAGTATTGCTTTGATTTGATTATGTACTTGTGTTCTTTCCTCATGGGTGGGTGCCTCGATTCTCTTCTGTCACAGCAACAATGCTCCCTTCTGGCCCAGTACACTCCCCCGCCAGCCCCTCAGGGCTCTTTGGGCTGTTGGAGTCCTGCTGGCAGTTTCTCTAGGCCTGGGCTTTGGACACCGTTAAAGGATGCTTTTGTGTGGATGTTCCTCTTGGATTCTCTTTACTGATGTCTCGCCTTAAAACCTTCGTTGTCTTTCAGCTCATCAAGGTGGCTTTGGAGAAAAGCCTGGCAGCAGTGGAGACCCAGAATGTCTCCCTCCTTCCTCCTTCCTCCGCAGAAGGGGACTGTAACAGGGGTCTTCAGGAGGAAATGCTTCACCTGAGGGCTGAGATGCACCAGCACTTAGAGGAGAAGAGGAGGGCTGAGGGTGAGCTGAAGGAACTAAAGGCTCAAATCGAAGAAGCAGGATTCTCCTCTGTGGCCCACATCAGGTAGGATATTCACCCCAGAGAACCGCCTCCCCACCTAACCTTCCAGCCATCTCCACTGGGGCGGTGGGCTCGCTCTCCTCCCACCAAGTCGCCCTCTCAGAGCTGGGTGCAGACCTTACCTCACCTAATATCCTCCATCGTAGGGAAACACCCACCGGAGGGTCTGTTATCTGCCACAGCAGGACTAGGAGCCACGGCCAGCCTGGGGCTTGCTGGCAGCAGGTCCACAACCCTCCATCCTGGGGATTCCCCACAGCATCCCGTGGTTGCCGTAGCCAAGGGCATTGCTGTAGCCAGGACATTTATGCTTCTTGGTTCATCTCCTAGGGTGTAGCATTGATGGCTCTAGAAGTTCTTTTTTTTTTTTCTTTTTGGGTCACACCCGGCAATGCACAGACGTTACTCCTGGCTCATGCACTCAGGAATTACTCCTGGCGGTGCTCAGGAGACCAAATGGGATGCTGGGAATCAAACCTGGGTTGGCCGTGTGCAAGGCAAACGCCCTACCCTCTGTGCTACCACTCCAGCCCCGGCTCTAGAAGTTCTTAAAGAACAGCTAACAATATCAGCTGACTATCAGTTTTATTCATCTTATTCAAATAAATATGGCCTTAGTTCAGTATTGTAATGTAATGATTAAGCAACACTTGATCTTCTTCGATGAAAATCTCCGAGTTTTTTTATTCTTTGTTTGGGCCACACTCAGTAGTGCTCAAGACTTAGTGCTGGCTCTGTGCTCGGAGATCACTCTTGGCAGGACTAGGGAACCACATGGGGTCTGGGGGATGGAACTCCAGTCAACTCTATGAGAAGCAGGTGCCTAACCCACTCTACTATCCCTATGGCCCCTCTTCTGAATCTGTTTGGTGCTATTCCTTTGAGTTTACCGGAACACCAACAGATATCTTGAAAATCAAAATGCTTCCTGCTAAGTGCATCTTCTGCTGTGTGAAAAATGCCTCCTCGCTGTGTGCAGAACCGTGGTTGAGGAAGGGTATATGTACAGTGGCCCTCTCCAGCACCACTCATCCTACAAGAAGAATCCCTAATTTTAATTTTAATCATTTCAGTTTGACTAACTTACTGTCACTGTCACTGCCCCTGTCACTGTCCTCTCGTTGTTATCGATTTGCTCGAGTGGGCCCTGTTACATTGTGAGGCTCGTTGTTACTGTGTTTGGCACACTGAATACATCGCAGTAGCTTGCCAGGCTTTGCCGTGCGGGCGAGATACTCTCAGTAGCTTGCCGGGCTCTCCGAGAGGGACAGAGGAATCGAACTCGGGTCGGCCGGATTGGCCGTGTGCAAGGCAAACACCCTACCTGCTGTGACTAACTTACAAAAATGGCAAATATATTGGCTTGGTGGGCCATTCTGTCTTTAATGGCTTTTTATAAAAAATACTAAAGGAAAGTGTTGACCATGTAGAGTGAGTTCACTGATTCACTTATTCCCAGGGGCCATAGTCATGATGGCCTATTGTTTAGAGCACAGCTGCGCAGATCTGTCATTTCTAACCCAGACCCTACTGTATCCCAGTCTAATATAACTAAATAGTAGCATAATTTTAGCACTGAAGGGGTTCATGGCCCCGTGGACTAATGCTCTATTCCAAAATCAAGAAAACTCAGGCCTCCAATGCTCATTTCATGCCAAAGTTTACTTAAGTGTTCATGTCTAGATCCCTTGCTCCGAATTTTAAAACACCTAATTCTCAGTTTTGTTTTTTGTTTCTTTTAGTGAAACAAAGCAGTTCTTACTGAAAGAAATGTCATTAGAAATGTGAGAGGAGAGAAAGAGATAGATATGTGTTCAAGAGAGAACAGGCTTCTTGTGGAAGAGCAGAGAATGGCTTTTGGGAGAAGGTCACACATCATTTCTCCAAATTATCCTGGCTTGAACTGTCACTGTCACTGTCCTCCCGTTGTTCATCGATTTGCTCGAGCGGGCCCAGTAATGTCTCCATTCTGAGACTTGTTGCAACTCTGGCATATCGAATACGTCACAGGGAGCTTGCCAGGCTTTGCCGTGCAGTCGAGATACTCTCGGTAACTTGCAGGGCTCTCAGAGAGGGGCAGAGGAATAGAACCCGGGTCGACCGGGTTGGCCGCATGCAAGGCAAACACCCTACCCACTATGCTGTCGTTCCAGCCCATCCTGGCTTGAAGTTCTCTGCAAACATGAGAGTTAACCTGGGTGTTGTTACAGGGAAAACCTTAGACTTTTGATCCTTTCATACTCTTATCACTGTCTGGCTGAGCCCATTTGACTTCTTCCCCAAATTCGAAAGTTTTATCTGGCAGTATTGCAAAGGCTTTGGGGACACCTGGCTGGGCAGGTCAGTGGCTGGTCTCAGGAAGATAATCTGTGACAGGAGCCAGACAGAGAGCAACTAATACAGGAGTAGAACTGATTGTAGTTCTGATCAGTGTAATTTATTTCTTCCATGTTTCTGGGTCTACATCTCTCTCTCTCTCTCTCTCTCTCTCTCTCTCTCTCTCTCTCTCTCTCTCTCTCTCTCTCCCTCTCCCCCCCCTTTTGGTGATGGTGGGGGGTATACCCAGTGATGCTCAGGGCTTACTCCTAGATCTGTGTTCAGGGATCACAGAACACAGATGGGGCACAGCATGGGTTGGGCACAGGAGAGGTCCCCAATTTTTTATACAGTTGAGAACTGTCTGATGATAAAGAACAGACCAGAGAGTGCATGTTGCAGGGGGCCCCGGTAACCACTCTCCGGCCCGTGAAGGTGGCCCGAGGATTGATTCGATGGTGCAAGGAGGGACCAACCGAATGAACACGAGACACAAGAGACAGAGTACAGTTTAGAAACAGAGAGAAAAAGGAACAGGCTTCATTGAGGGATACAGGCTGTTTATATAGGGTCAGGGCAGCTCAGTCAGGAGCAGAAGCAATATAACCATATATGATAAGGTCAGCAACAAGAGCTTTACCTAACATTCAGGGTAGACATTTGTACATCAAAGGGTCTTAGGGCAGTAGATACATCCTGGAGGTTACTATAGATAAGGCCAGATAAGATAACTGTCAGCCTGATGTTATTTTCTATAGATCAGGCATTCACTGAGGTCAGGAAGCCCTGGGAGACTGTCACCAATGTTTGTCCCAAGCAGTTCCTAACATGGGAACCATGGCCAGGGTCTATGAGAGGGCTCTTGGCTTCCCACAGCATGTAATAATTTTTTTCCAGACAATATTTTTCTTTTTTTGTTGTTGTATTTTTTTCCCCTTTTTGGGTCACATCTGGCAGTGCTCAGGGATTACTCCTGCCTCTGCACTCAGCGATCACCTCTGGTGGGGACCAAGGGACCATATGGAATGCCAGGAATCAGACCCAGGTCTGCCACGTGTGAGGCAAGCTCCCTACCCACTGTATGGTCACTCTGGCCCCACCAGAAAAGTTTCTTACTTTGTTTCTATTAGAGTAAGTAGTGTCATTGAGTTCCAGAGGCCACTGAAAATAAGAATATGAGGCGCAGGTAAAGGCAGCTAGGCTGGGCGTACTAAGTTGGAGGTTTTTAGTGACACTCTGTCCAACTAAGAGTCCTCGATAGTGCAGGCACGTTTCTCACTCTTCCTGGGTTGGTTTCCTGGTCTAAACTGTTAAGGGCGTTGTCCAGGTCTGTGAGTTTGCTTCATGCGCTGTGTGTCTCTGAGTGTCCCATGGCTTCGTGTGAGTCCTGAGAAGAGTGTCAGAAGTGTTAGACCGGCCCGCCTCCAACCATGTGTGTTTCCCACAGGAACACTATGCTGAGCCTTTGCCTTGAGAATGCGGAGCTGAAAGAGCAGATGGGAGAAGCAATGTCTGATGGATGGGAGATTGAGGAAGACAAGGAGAAGGGCGAGGTGACAGTGAATACTGTGGTAGCCAAAGGGAATCCGAGTGAGAATCAACTCCAAGCAGAGTTCAGAAAGCTCCAGGGAAAACTGAAAAATGCGCACAATATCATCAACCTCCTCAAAGAACAACTGGTGCTGAACATTAAGGAAGGGAATAGTAAACTTACCCCGGAGCTCCTGGTGCATCTGACAAAGGAGATCGACAGAATGAACACAGAGCTAATTGGCTCTCCCGGGAGGTACCGATGCCGGGAAGAGGAGGATGTGACCATGAAGCCCTGCCCACGACCCCAGAGCCTTGACCTGGGGGCCGCCCTCACCGTGGATGTCCAAGTAAGTCTGGGCTTAGATGCTTAGATGGCGTGAAAGACCCAGGGGGAAAGGCCGGAGGTGTCAGTTTTTGCTTGAAACAGTTGGTTTAGAGGCCAGAGAGATAGTACAGCTGGTAGGGCATTTGTCTTACGCGTGGTTGATGCAGGTTTGCACCCCAGAATACCATATGGTCTCCTGAGCCCTGCTGGAGTGATCCTTGAGCCAGATCCAGGACTGGAAATCCCTGAGAAACACTGGGTGTGGCTCCAAACAAACAAAATAATAAATAAATAAACAGTTTAAGCCTTGTGCATTGGGAGGTACTGAGCAAAAGGCACCTTTATATCACATGCAGTGATAACTATTTTCACTCAGTCAGCCATTGGAAAGGATTTACAGCATCACCTTGTAAACATTCATCTCTTAAACACTTCTTTAGTATTTATTTCCAGATAACATGCCAGTCAATGAGATCTAGTTTTCTCCCAATAGGTGCTCAGTATGGTTAGGAAAGATAGCCCCAAACCAGGTCTTTGCATTTGATTGCATCGTAGGTATGCATGGTTTTTTTTTTAATTTTTATTAGTAAGGCATCATGAGGTACAGTTGTAGACTTACAAATTTTTGTGCTTGGGTTTCAATTATGCAATGATCAAATACCCATCCCTCCACCAGTGCCCATTTCCCACCACCACGGGTCCCAGTATCCCTCCCATCCCCCATATCCCCCATCCCACCCTGCCTCTGTGGCAGGGCATTCCCTTTTGTTCTCTCTCTCTCTTATTGGGTGTTGTGGTTTGCAAAAGAGGCAATAGGTGACAATCATGTTTGGTCTATAGTCTACTTTCAGCAACGCATGGGTTTTTTAAGGCAGTCCCAACAAATGGTATGTGATAACATCTCTTCACTGACATTCATCACGGCTTATTCCAGGTCCTTTACGGGGCTGTCTGTATTTGCTGAAGGGAAAGGTCTTTGTGAGGATTAAATAAAAGGGACAATGCCAAGGGTTCTGAGACACCCACAGGGGCAGAGTTCAGGCAGCAATCCAGTCCTTCTCTTCAATGACTGAAGTCATTGAACTGACATTCACTGAGCGATCCAATTGGCATGTGCCTTCTGCTGCAGACACCACAGGTGAATCCAACATGACCACAGTCATGAGTTGTCTGGATAGAGAAGACCTGTTACATGCCAGGAGGAGCACCATGACTGTCTTGTAAATGGAGTCTGCAGGGTTCATTCAGAAGGGGACGGGCCAGAGAGTTGGTTACTTGGGGAATGTCCCAGCGCTCCCCTGACCCCTCTGCTGACTCCGTTCACAGCTGGACCGCCAGCCTCAGGCCTGTGATCCGAGGGCCCAGGCAGAATTGAGCCTTTCAAGATCCACCAAGCACTTGCGCTCGCAGCTGGCCCAGTGCAGACAACACTATCAGGACCTCCAGGAGAAGCTGCTGATATCGGAAGCCACTGTCTTTGCCCAGGCCAACCAGCTGGAGAAATACAGAGTCATGTTTAGTAAGTCTTTGCTTCACCATCCCTGAGAAACTCTCTCCTGTGAGACTCATCATTTTTACCCCAGCCTCAAGTTATATTTAATCTCAGCATAGCCCTGGAATTGTGAAAGAGGAAATGTAACTTCACTTTGAAGTTGGAAGAAAGGAATTGAACAGCTTTGCTGTGAGAGTACAGTCAGGGAATGAGCTAGCCTCTGGGTTTGCTGATTGCTGGTATAGTTACTAAAGTAACTGCCTATGTCTTCCAGCAGAGATGAGTTATTTCTTTTCTGCTGCTTTTTGCCTTATATCTGTATGAGCAGTACCAGACAGATCTGATACAACTAAGTCAGGTTCCAGGAGCCCAGAGGTCCCATTAGTGGACTGCCTGGAGGACCGTCTTCTCGACAAATCTTTGTCAGGGCTGGAGTGATAGCACAGCGGTAGGGCGTTTGCCTTGCACGCAGCCAACATGGCTGACCCGAGTTCAATTCCTCTGCCCCTCTCGGAGAGCCCAGCAAGCTACCGAGAGCATCTCGCCCACACGGCAGAGCCTGGCAAGCTCCCCGTGACGTATTCGATATGCCAAACACAGTAACAACAAAGTCTCCAATGGAGACATTACTGGGCCCGCTCTAGCAAATCGAAGAACAACTGGAGGACAGTGACATCATGCCTAGGTTTGATTTTCCACGCCCCATATGGTCCCTTGAGCACACCAGGAGTGACCTCTGAGCGCAGAGCCAAGAGTAAGCCCCGAGTACCATGTGTGTGGGCTCTCAGAATCAATCAGTAAATAAAAGTATATCATTATTGTTCCAGAATCACTGTGTTGTAATAGAACTTCCTGAAGTGATGCATGATATATATTTGATCTACACACGCACACATCGGTATGTGTATGTGATGCGTGAACCTGTATTACTGCAGGTGACAGACATCTGCATAACCTGGAGCTACGGAGCTCACGAAATGGCTGGTTTAACTTGGGCATCTTAATTTTATTCAGTTTTTGTTAATTTGCTACCAGCTAGCCCCGTGTGCTAGTGGACACTTAGGAAGACAGTGCAGAATATGTGTCTTGGGACTCTCCTTTATTTAGTTTGTATTTAAATATTTTGAGTTCGATTCCTCCGCCCCTCTTGGAGAGCCCAGCAAGCTACCGAGAGTATCTCGCCCGCACGGCAGATCCTGGCAAGCTACCCGTGATGTATTCAATATGCCAAACACAGTAACAAGTCTCACCATGTTACTGGGCCTGCTCGAGCAAATCAATGAACAACGGGAGGACAGTGATTCTTGATTTAAATATTTGCCAAACCCCCAAGAAAGCCTTGGCTAGTCTTACTGAGACTGCTGGAGATAGCACTGTAGCACTGTCCTCCCGTTGTTCATCGATTTGCTCCAGCGGGCACCAGCAACGTCTCAAAAACAAATTGTGAGACTTGTTGTTACTGTGTTTGCATATCGAATACGTCACGGAGAGCTTGCCAGGCTTTGCCGTGTGGGCAAGATACTCTCGGTAGCTTGCCGAGAGGGACGGAGGAGTCAAACCCGGGTCAACCACCTGCAAGGCAAATGCCCTACCCACTGTGTGTTTCAGACTTCTGGTCTCACTGGGCCGGGTGACATGTAAGTGGCCCTGAGTCATGAACACACACACACAGGCGTATCCTGGTGAAGGTAAATCCTGTTGCTGCTCCATGACACGTGGGAACGGGGCACCTCTTGCTGCCCGGGAGGTTCAACTCTCCTCTTACAAGGGCTGCCTTCCCAAAGCAGGGGAATCGCCGGTGAAGCAGGACAGCAAGCAGATCCAGGTGGACCTCCAGGACCTGGGCTATGAGACGTGTGGCCGCAGCGAGAATGAGGCTGAGCGGGAGGAGACCACCAGTCCCGGTAAGCACTGCTCCCCGCCCCCCATCCCCACTTCCTCCCCCAATCCAGCGTCCACACTGCATGCTGCTGGCCTTTCCCACCTGATAAGCGGTGGGGACAGAGGATGCTGGAGACTGGACCAGAGAGGGACGGAAGCCTGAAGGAGGACTCTTGTCCCCAGCGAGGCCGAGGATGAATCTGAATTGCTATAACTTCAGCAGACGGCTCTTGATTTTGAAAATGTTCTGGTTATTTTGGTGATTATTATACCAACAGCTTGCTTGTCAATGAGAAGCTGTGATCAACTTTACGGGCCATGCAACCATAACTTAAAAACAGTAGTTTTTCAACCAGACCTCTTTAGTACAGTGGGCAGGGCACTAGCCTTGCATGTGGCAGGCTTGAGTTTGATCCCAGACACCCCATATGGCCCCAACCCACCAGGAGTGATCCCTGAGCACTGAATCAGGAGTAAGTCCTGAGCACCACCAGGGATGGCCCCCCAAACCAATATATTAATAACAACAGAGTTTTTCGTTAGAAAAGGACAATGTCTATAGCAATATTGACTACATTATAGATCAGCAAAGGGGAGAACCTCCAGGTTGTGGGGAAGTTAGGAATTTGGAAGCGCCAAGGCTCCGTGAGGTTCTGCCTCCACATTTGCTCTAGGAATGCGTTACAGTCCTGATGACCAGTTATGTCCCTGGGAGGGAGAGGTCACTGCACCGTGCTCATGTTCTCCTGTTTTTTCAGAATGTGAGGAGCACAGCTTCAGGGAATCCATCCTGAGAGAAGGGCTGTGCTCTGAGCAGCGTGGTCTGGGCTCAGGCCCTGGGAAGAAGCCCTTGGTGAGCCAGCCGTGGACGCAGGACTTCCAGTCATACGGCAAGTCAGAAGATATCTCTGTCCTGCATAAGGACATCAGTGATCTGAAGGCCCAACTGCAGAACGCCCACAAGGTCATTCAGAACCTCAAGAGTCGGGTCCGGTCCCTCTCTGTGACTAGCGATTATTCCTCTAGTCTGGAGAGACCCCGAAAGCCGAAAGCCCCGAAGGCTGGAGGCCTCGAGGGATCGTCACCGCAGAGCGCCACAGATGAAGACGAAGGATGGCTGTCTGATGGCACTGGGGCCTTCTATTCACCTGCACTTCAGGCACAGAAGGACCTGGACAGTCTGATCCAGAGAGTGTCCCAGCTGGAGGCCCAGCTCCCCAGAACTGGTCTGGAGGGGAAGTTGAATGAGGAGCTGAGGTCAGCCCCCTGGCCTGGGTAAGGATGGCAGCACTGGGTTCCTGCTTGACTGGGGATGTCTGAGAGTAGGCCCAATGTAGGTGGACCAGGAAGGTGGTGGAGAGAGCCAGAGAACAATCAGAGGGGCTTGCGTTGAGGACGGCAGATCTGGGTCTGAGGAAAAGGCAGAGGAGACCTGTGCGGAGATGCCAGCCTCTGGGGTTTCCTCTTAGGGATGTTTGAGTTAAGTGGAAAATAAACTCTAGAAGTGGCACTGGAGTCAGATTGGAGTGTGAGTCCACTCCAGCACTTAGAGTGGTGAAATCTACTTAGGCCTTCTGAAACTGTTTCCTTGCTTGATAAATGAGGCCATTAAGAGAGCCTGTCTAGAAGACTGGTTATTAAGTTTATGTGAACTAATATAAATATGTATAGAAATACAACACACATTGTAAAGTAACACAACTAACATATGAAAGAATAGAAGGAATGGTGGGATACCAAATTGTTTGATATGCAGTTGTGTCTTGTGGAAGAATTGATTCTAGATTTTCTGGTACTTTTAATATATAGCAGAGTATATTTTGGGGGAAATTTCCTATAGATGTTATCTTTATTTGGGGGGAAGTTTCTTATAGATTTTATCTGAGAAAACTCAATGTAACCCCCGATAATGTAGTCATTCTTTTCTTTCCTTGCTCTGCTTCCCTACTTTAGAAAATATGATTCCTTGATTCAGGATCAGGCCCGAGAACTATCGTACCTACGTCAGAAAATACGAGAAGGGAGAGGTATCTGTTATCTTCTCACTCAGCATGCAAAAGATACAGTGAAATCTTTCGAGGACCTTCTGAGAAGCAACGATATTGACTACTACCTGGGGCAGAGCTTCCGAGAGCAACTTGCCCAGGGAAGCCAGCTGACAGAGCGGCTCACCAGCAAGCTCAGCACCAGTAAGTGTGGCTTCACGCTGGCCTTTGGGACACTCAGTTCCACGTTCAAGGCCACAGTGGTCACCATCGTCTGCTCCAGCTTTTTAATTCAGTGTCCTTCTCCACTTCATTTCTTCATCTCTGGGACGGTTGCAAGGCAGGAGCTTGATGGTGGTGGACACCCAGTGAAAAGATATGGTGTGGGGGATCCCTTGTTTATAAAGGTCCACATCTTATGCCCTTTTGTGCAGGAAACTGCATCCACTCAGTACAAAGGTTGGAAACGCAGATAGGATTAGGTATATCCTATTATAGTGAGTGGTGCTCCAAACGGAGTATTTTTTTTTTTTTTGCTTTTTGGGTCACACCTGGCGATGCACAGGGGTTACTCCTGGCTCTGCACTCAGGAGTCACTCCTGGCGGTGCTCAGGGGACCACATGGGATGCTGGGAATCGAACCCGGGTCGGCCGCGTGCAAGGCAAACGCCCTACCCGCTGTGCTATCTCTCCAGCCCCCAAGTTGGTATTTTGAGACCCAAATTCTAGTCTGAGTGCTGTCATTCACTGATTTTGGGCAAATGACTTCTTTTAATGTCTCTGTTTCTTCACTTACTTGTGGTGTTAGAATTGAAATATGGATAAAGCATCATAACCGTTGGGCCATATTTTTGGCATTGTGCTATGGTATGGGGGGCAGTTGGTTATTGTTGGAACGCTTTGCTTAGAGAGAATTTCCTGAGAGCACTGAAGGAGTATAACATAGTCAGTCTCAGGAGATAAACAGCCCATGTCCCGGTGGCAAGTGAAGAGTTGGGTCAGGGAGGTCAGTCATCTCCTCAGAGCAAGACTGAGAAGGTTTTCCTTGAACCTACTGTTCAGTCTGTGGCAGGCTGAAAGACGCAGTGTTCCAGAGGGAAGCTAGAAAAGGAAAATTAATCACTTTTGACAGTGATTTAGGGCAAAGGAGGTCATGGTGGTGACCACGAAGTCACTGAGCTCAGGAAGACTTACCAGACCTCCCCTCAAAACACACAATCTGATTATGCCCCCAGAAGACTGCAGTGCCCTCAGAACCAGTTTTCAGTAGATCAATATATACTCAATATATAATCTTCCTATTTGTGCTGGCTATTCAGAGTCAACGGTATTCAGTGTTTGAAGAGTCCTGTGCATTTATAATGTGTGAAGTGGGACTGGTTAATTCTTTACTATGTCTTTCTGAATTTGATTTGCAGAGGATCATAAAAGTGAGAAAAATCAAGCTGGACTTGAACCCCTGGCTCTCAGGTAATTCAAAATAAAGTTGGTAAAGGAATCAGGGGAAAGATACAATTGATCAAGAATGACTGTCACTTCACAAATGGGAAATTCCTGTTGTGATGAATTTATTTATCCATTAAACACCTGACTGTTGTCTTGAATATTTACTTTTGATTTAACACTATTAATTTCTATTTGCATATCTGTTCTCCATGCTTGGTAATTTAGAATTAGTCTGACCCTCAATTGAACTAGCTAGAAATTGGGAGTCCTTGATATCCCCAAGATTTTCCTCTATTTTTTTTCCCTTGTGAGCTTAAAGACTTGAGTCTGCTTTTTAATCAGTTGAGTTACACAGAATGTAGTGGACAGTTAGTTTAATAGATGTACAATTTCCTTGGAGATAATACATCACATTAGAAGACATTACAATTCCTGAAGACTGCAGTGTCCTCAGAACCAGTTTTCAGTAAATCAATATATACTCCTAAAAGACACAGTCAAAGTTAGGCTCCATTTGTTGCAGTTCTTGAGTCCTTTGTGGCATAAGTGTCATTCAGATGATCCGGTTCTCAAAATGTCTGTGGTAACGGACAAGATGTTCTGTTCTCATTTCTGATTCATCACAGACATATACACAGCCTGTACCTCAGGCAACCAGAGGGTTTCACTTCCCATGCTCTTGGATGTTGCAGCAACGCCATACTGCTATGTGCTTCTCATGCTGGCCTTTAAAGTGTGTTCCTGACCTTGATGGAGTACAGTAACCGGCAATCTGGCCAACAGATGTGCTGGGGAACATACTCTCTGCAGTTGTGCCTTAGAGGACTGAGTCCTCAGTGGTCATAAGGCCTCTTCTTTGAGTAGTTGTCGGTCACCCTCCCTCTGAGCCCACCAACGCTCCACTTCAAGACAGAGAGAGGTTCTTTGGATGATTCTGCAGGAATGACTTGCTTGGCTTCAGCGATCTTCCCCTGCAGCATAGTCAGAGCTACTTGACCCAGTGGCCTGGCTTCACCTGTTGCCCTTTCTCATCCCACTAGACTCAGCAGGGAACTCCAGGAAAAGGAGAAAGTGATTGAAGTCCTGCAGGCCAAGCTGGACGCCCGTTCCCTCACACCGTCCAGCAGCCAAGCCTTGTCCGACTCCCGCCACACCCCCAGCAGCTCCTCCTTTCTGTCTGATGAGCTGGAAGCCTGCTCTGACATGGAAATAGCCAGCGAGTACGCACACTATGAGGAGAAGAAAGCTTCACCTGGGCCTTCAGGTAATTCGCGTTGACTGAGTTGTCCCCGCTTTGTCCATGCTCAGGGAAGACCCAGAACGAGACCTTTGAGACCCACCTTGGTGTGGATCAGATGGGACACAACGCGGCCGACACAGCAGGCCAGAATCTGTGTGTGCCCCTGACTCTGCTGGTTACCCTTGTGTCCTGGCTCTCCATTGGCGTGTGTATGCTGTTAGACCCATGGCGAGCCCCATAGTGAGAGTGAGATCATGGCAGATTTTCCTTCCGTGGCCTCAGGCTGACCTTTTACAACACAGTGACCATTTCTCCCTCTGATAATGGTCTTGCTAGTCACACTTGCTGAATAGTTTTCTGCATGTCCATGGGTGTCCATAGTTGGTGCCTGTCTTTCCCGGTGTTTTTTTTTCCAAGATGCTGAGACTACAATGGACTCTGTAGTGGCCTGCTTTGTCAAGCTACCTGTGAGGGATGAAATGGAGACTGCTCTCAGTGCTCATGCTCGGTGCTTTCCCTTAAAGCAGAGTACTTTTCCTGGTATCTCTGGTTTATGATTCCATTCCTCTGTAGAACACCAAACATTTTCTTTCATTCATGGATTTTATAGATTCCATCCATCATTCGACTCATTCTGCCGTACTGTCTCCTAAACCATCAGCAACCAGTGCACCTCAGGGGCTTAAAGCCGAACCCAGCTGCAATCCAATCAACTGTCCAGCTCCCCAGAATTCCCCCCAGGAGGCCATCCAGGCCCATCCAGGTATGCAGTAGCCAGCGGGTCAGGGGCTTCGGTTCTACTCCCCCTCTGCCCTTCAAGTTTTCTACAGGGAGAATGTTTCCACTACTATGGGCTTCATATGCATCAAGTCTTAGACTAAACCAAGAGCCCATCCAAACTGGATAATTTGGTATGACTTCTATCTGATTTCAGTATTTTAGAGAGGAGGACCAGAGCCCTAGGACAGCATATAGGGCATTTTGCCTTGCACATGGTTAACTGGAGTTCAACCCCCAGTATCCCATATGGTCCTCTGAGCATTGCTGGGGTAATTCTTGAGTTTAGAGTCAGGAGTAACCCCTCAGGATCACTGGATGTGACGCCTCCCAAAATAAAGAAAAGAAGAAAGAAAGAAAAGGCCCTCCCGTTGATCGTCGATTTGCTCGAGCGGGCCCAGTAACGTCTCCATTGGAGACTTTGTTGTTACTGTGTCTGGCATATCGAATACTCTCGGTAGCTTGGGTACAAATCCCAAAATAAAGAAATGAATAAATATTTTAGAAAATGAAATAATTCACAGTAGACTTTAAAGTACATCCCAATTTTGACCAATTGACCACTTATTTTTAAAAACACATTTAAAATTTATTTTTTGATTTTTGCCCTGGGTTGCAAAAAGGCAAAATATTTTGCCTAGATAATAATAGTTCAAGAATACAAACTGACTCACATTTACTGCTGATATATGGTAAAGGTAAAGGTAAAGGCCCTCCCGTTGATCGTCGATTTGCTCGAGCAGGCCCAGTAACGTCTCCATTGGAGACTTTGTTGTTACTGTGTCTGGCATATTGAATACTCTCGGTAGCTTGCCGGGCTCTCCGAGAGGGGCGGAGGAATCGAACTCGGGTCGGCCATGTTGGCCGCTTGTAAGGCGAACACCTTACCGCTGTGCTATCGCTCCAGCTGATATATGGTATGTGCCCCATATATGTCCTACATATATATATATATATATATATATGCCTATATATTTATATATTATCTGCCCAGGGTGCCTATACAGTAGGAAGAGGGACAGTAAGCCTAATATATAAGAATATTTCAGTGTCCTCAGATGTGACATTGTCATTTATGCATCAGGGAATAAGTTAGCCATTCTTGACATGCATATCCTATGTGCCCTGCGAGAGGGATGCATTTCATTTACTTGCCTCATCTCACTTGCCCAGGGATCCTGTTCAACTACTGTTCCTTGCTACAGATGCAGAGAAACGTGAGCCTACTCCTGACTGCATATGTGCTGGTTGCTTTTAGTGTATTTTTTTATGAGCCTGACTCAGTAAAAGTACTTCCAGAAAGCATAGTGCTTTCCTTCTGTTGCCCTCATCCTCCTGAGGATAAGTCCACCAAGGTCTTCAGGAAGAAGTGTCCTGACTCTTCCTGAGCCTGGGCTCAAGTTATCCAGGCCAGAGTAGACTAGAAATCATGGAGATAGCAGTTCTTTCAGTAAAGTAGACATCAGCATAAATGCTTGGGATCAAACTTAACAGAGAATCAAGGGTCTTAAAATATGATGCCTCACTGAGAGACACCTAGGCCATTTTACTTGGTAATTTTAGTGTCTTTCTGTACTACTCTGACACCATGCCATCATTCTGAGTAAGACACGTATCTAAAAATGAAATCATTGTCTTCCATGAGAGACATTTTCCCAGTGGTTAGTTATGGTTTCTTCTTGCTCCATAGGTTATCTGCACAGGTTATCTTTAAAGTGTTTTCTAGAAAGAGGGAATAGATTCAAACAATAACATTTTGGTTCCTAAAGATTGCTCTGTAAATGGACTACACAATGATCATTTGGAAATATTATAATATAAATTTCTTAGTTTTATTCCCATAGTTTATGGTTTAGTAGGACTCTATCAAGGCCCAAAGAATGAAATTATTAGGAATTTTTCCTTAAGTTACCAGAATGTCCAATTAAGGCCATAAGCCTTTGTTTCTACGCCACTTTGTCACAGCCATGAGTTTTACTTTGGTAACTTGACATGGTAATTTGGCATGCTGAAATTTATTTGCCTGCGTTAGTATGAAAACGAATGCTCTCAGAAGATGAATTCTAGGTGCAAAGAGCATCTTGTCTCAGTGGAAAGACATTATATATATATATATATATACACACACCAGAAACTCTTTGGACACTTATTTACTGTCTGGGCGTCTCCATGCCTGGGGAGATCATGAAAGGACCCTGATGGCTGCCTGAGTAACCACAATGTCAACTTGCCTGTCACAAACAAACAGTTTTTAAGTAATATACATTCAAGATAACTCTTGCAGTTGACAGGAGAGGAGTCATCCCAGGCAACCCCTTGAGTAGCAGTGCTAATCCTTGGCTGTGATCACCCTTCATCCAGCACCACATTGAATGAGGGTCATTTCACATGAGACCTCTTTTTCGGGGCATTTCATCCACTCATCCTTTTCCCTATTCGTGTCTCTCACTTTCTGTCTAATAATGTATCTGCTTTGTTCTTCACTCTCTGTTTCCAGGCCTTCATTTCCCCTCCATTCCCAGGCTGGTTAGCCCCCCTCGGGCACCACTGCCCTTAGGTCCCCACAGCTTCCCGCCTTTCAGCCCCACTGGCCCTCCGGTCCTTGGCTGCTGTGAGACACCGGTAGTCTCCTTGGCAGAGGCTCAGCAGGAGCTGCAGATGCTGCAGAAGCAGTTGGGAGAAAGTGAGCACTTCTGGTTGCACTTGTGTGTTTGCTAATTGATGCTCCATACTTCCTGTTCCTCTGCATGGCTTTGGTTTGATAGAAAAATTCAAAGCACACAATGCAGGGTTATGTGTTGCCAGTGGAAAGTAGCTCCGCTTGCGTTTTTGTGTGGGAAGTTTGTTTAACTGTTAACCTGCTGGTGTGTATATATTATCAATTAATAGGTATATGCATTCATCAGGCATCAGATCTGGCACTCTCCCAAGACCGACAGTGTGGCATACCAGTGGGAATGGTCAAGCCATGACGCAATGGGGATGGGAGCACAAGGAGAGATTTTATGCCTTGTCTGTGTCTTGCATGAATGTTACAACTTCCTGCCGTGACTTGCTTTCTTAAAAAACTTTATTTAAACATTCTGGTTTACAAAGCTTTATAATACAGTAGTTTCGGGCATTCACTGTTCCAACACCAATCCTGCCACCAGTGTGATCTTCCTTCTACCATCGTTCCCAGTTTCTCACCCACTTTCCAAGCCTGCTCCCTTGGCAGGAACAAAATAACTTGTTTTATATTGCTTGTTACAACAGAACGGTAAGTGGAATTATCAAAAAACAGTTCAGTAAAAGAAAATGTGTGGAAATTGATGTATCTCACAATGGGGTTATTAAAGTCGTTGCCTGAGGATTTGCTGAGCTGTTTGTTGCGAGTTGAGCTTAGTGGGCTTCTATGCTACTTTCCCATTTAATTTGCTGTGCTCCTACTGGGCTGTTAATATTGTGGAACTTGGACGTGTTCCAGGAGCCCCAGGATCTCCAAGACCTATAGAACTGGGCTGACTCTTGCTAGACCTGTCCCCCATTCTGAGAAGGCCCCAGAGTTTTTAGCCTAGAGACCTGTGAGTTTTATCCACATGGCTTGGCATCTGAGATAAGTCATGATGCTGTGAAGCTGGGCTGCTTGCGTGGCAGTGACTGTGGGGTGTGATTGTGACTGCTGGGGCTTCTGGAAGTCCAGGGGAAGGGAGAGGCTGCCTGACCCCATTCTGAGAAGGCTCCAGAGTTTTTAACCCCCCAAATATTGTACCTGCGAGTTTCATTGGCTTGGTGTCTTTTCAGAGATTGGTCTGAAGCAGTGAGTGGGCTGTCTGTATGGTAGTTACTGTGAGGTGTGGGAGCAGCTGCTGGGGCCCCGGCAGGGGAGGAGTTGACCTGCCCCCCACCCCAGAGAGGACCTCATAGCTTTTAGTTCAAAGATCGTGTACCTGTGTTTTGCCAGCTTAGCATCTCGTCTGAGATTAGTCATGACGCTGGTCATTTACATGGTGGATTTGGGTGTGGCTGCTGGGGCTTCTGGCAGCAGAAAATTGCTTCTTAGTTCTGAATTTTACATCAATAAGATGCAGTTGAGAAAGGGAGGAGGTGTGACAGAGTCCTTTGCCTATTGCAAAGGGGTTCATTTTTCCCTGGACAAATGATATGTGAGTAGATAGAACTCTCAGAAGTACAGGTTATGATACCTGAGTGTGACTCCTTTCTCTGACTCCCAGAGATACTTGCTCTAAGGCAGTCCAGATTGTATTCATAGACTTTATAGTCCTCTTTTAGAAAAAACTTTCTGTACAAATGAAGTGGATGCTCCCAATTTGTGTGTCTGTATAAACACCTGTAATTCAGGTGAAAATGAGGGAAAAATTCTCATGTGATACATTTAATTTTTAGTAGTATTTACAAAACAGTCACTAGAATGCATGTTGAGTTAATATCCTTGCAGCCACATTTTATGCTATACATTTTTACCCCCTCTATAACTTCCAGAAATACTAATGATTATGTAGTATTTTTCCAAAATGAGGAAAGACCAACCTATGATAATACTTCTTATATATTTGCTACTTGTTAGAATTACCCAGGATGGGCAACTGAAACCTCGTGGGAAGGGGGCGTTCCTGCCTCGTCCTTCACGCCCTACCGAGGTCATGAGTTGTCCCCCAGGAGCAGCTCCTCGGCACAGCCATGGCTCCAGAGCCACAGAAACCAATCTCATAATTATCTGACTCTCGGCAGAAATACTTCCAGGCTTAACAAGTAAAATACCAGAAATCCAAAATCACGCGGCTGTGCGACATCATTTGGTTCTTGTAACCAGCTGTAGAAAACAAATTATTTCATAATGCCTTTTCAGCAGGTCTGATTTTGGGGTGTAAACTCTAAATAATAATGGTGCATCTTTTGTCGAAACAGTGAATCTAATTAAAGTAGATAGAGTGTTAACTAGAATTCATCTGCCTCACAGGCATTGGGAGGGCTGGGAGGGGGGTATATTGGGGTTCTTGGTGGTGAAAAATAAGTACTGGTGAAGGGAAATGTGTTTGATGATTGCATGACCGAGACTTAAACCCGAAAGCTTTGTAACCTTTCCCACAGTGATTCAATAAATAAAAATTTTTAAAAAATAGAATTACCCAGGATGATTTGAAAGTACCCAGTGGTCAAGTTGTTCTCCATATCAATTAAGGCAACATCTCTGAGGGTCTAGGTATCAGCTTAGTTTTAACTGCCTTAGGTGATTTCAATATGGACATTAAAGAACCAGTTACAAGAGAGGTGAAGAGTTGCAATGGCCAATTGCATGAATCCTTTACCGAGTTGAATTCCATTTGAGGAAACAGTGATTAGATGAAGCTGCCGATGTATTCTGCTCTCTCTACTGACGCTCCACCCGGGAGTAAGCAGCCCTCTGAAAGGAAATGTCTCACTCTGACCCTGCCCATTTCTCTCCTCGGGGCTGAACTTTTTTTTTTTTGCATAGAAGACTCAAGTGAAGACCTATAATTTCTTAGCATAAATAAAATGAAAGGTCCCACCTTACCAGATGGTAGTGTTCCAAGAATCCATTAGGAAAGAGTGATGACATTTTGCAGTTCCTTGATTCATGTTGGGTGAGACTCAAATTCTACTTGACTTCCCATAGAAATCCCCCAGCCTCTGTAAAGCCTTACTTTACAATCTGGAGGAAGTGGGTTCACCATGTCAGCTGGATTGCATGTCTCCTTTCTCTTCTTAGAGCCCCAGGAGAGAACTGGGAAAAAATTAGATTCTATGGTAACAAGTAATCAGACAAAAAGTGTTTCTATTAATGATTTGCTTTGTACTATGCGGGGGGCCCCGCCAGACCACTCTCCGGCCTGCGGAGGTGGCCCAAGGATCCGTAGGTGCTGGGAAGGACCGACCGAATGAACATGAGACACAAGAGACAGAATGCAGCTCAGAAACAGAGAGAAAAAGGGACAGGCTTTATTGAGGGTGATGGGGGTATATATAGTGAGGCAGCTACACAAAGGGTCGTGCTCAAAATGTGGTTAGGAAAGTTACAGAGTCTATAAGTTTAACATACCATGCATTACAAGGCTTATACTAAGTTAATCATTGTCAGTTACAGCCATGACAATTGTTTTCTCAGGATAACCATACAAAGCACAGGCTTTACCTGCCGAGGGTCACGTAGGTCAGGATAGCCCTACCTAGCACAGGCTTTACCTGCTGAGGGTCACGTAGGTCAAGATAGCCATGCCACAGGCTTCACCTGCTGAGGGTCACATAGGTCAGGACAGCCGCACAGGCACGTAGGCTCTTGGTCAGTTAAAGGGCCAGCTTCCCACAGTACTATTTCACATGTCACTCTTACCCACTGACTTTGAAAATGAGTTCTACTTCTGGAACTTTCCTGTACCTTATTATGAGAAATTACAGTAGAAGCAAGGAATGAAGCCACTGTACTTTTCTGTATGTGTATTCTAGTGACTTTATCCTTTTCCTCGTGAGTTCTCACGCTATCATACATGGGGGTGAAAGTTAGAGCATGAGAGTTGTGTCTTAACTCATTGGTATTTTGCAGTGGGCTGGTGTCTCTGACATCCTGCTTGTCCCCTTCTGTGTCTGCTTTCATCCCTTGTACACTTCCCTGCTGATCCCTCTCTGATGCAGTGTCTCACTTGTGTTTCTTTCCGTGTAGGTGTTAGCTCCGTCAATCCTGCTTCCCCAGCAACACTATTGAGCAACAATTCAGAAGCCAACTCCTCCCACTACCACAACCCTTCACAGCCCCACTCTCTGAGGGGTGCCATAGAACTGGGCAGAATCCTGGAGCCTGGGTACCCCAGCAGCAGTGGCCAGTGGGATCTGATGACCCCTCAGAAAGGAAGTGTTTCTGGAGATCTCTCCTCAGGCTCATCTGTGTACCAGCTTAACTCCAAACCCACAGGTAACTGCAGAGTTGGGACTCTACCTGTGAAATGAAATCTCACTTATGCTCATTCTTACCTGAACATGGATGAAAAAGAAAAAGACTTCTAGTTCCCACTCTCAGAATGGGGATAATATGAAAGGGCCTTGTGGCGTCATCCTCCCCAAGGGCACCTCTGTCTTCCCTGCCCAGGGCCTTGAGTCTCTACTGGGTCCTGGGAGACTCAGGAACCCATCTTTGTGCTCCCACAGTTGTCCCTCTCTCTGATTCTCCAGCTTTCCCAGCCCACATAGATGCTTCTAGAAGGCCAGCATAAACATTCCCAGGATGGGCTTTTGTCGCTCAGGAGGCTGAAAGGGGAGAGGCCTGGTGACAGTCGCAGGGGAATGTCACTGTCCAAGGTCAATGCAGCTCGGATTCACAGTACGAAAATGACTGCAGAAAAAGACTGCACCTGAGCCGAAACCAAACAGCAAAGTTGTTTTCAGTTTCTTTACACTTGTCTTCTGTTTTATGGGCAGTTCTTCCTCCCCTAGAGTGTTCACCATGGTCCCAAGATGCACATAGACTATCATTCTTTCTTCTGTGCTCACAGTGATAGGAGCGGGGCATTTAGTATCTGTCATTTATCACAGAGGCTGAGTTTATTGTCTAGGGATTTTGCTGAGACCTTTCTCCACGTGCCGAGGAAGCCCATCGTCCCATGACAGAGAATGTTCAGGGAAAGGTATTAGGGGGGAGGGAGGCCTCTCTGTCACGTGCCTTTCCAGAGGCCTGGCAGGCCCTGCCCACAGCCTTTGATGACGCTTCTATTTTTAAAAAAAATTTTATTAAATCACCGTGAGATAGTTACAAGTTTTCATGTTTGGGTTACAATCACACAATGATCAAACACCCATCCCTCCACCAGTGCACGTTCCCCACCACTAATCTCCCCAGTATACCCCCTCTTTCCTGCCCTCCCCCTGCCTCCATGACAGGTGATATTCTCCATACTCTCTCTCTACTTTTGGGCATTATGGTTTTTAATACACTGAGAGGTCATCATATTTGTTCCATTATCTACTTTGAGCACACATCTCCAATCCCGACTGATTCCTCCAGTCATCATTTTCTTAGTGATCTCTTCTCTATTCCAGCTGCCTTCTCCCCTGCACTCATGAGGCAGGCTTCCAGCTATGGAGCAATCCTCCTGGCCCTTGTATCTACTGTCTTTGAGTGTCAGCCTTGATCGGTTACGGTCCTCCCGTTATTCATCGATTTGCTTGAGCGGGCCCAGTAACATCTCCATCGTGAGACTTACTGTTACTGTGTTTGGCATATTGAATTCGTCACGGGTACCTTGCCAGGCTTTGTCGTGCAGGCGAGATACTCTCAGTAGCTTGCCAGGCTCTCTGAGAGGGGCGGAGAAATCGATCCCAGCTTGGCCGGGCCGGCTGCATGCAAGGTGAACGCCCTACTGCTGAGTGTCAGCCTTATGTTATGTTATTCTATACTCCACAAATAAGTGCAGTCCTTCTATGTCTGTTCCTCTCTTTCTGATTCATTTCACTTAGCATGATTCTCTCCATGTAATGACGCTTCTAAATCACACAGACTTCTCTCATCCCTGCCCACTCCGGGGCACTCACACACTGAAAAGGCTCTTCTAGTGACTCCTGAATGGGAGTAGCCCAAGGAGGGTTGCCTGGCACTGAGACAGAGACGTGCTATTTGTTTCACTCTACACTGTGTTATATAGGGACCTCTGCATCAGTGCTCTGCAGCCCCCGGGCTACTCTTGGTCAGATTTTCCCGGTAACGTTGTCTCAGCCCAGGGATACAGAGAAGCTCATAGCCAGTGGTCTCAGGACCCCCAGCCTAGATGGAAATGCTCAAGTGTTCAGTGCTGTTGTCTGGACTCAGGTCTCACTCATGCCAGCTGTGCACTTCACCCCTTTAAGATTAATGGCGGAGAGAGGGAGAGGGCAGGGCCCTTCATTTGCTACTTAAGCAAAGTGATATTGTCCCTGGGTGAGATAGTGCAGCTGGTAGAAATGAATGATGTTTAGAAATTTGCTCAAAGACCACTGGTTCATCTCCTGACAGAGACCAGTATTTTCACCCTCTACCTCTCTTGTATCCTGCTGGGATGGTTGCAGGGGCTGATCTGCTGGAAGAGCACCTTGGAGAGATCCGGAACCTCCGTCAGCGCTTGGAGGAGTCCATTTGCACCAATGACCGTCTGCGGGAGCAGCTCGAGCACCGGCTGAGTTCCACTGCCCGGGATCTTGGTAGGCGAGGCCCAGTGCTCCAAGGTTTAATAAGGGAACTTCTGAAAGGAGGAGCTGTTGTGTGTGCTTTTCGACACCTGTTCCGTATACCTAGGGCTTAAGCGAATGTCCATGAGGAAATAGGAGTGCCATGTTTATGGCTCTATCTGACTCACAGTAACTCCCCTCAAGACAGGAATACCAGTGTGTTGTTCCCACGGCCACAGGAAGGGAATCTGCTGATGTGTTGCCTGTTCCCTTCTGGGTATTTGGGGCATGTGAATAGCAAGTGATGACACCATGTCTTTGGGCTTCTACCAGGCAGCCTCCCTCTCCATACTCTTGCCCTGGCCAGCTTTCTCTCAGAGTCCATCCTTCCCACACTGCAGTGATGTAGGGGAAAGGGTCTCCTGCCCACCTGATAGGCCCTGAAAAGAACCCACTGAAAACAGCCTCAGAGAAGTCAACATCAGGCATTGCAGGCTGGATGCCTGGACCTTCAACCCTGGGGCTTCTTTTTCTTTGTCTTTTCACTTTTCAGTGAAAATATTTATTGAGCATTTAATATATGGCTAGACACTAATAGGACAGATAGGACAGAGAAAATAACCATGAACAAGGTATGTATAATTCTTATCTTGATGGGAGTTATGCTTTAGGAAGAAGAAAGTAATTAAGAGGAAATTAAACTCCGCTATGATGCAGAGGTTTCTGTGGCTGCGTGTTCAAGGAGCCAGTCCAGAGTACACGGGGTTCCTTGGTCAGTTTTCTTAGTCTCTTCCTTGTTGCTGTTCTGATGACATGGAGCTACAGCAGTGCCCAGCCTGCATCCATGTTCAGGCCTGTTCAGGAGACTGTGTTAGCCCTGAGTGAGGGATAGATGGGGAGGTTGGTCCCAAGTGGCCAAATGGAAGGTGCAAGATGTTCTCCTTAAGCATGCAAGGTTCTAGAAAACTGCATGAGGTAATGTGGGCAGGGAAAACAGCCGAGGAGAAACTGTGAGTCCAATTTTGTAGCTTAAAGACAGATGATAAAAAGTGATTGATTCCTAAAATAAAATAAAATAAAATAAAATATGCTATGGTGTATGTTAAGAGATGGAAAGAACTCAGAGTACCAAAGGAAATGCCACACCCCAAAACAGGTTATATGGAATTATTTACCAAACTGTGAAGTTGTATACCTAAATGCGGATGTCTTGAAAGAAATCTCAAAAAATTTTTTTTTGTTATTCGTTGTCAGTAATATTTAATTTGTGTACTGACTTTATATACCATTGTACCTGGGCTGCATAAAAATTTCTCATTCAAAAAGTGGTCACGAATGGATAAAATTTAAGAAGCCTTGCATTAGTGTAAGCCCTGGGAGCTGAAGACGGGGTGTTATATCAGGCAGTGCTTTAATGCGGCTGACATTGCTCGAGCGGGCCCAGTAACGTCTCCATTGGAGACTTTGTTGTTACTGTGTCTGGCATATCGAATACGCCACGGGTAGCTTGCCGGGCTCTCCGAGAGGGGCGGAGGAATCGAACTCGGGTCGGCCATGTTGGCCGCTTGTAAGGCGAACGCCCTACCGCTATGCTATCGCTCCAGCCGATAGAGGCGGCTGACATTAAAGGGTGCAAAAGAGAAAAGAGAGAAGACAGGAGAGGTAATCATCGTGGAGCACAAGATGCCTCTGCTAAGCACCTCAAGTATTACCCATGAGAAACCAGACAGATTCATTAAGTTTTGGTTTTGAGATCACAGCTGTCTGTGCTCGGACTTGCTCCTCAGCCCTGGGGTTCTGCATTATGGTGGCGCAGGATCTTTGGGGGATACAGAATGAGCCTCTGGGAAACGTTAGTACCCACCTGGATAACTTGCTTGCTTGCATTTTCCGGGACAGGATCTACCTCTAACTTCTACAGTCAGGGCCTGGAGTCCACACCCCAACTCTACAATGAGAACAGAGTCCTCAGGGAAGAGAACCGGAGCCTTCAGGCTCAGTTGAGTCATGTCTCCAGAGGTGGGTAGCCAAGACCCACAAACTGTGCTCCGGGCCCTGTCCCTTCCTTCTGGTCCCTCTGATCACCAATGGCAGGTGCAGAGAGAAGAATGCGAAGAGAATGGAGAACAGCGCGAACACGCACCAAACCAGTGTTCCCCCAACTGTTGGCAGTGTAGAAAGGACTCCCTTTTTTCCTTTCTTTCTTTTTTCTTTTTAGTCACTGCACGATTATGGAGTTATTCATGACTGGATTTCAGGCATGGTTCAAACACCAATCAGAAAGAGATCCTTTTTTTCCCCCTTTCCAAACAAAATCAGTTTAATCAACAAACTAGGACTGTGCTAACGACTGCAGGCTATGTGGGTTTTGTTTGTTTGTTTTAATCACCATGAGATACACAGTCATAAAGTTCTTCAGTCATTCAGGATTCCAACACTTGTGCCTTCACCAGTGTACATTTCCCACCACCAATGAGCCAAGTTTCCCTTTTCCTCTGCCACCCCCATTCTCAACCTGCCTCTACATCAGGCATGTTTCCTCTCCTCTCTCTCTCTCTCTCTCTCTCTCTCTCTCTCTCTCTCTCTCTCTCTCCTTCCTTTTGGGCATTATGGTTTGCAATACAGTTACTGAAAAGTCACCGTGTATATCAAAAAAGATCCTTTTTAAGAGCTTTCGACCTTGGGCCCCCAGGCTCCCAGGGAGAACAGTGCTGAGAAACTCACTGCCCCTGTACCATCACCTGCAGGGACTAAGTAATTAGCTGCCAGACTGTCTGTGAGAATGGCATCTGTTCTACTCATCACAGCTGACTGGGACTCAGGGAAGGGAAGAGCATGATGGTATATCATCTCCCTCTCAAATTTTTTCCCAAATTTATGACAATCTTGTGTGTGTGTGTGTGTGTATCATTTTAAAAAATTTTATTGCATCACCATGGGAAAGTTACAAATTTTCATGTTTGGGTTACAGTTACACAATGGTCAAGCACCCATCCCTCCACTAGTGCTTGTTCCCCACCACCAATCTCCCCAGTATACTCCTCCCTTCCCCACCCACCCCTGCCTCCATGGCAGACAATATTCCCCATACTCTCTCTCTACTTTGGGGCATTATGGTTTGCAATTACAGATACTGAGAGGTTATCATGTTTGGTTCTTTATCTACTTTCTGCACACATCTCCCATCCCGACCGGTTCCTCCAGCCATCATTTTCTTAGTGATCCCTTCTCTATTCCAGCTGCCTTCTCCCCTCCGCTCATAAGCTGTGGGGAAATCCTCCTGGCCCTTGTAACTACTCTCCTTGGGTGTCAGCCTCATGTTATGTTATTTTGTATTCCACAAATGAGTGCAGTCCTTCTATGTCTGTCCCTCTCTTTCTGACTCATTTCACTTAGCATGATATTTTCAATGTATGACAATCTTGTGTGTCTGTCTTTACCTTCTGACATTCCTACTTCCCCACAATCTCCCTCTCTTGCTCAGTTCTGCTCTGATCAACAATCCTGTGACTCTGCCAGCAGGTCCCAGCCCTAGTCACTGGGCCCCATTGGGTGAGGGGCGCATCACTTCATGTGTCTTCTGGGAGGAAACTGATAGCAGTTTTATTTAAGTTGATCAGTATGTTATCCATGACATTATATTTATTCACCAGTGTTTAGTGAACATCCATAAAACACCATGCTTAGTGTCTAAGTGAATTAATCCCAGAATGAAAGAATGCTTGTATAAACGGAAAAGATGTCAAGAGGTATTTCTAAGTAGCCTCAGAGAAAGATGTATTAGGGAAGGTCTCTGCAGGGAATCTAATGAATGTCAGTAGGTAGGAGAAGACACCTGCCAAAGGACCATTGCATTCCTGAAAAGACCAGGGCAAACCTTACAGTTAAGAACACGACAAGAGCTTGAAGTGAGCTCAACCCGTAGGCACAGGTGAATCTCTCCCCTGTCCCCTTCAGCCTTATTTTAAAATTCTGTTAGTAATTCTTCAGAAATTCTGAAGATCAGAGAGATACAACAAACAGGAAAACAGAAGATGCTTAATTTTAAATGCAGTAACATAGTATACTCTAAAATTTGTAGACAAGAGAGTTTGGTATTGGCCTTTGTCAAATTTCAAGAATAGATTACTACACTATATGTAAGCATGACACATGAGCATGTGGGGTAGGGTTGACCTGCTTTTGATCCCTGGTATCCCGTAAGGCACCCAGAGCACTGCCAGGAGTAATTATTGAGTGCAGACCCAGGAGTAAGCTCTCAGTATCACTGGGCATGGCCCCCCAAGCAAAACAAACAAAAGCCAGACCAAACAAATGAAAAGGAATGAGCATGTTTTCTCTAAAAGCAAGAGTGGCCATATTGAATAAGTGAATCCAGGCAGTACAGACAGAGCACCCGCAGAGTGTGGGTGTGGTGAGCCCACATTCTCTTCCCACCACCCAGGACCTGCCTTCCCTCAGCCCGAGTTCCCTTGTCAGGGTGGTTGTGCTGGGACCCATCAGCCTGCACACCTTTGGTTCCGTGCGGTTAAGTGTTCTTGTGTTCTGCTCACCAGAACACTCCCAGGAAACACAGTGCCTGAGGGAGGCCCTGCTGTCCTCCCGTTCCCGCCTCCAAGAGCTGCAACTGGAGCTGAATCACCACAAGATGGAGGAGCAGCAGCTCCTGGGGGACCTGAAGGAGAAGCAACAGGAGATCCTGCATTTCCAGGAGGAGCGACTGTGCCTTCAGGAGAAGGACTCCAGGTGAGAGGGAGTCAGTCCTCGATGAGGATGCTGCCTCCGCACAGATTTAGAAAGCTGTCTGTGACATTTTTGGAAAACCCAGTTCCCCCTTTGCTCTTTTTGATTTATGGTTGACTTAGAGCAGGAAGGAAGGACTTTCTTTGGGAACACCGTTTTCTCTGGACCCCAGAGCTGAGAGAGTGAAACCTTGTACAGAAGCAGTGAGCATCTCAGAGGGCTACTCACGCTTCCACTGAGGTCGAATTCACTGGTGTCCCATAACCCAAGGCAGTTCCTGTCCCAGCCTGGATGCATGACCTCACCATCAACCCTCTCACTGCTTGTAGACTCAAAGAGCACTGGAGGGTTTTAAAGAATGCCTCGATGATGTGCCTGAGTCTAGGAAGGGAGTGTTGCAGGATTGAAGGCCTTGAACGGAAGGGACTTTATGTCAGGCTCATACGTTGGTTCACAGCTTAGGTCTTGGGGTGGCTGAGTGTCTGCAAATACTAAGCGTCTGTCTCCCCTCTGTAGGATGCAACAAAAACTGGCCCTCCTGCAGCAACAGTGTGAAGAGAAACAGCAACTATTTCAGTCCCTACAGTCAGAACTACAGCTCTATGAGACCCTCTATGGAAATTCCAGGAAGGGGCTGAAAGGTCTGTCTTTCCCTTTCCTACACCTTGTTTGTTTCTGCCTTTGCTAGCTCCCTGAGAGAGGTCCCCCTTAGGAGTTGGGGGTATCGGAAAAGCCATGTAATTCTGTCTCTGTGAAATCCCAGTCCTGGGGGCCCGGTAAGGAGAAGGGAGATTTTAGAAAGAGGTTGACAGGAATAAGATTTAGCCTAGACATCCTTAAGAACAGGTCCCAGGGGCTGGAGCAATAGTACAGCGAGTAGGGCATTTGCCTTGCACATGGCCGACTCGGGTTCGATTCCCAGCATCCATATGGTCCCCTGAGCAGCGCTGTGAGTAATTCCTGAGTGCAAAGCCAGGAGTAACCCCTGTGTATCGCCGGGTGTGACCTAATAAGCAAAAATAAATAAATAAAAAGGTCCCAAACAGAGAGAGAGAGAGAGAGAGAGAGAGAGAGAGAGAGAGAGAGAGAGAGAAAGAGAGAGAGAAAGACAGGGAGAGTGGGAGAGTGAGAAGAGAGAAAGAGAAAGAGAGGGGAGAGAGAAAGAGAGAGAGAGAGAGAGAGAGAGGAGAGAGGGAGAGATTAGAGAGGGAGTATCGGGACTAAGGTGCATGCCTTCTAAGAGTCAATCTTCCTTAGAGCCCCAGCATGACATGGTCCCCCAAACACTGCCGGGTGCAACCCCGAGACCAACAGCGCTGCTAACATAGCCCTTTGCAGCATAGGGCTGGACAAAACCACATCTTCAGGGTCTTACATCGAACAGCTGACTCAGTTGACTGAGATCACTAAGGGGGGTCAGTGAGTGTCCTGAGCATGACTTGCTGGGATGTGTCCCCACCACCAAAAAAATATTTATAGGCCCTAAGAGCCAAGCTTTCTCTCCCTAGATGACCTGAGACAATTATAGTACAAATAATACAATTTTCAAAATATAAAAATTTGATAGCCTGATGGCATCATTTATGTGAATATTGTGAATAATACTTCCTAACCTCCCCTACAAAAAATGCAGCAGGAAATATAATTTCATCCTAATACTTTACCCAGGAGAAAATGGAAATAGTCACACCCCACACAAACTAAAAGTACCAGTAATAGGATATAAATCTCAAGCCTTGAGTTTAATTTTAAGTTCTTCTATCAGTAGTCTTTTGCTGAAATAATAATCTGATTATTTAGAATCTTGGTATATTTTCTATTCTTCTTTAAATGCAGAATGTTATTCAAAAACATACATTTAAAAAAATCCAAGTAGATTAGAACACAGGATTAGCATTAATGAGGAGAAATTTAGTAGAGAATTTTTAAAAAAATCATTCTAAAATTAATTAAAATATCTCTTGGTGAAAATACAAACCAGTGCCCGACTGTCCTATTCATGGCTGAGGTGGGGGATTTGGTTGAAGTACATTTACACAGGGAAATTGTAAATTAAAGTTGCTAGAAAAGTCCTCTCAGTTTGGGGCTGGAGAAATAGCACAACGGGTAGGGCATTTGCCTTGCACACGGCCGACCCAGGTTCGATTCCCAGCATCCCATATGGTCCCCCAAGCACTGCCAGGAGTGATTCCTGAGTGTATGAACCAGGAGTAACTCCTGTGCATTGCTGGGTGTGACCTCCCCCCCCCCAAAAAAAAAGTCTACTTAGTTTGAGGACACAGGAATAAGTTTGGGGATCTTGGGGTGAAAACAGTGGGGATATTGTGAGTCTATGGGGCACCATTCTGCCAAAGGGCCACCAACAAACTAGAGAACAAAGTTAGGGCTGGTTGAAGAAAATGAAAATTAAAAAACTTAAAATGCTTGGTGGGGCCGGAGTGATAGCACAGCGGTAGGGCGTTTGCCTTGCACGCAGCCAACATGGCCGACCCGAGTTCGATTCCTCCGCCCCTCTCGGAGAGCCCGGCAAGCTACCGAGAGTATTGGATATGCCAGACACAGTAACAACAAAGTCTCCAATGGAGACGTTACTGGGCCCGCTCGAGCAAACCCGCTCGAGCAAAATGCTTGGAAAAGACTGTGAGGTCATGAGGACTGATGTGAAATATTTGAAGAACTCTTAGGTAAAGAGAAACTGATGCATTTTATTTTCCCTAAAAGGGCTGGGAAAGGATAATTTTCTTACTCTAGAGCTTCCAAATGTGGGATGACTGATTTGTGAAGGAACCTAGAAGGGCCAAAGTTTCCATGGAAGCAGCTTCCGTTTGACTCTGGCTAGAATGTAACTACCTAAGCCTTTCAACATTAATTTTTTTGTATTGTGTGTTTTAAAATTTTTAGACAATGTGATTTTTTGTTTCGGGGCCACCCTTGGAGGTGCTCAGGACTTACTCCTGAAGGTGCTCAGGGAACCATATGAGATGCTGGGTATTGAACCCAGGTCGGCCGTGTGTACAGCAAGGGCCCTATTCGCTGTGCCACAGTTCTGGACCCAGACAATGTGATATTCATTACATTAAGAATTTTCCAGATTCAGCCCAAGTAAAATTTTCATAAAACTTACTTGTATTTAGTTTTCTAATTTGCTGATGAGAAGGTAAACCAGACCTGGAAGAAATACAGCGAGTGGGAGGTGAGGGGTATCCTAGACTGAGAGAGGCATTTAATTCACATATTACTGGGTCGGCATGGATTCTAACCTCTCATTGGGAGAGGTTGGTTTTTTATTTGTTGGTTGCTTGGTTGGTTTTTAATCAAGGACTGTGAAATGCCAGGTGAGTTGAAGGGAGAGTTTCCAGTATGTAGAAGAGCCATGAGATATAATCCATTCAACAACGGAAATAATCACTTTTTACAAAAGGGCCGTTGTCCTCGTCATCGTTGTCATAGTCGTCATCTTCTTCTTCTTCTTCTTCTTCTTCTTCTTCTTCTTCTTCTTCTTCTTCTTCTTCTTCTTCTTCTTCTTCTTCTTCTTCTTCTTCCTCTTCTTCTTCTTCTTCTTCTTCTTCTTCTTCTTCTTCTCCTTCTTCTTCTCCTCCTCCTCCTCCTCCTCCTCCTCCTTCTCCTCCTCCTCCTCCTCCTCCTTCTCCTCCTCCTCCTCCTCCTCCTCCTCCTCCTCCTCCTCCTCCTCCTCCTCCTTCTCCTCCTCCTCCTCCTCCTCCTCCTTCTCCTCCTCCTCCTCCTCCTTCTCCTCCTCCTCCTCCTCCTCCTTCTCCTCCTCCTCCTCTTCCTCCTCCTCCTCCTTCTCCTCCTTCTCCTCCTTCTCCTCCTCCTCCTCCTCCTCCTTCTCCTCCTCCTCCTCCTCCTCCTTCTCCTCCTTCTCCTCCTTCTCCTCCTCCTCCTCCTCTTCCTCCTCCTCCTCCTTCTCCTCCTTCTCCTCCTTCTCCTCCTCCTCCTCCTCCTCCTTCTCCTCCTCCTCCTCCTCCTCCTTCTCCTCCTTCTCCTCCTCCTCCTCCTCCTTCTCCTCCTTCTCCTCCTCCTCCTCCTCTTCCTCCTCCTCCTTCTTCTCCTCCTTCTCCTCCTCCTCCTCCTCTTCCTCCTCCTCCTCCTCCTCCTTCTCCTCCTTCTCCTCCACCTTCTCCTCCTCCTCCTCTTCCTCCTCCTCCTCCTTCTCCTTCTTCTCCTTCTTCTCCTCCTTCTTCTCCTCCTTCTCCTTCTTCTTCTCCTTCCTTCTTCCTTCTTCTTCTTTCTTCTTTTCTTCCTCTTCTTCCTCTTCCTCCTCCTCCTCCTCCTCCTCCTCCTCTTCTATGAAAACCGTCTTCTACAGGGTGACTTTGGTGGGTGTACTGAGACTTGGAGAAACTGGAATGGGGTGCCCATTCATGAGCACGTGTGACTCTGGGTATGGAGTCCAGTAGAAAGTGCTACAAGGAAGGCAAAAAGGAATTGTGATTAGCGAAAAACAGGTTTTTGTCTTAAACATTAGTAAGATTTAGATTTGAAGAGCACTTAAAGGAGCATTATTAAACATTGAGTTTAGTATTTGGAAATAATTTCATCCTGAATTCTGTTCATATTTTTATAGGTATTTTAGGAGTAATGTCCAAGTTCTGTAATCCCTTATCCTTAATTCTACCATCCAATAAGAGTTCTGAATTGAAATCTTTTTTTTTTAATTTCACTATATTTTAATAATTTTTCATACGGAGAATATGTTTGGGTTTTGTTTAATTTTTCTTATCTACTCCAATGTTTAAATTTGTTCAACTATTTTTCATTTTCATTTCATCATCCTGTTATTCGTCGATTGCCTCGAGCAGGCCCCAGTAATGTCTCTTTCATCCTAACCCTGAGATTATATTCAAGGCTATTTAGGAGAATGAGACCCATCATTGTTACTGGTATTTGGCATATTTGGTATGCCACGGGGAGTTTGCCAGACTCTGCCCTGTGGGCAGGCTACATTCGATAGCCTGCAAGTTTGTCCAAAGTAGGAATGAGATAATAAGATGTTATAAAAAGATGTCCTGATAAGATGTTGCGCGGCTGCAAATGCGGCCGTGCGGTTCCGGGAGCTGGATTTTATAGTCTCTGAGTCTTGGCCGTTGATGGGATTACATGGCGCCAAGGGTCCAGGTGGTGGGTGTGACCCCCGCCTACTGGAATTTGGAGGATCTGGGTGGAGGATGCTCGACTCCAATCCGAGTAGGCTGGGAGATCGCGGCCCCGGAACCCGCATGGATTTGTCCCTCTGCCAGTACCTTCAGGTGTGTGGAGAGTGGTCTCAGCATGGTGGTGGCTGGTCCTGGAGGTCTTCGGCTGCCGGAGCCCTGGTCGGGGCGGGGAGGAAAGCTCAACCCGCACCCCTCCAACGGGCCCCGGCGAGGAACAGCCACAGTTCAACTATATATTCTACTAAATATTTCCATGCTTCTTTTTTTTTTTTATTTTATTAGTGAAACACCATGAGGTGCAGTTGTAGACCCACAACTCTTCGTGCTTGGGTTTCGATTATACAATGATCAAACACCCATCCCTCCACCAGTGCCCATTTTCCACCACCATAAATAATATCCCTCCCACCCCATCCCCCCCCCATCCTACCCTACCTCTGTGGCAGGGCATTCCCTTTTGTTCTCTCTCTCCTTTTGGGTGTTGTGGTCTGCAAAAGAGGCATTGAGTGGCAAACATATTCAGTCCATAGTCTACTCCCAACACGCATCTCCCCTCCTGGGATGAGCCTCCAAACACCCTTTTTTGGTGCTCCCTTCTCTATCTGAGCTGCCCTTTCCCTTAGAATACCCGGCTGGCCTCTAAGCTATGGAATCTTTTTTATATGGTTATTTAATGCCATAACCTAGCTGAATGGAAAAAAGTATTCCTAGTAATTATTTCTCCTACTTCATGAGAATATAGCTTTTTACAGAAATGTTCGTGTGTTTCATGAACTATGGCCCAGATGTCCCTGAGTTCATGTCACACATGGTAATCTATGGTCCACGAACCCCCTTTTATTTTTAAAAACAAACAAAACAACTTTAAAATGTATTTCATATTGCATTTTTAATAAATTGTGGTCTTGAAAAAGATTTCTTAGAGTTCTTCATTCTAGTACCTTGAAATAGACTGTGGTGATTAGAGATAAAACCCTGGATCAGTGGAGACACAGTTCCTTGTGGTATTTCCTGGATGCCCATTCTCACATTCTACCTAAAGCTCTCGCACCTTTCCTGGATGATTCCTGTGAGCAGAGAACACTGAATCTCCTTCAGCCCTGACCATTGTTAAGTTCCCTACTGCCTCTTGAAACACACAGTGCCCAGTTTGTCTTGGAAGACCTGCTGTCCAGCTGCAGGACTAAGACCAATATGGACAGGAAATAAAAGACACAGCCTCATATGCCAATCAAACGGGTGGGTGATAGTACAGCAGGCACGGTGTTTGCTTTACATGTAGGGTCTATCCCAGGTCCACACACAGTCACCCAAAGCTGCCGGAGTAAGCACAGAGCCAGGATTGCGCTCTAAGCCCTCCTGGTTGTGCCCCCTAAACAAATCCAAACTCAAACAGATATCCTCTAGATGCCCAGTGGAGCTGCCCAGAGCAGTTCCGGCCACGCCAGAATGCACACAGGAAGAGCGAAGTCTGGGGTTCTGCAACACCTGTGGGCATTGCCTGCAAGGAGCGTCATGGAGGAGACGTCACACACCGCGTTGGTGAGGCTCAAAGCAGTGTCACGACTGTGCTCCTTGCTCTCCTTGCAGTGCCTGCTTGGGATGCCTGTCGCCAAGTCCCCCTGAGCAGTGACTTGAGCCACCTGGTGGCAGAAATCCGAGATTTGCGAGGACAGCTGGAGCAGAGCATTCAGGCCAACACCTGCCTGCGACTGCAGCTGCAGCAACAGCTGGATGGGAACGCAGGCAAGGAGAGGCCGTCCTCCCACCAGCCCTCCCCAGACAGCGCCGGCCCAGCAGCGCCGCTCTTCCCAGGTAGGAAGGAGAAGAGCGTGCGGGTATCCTCAGCCCGTGGCAATGCTGTGGGCGTCCGTGGGGAGGAGGACATGCTGGCCTCTCCCACGCCCTGCATGTCAGGGCAGACCAGGAAAGCTTCACCCTGAGATGGAATTGAAGGATTCCTCCAGGTGGCAGACCTGACACTTGGTTGCAGGTGTTAAGTTACTCAGATATCTGTTGCAGCTTGAGCTTCTTCCTTGTATCACTGTGTCACCGTCATTCCATTGTTCATCAATTTACTGGAGCGGGCACCAGTAACATCTCCATTCGTCCCAGCCCTGAGATTTTAGCAGTCTCTCCTTACTTGTCTTTTCCAACACAGCCATATTGGAGACTCTTTCTTTCCTTCTTTCTTTCTATTTTTTTTCCCGCTTTTTAGGTCACACCCGGCAATGCACAGGGATTACTCCTGGCTCTGTGCTCAGGAATTACCCCTGGCGGTGCTCAGGGGACCACATGAGATGCTGGGAATCGAACCCAGGGTGGCCTCATGTAAGGCAAGTGCCCTACTCGCTGTGCTATTGCTCCAGCCCCTGGAGACTCTTTCAGGGCCAGGGGACTGAGACCCGTTATTGTTACTGTTTTTGACATATCGAATACGCAATGGGTAGCTTGCTAGGCTCTGCCTCACTGTATGAGGGTCATAATAATGAGTACCTTATGTGATTATTTGGAGCATTAAATGAAATAGGGGCAGAAGTGATAGTCCAGCAGGTAGGGACTGGCTTTCCATGCGACGGACCTGAGTTAGATCTTGGCACCACGTATGGTCCGGAGCACTGCCAAGAGTGATCCCTGAATGCAGAGCCAGAAGGAAGCCCTGAGTATCACTTGATGAGACCCAAAACTGGAAAGAGAGAGAGAGAGATACAGAGAGAGAGACACAGAGAGAGACAGACAGAGAGAAAGAGAGAGAGAGAGAGAGAGAGAGAGAGAGAGAGAGAGAAGAAATTGAGTGGTTCCCTACCTTATTCCAGAGGATGTAGTCCAAGATCTGCCAGTGACTGCCTGAAACCACAGCTAGTACTTGACCCTGTCCTTTGCAAACATAGATACCTAATGTGAGTTCAAGTGTGTGATGTGTTTGGTGGCTGAGAGCTGCCTCCTTGGGCCTCCCCAGCAGAGGACTGAAGAGACAGGGGACTCACAGATAGATGGTAAAAATGGCCTGTTTAATGCAGAGCTGTTGGCATACTTATAGAGCATCCGAGGAGGAGTTTGAGGTATAGGACTGCAGGTAGGTGCAATAGTTCATTTATAGAGGTAAAGGTTTTGTTTTGACAGAGGCAATTTTCTTGGGAGGATTAACTCAAAGAGAAACTGTGTTTCAGTTAGAAGTGGGTAATGCCCTGGAAAAATTTATACTACTGACAACCTGTGTGACTTTGGACAAGTTACTTCATCTTTCTAGGTTTTGGATTCCCCATCAGAACTGGAAAACATACCTTATTTCAGGACCAAATTTCCAGTCTCATTCCCATTCCCAGCCTTTGGGAGGCAAAAATAATTGTTTTTTTGAGTTTTATTTTTCCTGTGACGCCAAATTCCTTCAGAGAATTTGTGTTGACCTACTAATCCAGATGTGCTCCACTCTCCAAACATGACAGCTTGATTTTCATACTATTAAAAAAATGGAGGGAAAAAACCTTATCAGAGAGCAAAAAATAAATGTAGCCTATTTTCAAGCCCATTTTAAACTAAGACTTAGCAAAGACAGAGGGGGTATAATAGAATCTCGAGATTAGCCAGAATGTTCACTGTGTTAAATGACTTCCTAAACTGGATAACAAGTATTAACAAATTCAATAAATACATCAAATGTTTTTTTTTTAAAGAAAACTGTGCTTTTATGCTTTCTAAACTGTCCCATTTCGATGCTGGAGTAGCTTTGCCACTTGCCTTAGGTCCGTCCAAGTCTCATTTCAGGACCCCCATTTTGGGGTGTTAGGAACTACAGCAACTGATGCCTGAGTTAAGTAATTATGACGGATTCCTGGGAGTAGATATGTTTTAGAGTCAGTCAACTCCCAACATTAGGAGCACAGCATTAACTGTCTTTCTGTGTTTAAGCAAAGAACATTGCTCTGTGGAAAAATATGAAAAGGTTATAGGGGAGAGAGAAAAGCAAGTAATTCCCTACAAATGCAAAAATCCAGAGTCATCAGAATCATAAATAGCCAAGCCTGACTTGGGCAATTTAGTAGTTACCCGTGGCTCCCACCTCTCCTGTCACCTTTTCTTCTCATACTGTTACGTGTTTTCCCAGCACCAACTCATCAGAATGGTAACTAGAGTGTTGAGTTTAATCTCCCACAAATTAAAAAAATATCTGCTACATATATCTATCCTTATTTATATTTAGTTACAGTGATTCTGTTAGCTGTGGCATAAAGCATATTCAAATCCTGGGTTAGAAAAAAAGTGCCTTAACATTTTTTTATTCTTTAAAACTAGCAGTTGCTTTTTCAGAAAATACCCTTTAATTTAAGGAATGTTTTCTCGTTCTGAGGAATGGAGACATCCCAAACGGAGTGGTTTGTTTCCTGTTGCTTGTGGCTGTGTGTATGCGTGGTTGCTGGGTGAGCCAGGCCACCTCGCATCCCAGATGCTGAACCTCGAGGTGTCGTATGCTCGAGGTGCTGGAGATGTGGTGTGATCCAGGGCTTCTGCAAATGCTGTGTGTCGTTTGTTCTGTAGATTCGGCTGCTTCCCCTCCAGTTCGGGATGTCGGCATGAGTTCTTCTGGTCTGGTTTTTCCTGGCATGCCTTCCTCTGGACCTCCTTCAGGGTCAGCTGTCACGAATGGTAAGCAAGGCAACTGAAGGAAGACTTCACAAATTAATCTCCCACAAATTAAAAAAAAAGTCTGTTACATATATTTATCCTTATTTGTATTTACTTACAGTGACTTTGTTAGCTGTGGCATAAACCATATTCAAAGCCTGGGTTGGGAGCTTTCCTATATGCCTATAACCTTTTCACAGTTTTCTATAGAGCAGGACCTTTCTCCCTCTGAGACCCATAATGCTGTTCTGTCTCCAAATGCTTGTGTTTTTCTAAGACTTTTATTTGTGATGAATTTTACCCTTCATAACAATGTGGTCTGAAAAATGTCTCGATATTATATATATGTATATATATATGTATTATATATATGCATATATAGATATTATATATTGATATGTATATATATATATATATATATATATATATATGGGCTGGAGTGATAGCACAGCGGTAGGGCGTTTGCCTTGCACGCAGCCAACATGGCCGACCCGAGTTCTATTCCTCCGCCCCTCTCGGAGAGCCCGGCAAGCTACCGAGAGTATCTCGCCCGCACGGCAGAGCCTGGCAAGCTACCCGTGATGTGTTCGATATGCCAAACACAGTAACAACAAAAGTCTCCAATGGAGACGTTACTGGGCCCGCTCAAGCAAATCGATGAACAACGGGAAGACAGTGACAGTGATGTATATATATGGGCTGGAGCGATAGCACAACGGTAGGGCATTTGCCTTGCACGCAGCCAGCATGGCCAACCCGAGTTCAATTCCTCTGCCCCTCTCGGAGAGCCCGGCAAGCTACTGAGAGTATCTCGCCCGCACGGCAAAGCCTGGCAAGCTCCCCATGACGTATTCGATATGCCAAACACAGTAACAAGTGTCACAATGGAGACGTTACTGGGCCCGCTCGAGCAAATCGATGAACAATGGGAGGACCGTGACGTGATGTGTATATATATATATATATATATATATATATATATATATATATATATCTGTCTGTCTGTCTGTCTATCTATCTATCTACCTATCTATCTATCTGGTTTGGGGACCACACCTAGCAATGCTCAGGGATTATTCCTGGCTCTGCACTCAGGAACTTGTCCTGGCAGTGCTCAGGAGACCATATGTGATTCTGGGGATCAAACCCAGGTCGGCTCTTCCTGTTTCTGGCTTCTTGCATTATTTGATGTCTGTTTGAGATCGAATTGAACAGATTAAGAACCACGGTGGATTCTGATATTGTGGATTTACTTCTCAGACTCGAGTTTGGATGTGTCTCCTAAGCTGGAGGGACACGCTGTTGACGGCTCCTTTGCCAATAAGCATGGTCGCCACGTCATTGGCCACATTGATGACTACAGTGCCCTCCAGCAGCAGATTGGGGAGGGCAAACTTCTGGTCACCAAGATGGCATCTCTCATGAGATCAGCATGCAACTCCCCTGGCCTGGAAGCTCAGGGCACAGAGGTAATCACATACTAACCAGTAATACTGCATTTCCTGTGTCTTTTCTTCTGCCCTCTGTGCTATGTGACCCCCTGCCCAGGCAGGGACCTGTAGTGATAGACCTGTTCTGAGCCCCACCATAGAGGTAAACAATGCACCCCAATAAATAACTGCCATGGAACTGCAGCTATAATCCAGGTGACAGGTTCCCTGAGGGAGAGGATGTGTTTATTCTTTGTGGACAAGGGGGTTCGAGGTGAAGAGAGAGCACTTCAGGTTGGAGCCACAAATAGTTATGCTCATATGAATCATAAGGGTGACTCATGGGGTCAGTAGCACTGTGGCACTGTCCTCCCATTGTCCATCTTTGCTCGAGCAGGCACCAGTAACGTCTCCATTGTGAGACTTGTTACCGTTTTTGGCATATCGAATATGCCACGCGGAGTTTGCTAGGCTCTGCCTTGTGGGTGGGATACTCTCCGTAGCTTGCTGGGCTCTCTGAGAGGGAGGGAAGAATCAAACCTGGGTGGGCCTCATGCGAGGCCAATGCCCTACCCGCTATGCTATCGCTCCAGCCCCATGGGTTCAGCCCGATGGATCACTCCAGCCCGAAGGGGGCAGTGGAAAGTGAAATGGGCTGGAGCCATAGTACACTGGGTAGGGCGTTTTCCTTGCACACGGCCCACCCGGGTTCGATTCCCAGCATCCCACATGGTCCCCTGAGCACCACCAGGAGTAATTCTTGAGTGCAAAATCAGAAGTAACCCCCTGAGCATCGCCAGGTGTGACCCAAAAAAGAAAGAAAAAATAAAATCCATAAAACGGAGACCTCAAGATTTAGAATCTTACAGCGATCCACGGAGCTTGTGGAGAGGGGAAGCAGGAGTCAAATGAATTCTAGCAGGTGGGTCGACAGCTCCTCATTGCTGGGGTTGAAGTGCAGTCCTCAGGCTTGAAAAGAGGACCTGTGGCCGTAGGCTTCACTCACCAAGGCAGCCTGAGTCCTTGCTTGAGGTGAGAGACCTAGCCCGGTCCATCTCTGCTTTCCCAGGTGCCTGGGGGCGAGGGTGTCTGGGAGCTCCGCAGAAACACCCACGCCCTGCACCGTTCGCTGGAGGAGTCCGCGTCCCTCCTCACCATGTTCTGGAGAGCTGCTCTGCCGAGCCCCGCGGGCCACAGTCCAGCTGCCAAGGCGGTAAAAGCCCAGTGTCCTTCCTGCTTCTGTCCCCAGCTGACATTCTGTGTCCCCAGTCCCCCACCCTCCTGCAGAAGCAGAGCTGAATGGTGTGAGGGGCCCGCCAGCAGGGTGCTACCTGAGTGTCTCGTGGGTGGGTCCCTCCACCCATGGGAACCCCTTACAGTGCATCTCTGACTGCACGGCCCTCTCCCACGCCAGCCCCGAATTAGAAATTAAAGAGGAAGAGGGAAAAACCTAGATAAGGCAGACAGACATAGGAGCCCGCAATGCATCAGGGCTCAGTGGTTTGCCTCTTAGCTGCGCTGAAGGTCAGGGACATGTGAAGCATCACATGTTGAACCCAGACCACATCAGTTGGTGCCACCCACTGGAAGCAACATGTGGCTTATGTCTGCATTTCCGAGTCACCCTGGAGAGGCAGTGCCCCAAGTTGCTCTCAGGCCTCAGGCAACTCTGCTTCCTGGAACCTTGGGCATCACAGTTCAGGATGTTCGCCCTGGGACTCTAGTTACAGGGTAATATCACTGTTTCCTGAGGGATCCCAACTCTGCTCATTTCAGCAGAACAGTGTCACCCAGTTGAGATGGGCATAGCTGTCACTGTCACTGTCACTGTCCTCCCATTGTTTATTGATTTTCTCGAGTGGGCCCAGTAACATCTCCATTGTGACACTTGTTACTGTGTTTGGCATATTGAATACGTCACGGGGAGCTTTCCAGGCTTTGCCGTGCAGGGGAGATACTCTCGGTAGCTTGCTGGGCTCTCCGAGAGGGCTGGAGGAATCGAACCCAGGTCGGCCGAGTGCAAGGCAAATGCCTTCCCCTCTGTGCTATTCATCCAGCCCGGGCATAGCTATTTTCAGAATTGTATACTGTCTTTCGGCTAACCTTGTCATCAGTCTTCCTGATCTGCCAGGTTTGACACGTGATGTCCCTGAGGTCAGCACTGATCCTGAGCTCTATACATGCATGGGTTTGAGCACTACGCCATAGTTAGCTTCTCTCAGCAGCAGGATGGAATGTTGTGCTAGTGGGCTAAGGGTCCTTTGGGTGTCAAACGAACGGCTTAGCCTCAGCTGTCAGCAGCTGACAGGATACTGGAAGCTTTTATGGATGGAATCAGTCATAGAGAAGATGCGAGAGTCCATCCCGGGACTGTGAAGACACAAAAGCTTTAGACCTTCTGACTATGGCAGAAAGCTTGTTCCTCTTTCTCAGGGAGAGTCCGTGAAAAGGGAACTTCTGGAACTGAGAACCAAACTATCTAAACAGGAGAATCTGCTTCAGAGTACAGTGGAGCGTCTGAAGACAGCCAATCAGCAGAAGGAGAGCATGGAGAAGTTCATCTTCAGCCAGTGTAGGTACTCCTGAGCCTCGGAAATGGGAGCAGCCACGGGGGGCCGGAGGGGAGAGGGCCGCCCACTGAAGCACTGACAGAAATTGTCCAAAGAACTGGTGGGGGCTGGGGGCCCTGCTGTGATACTCCAAACCTGTGCTGCAAGTGGTTTTGGGCAGAGGGAGGGGACGGGGCGGCAAGACTGCAGGCCGCGAGGCAGGCAGCGATGCTTCAGAGGACATGCAGACTGTGGTCCTGACTCTCACTCCTGCCTTTTTTCCCCCTCATTTTTAAAAATTCCTTAGTGACCAGGACGCATGATGTTTTGAAGAAAGCAAGGACTAATTTGGAGGTAAGAAAACCACTGCACCAGCTAGCGAGACATCCCTCCCTGAGACCATCACCCTCTGTCACCAGTCTCCACCTGCTCGGATCCCAGGAGATTCTCAGTCCACTGGCAGGGGCACAGCCCCTCAACAAGCAGCTTTCTTGTTCTCTTCCCCAAATAACTCTCACTCCAATTAGATCCATACAAAATCCGTCCCGATTTTCTTACATTGTCTTTTTTTTTTTTTAATGGAAGTGATTGCTTTATCATCAGGAGATTGGAGACAATTCAGGGGATTGTTTAGGGACACACAAGAGTCTACTTCTGAATCCTCTGTCAGTAAAGGGTTCAACTTCTAATTGATGACAAAATAAAAGCATGGTGCAAAGTAATAGACTGATTTCACTGCCGACCACTGGGCTGAGATCAGCAGTTTGATTGTTCGTTTGACATTTGGAGGCGAGGATATTATTAAGGTGGTAGAGAACATGCCTACTACATATGATGTTCTGATCCTGATGTTTGGTGTCTCCTTGGCCCCTGAGAATCACCAGGCGTGGCTGTGGTGTCTTCTGAGTCCCTGGCTAACCACTGTGATATACAAACATGTATGGGCCATTTTCTTCAAGTAATATCATAACAGAAACCTGTTGGTTCATACAAACCTAAAAGAGAATTCAAACACTGAACCCTACGACTTGAGATATATATGGCAGACATGCCCACCATTTACCCAGTAGATTCACACAGTACCTAGTGTGTACTTTGAAGAAAAATTTGGGGTGTATTCAATGATGAGGAGTTAGAAACAAATCTTGGATTTTAAGCTTTGCTCTAAGCAACTGAACAAATTACTAGCACTGTTCTAGGTATCTGGGCTGGAGCGATAGCACAGCGGTAGGGCGTTTGCCTTACAAATGGCCAACATGGCCGACCCGAGTTCGATTCCTCTGCCCCTCTCGGAGAGACCGGCAAGCTACCGAGAGTACCTCGCCCGCACGGCAAAGCCTGGCAAGCTACCCGTGATGCATTCGATATGCCAAACACAGTAACAACAAGTCTCATGATGGAGATGTTACTGGGCCCGCTCGAGCAAATCGATGAACAACGGGAGGACTGTGACCGTGACCATTCTAGGTATCTAAGAAATGGCCCTAAGATTTTACTCATACTCTTGCTCTCTCTCTGTATTTCCTTCTAATTTCCCTTTGTCTTTCTCTGATGATCCTTTCTTTCCTGAGTCCTTTTAGAAGAACACTCCCAGGATTGCCTCTGTAAAGCCTTATTCCTGTCCCAGGAAAGGTAACCCGACAGCTTCATGTCCCGCTGGCTTCTCCCACTTAAAAACGTCCTCTCTATCCTGCTAGGCCGTGACTTCTAATACAAGTGTGTCACTAACTAGTTGTGTGGCTTTATTGTCCCCATCTCTGGAGACCTTTCCCTTCGTCCTTTAGGTGATGTTTTTTAGACATGGATAATCTCTGACCCAAGAAAATGGGTCAGAAACTTCACAGGGAACTTCCCTGAATTATCTCCTCTCCCCCCGCCCCCCCCCTCCCATCGGACTCTCTCTTTCTTCACATGTCATACTAAGTAAGCACTTCTTTTGCTGGGAATCGCACATCCACCATTTGGCTGCAGGTTTGATTAATGAGAGCGCTGGTTCCTGCAGAGGGAGAACAAATGTCATGCAGCTGCCGGGAGGGGGCTTGAAGCAGAGATCTACCCCACGTATGTGGGGGGCAGTCGCCCCTCTAACCTTGGGGCCCATCATGTGGCTCCCTCAGTCTCTGCATGTCCCTTTGCCCATCCTGTGAGCAGCTCTCACTGTGCTCCTGACTACTGTCACTCTAGGCTCTCGGTCCCATTAAGCTGGGAGCCTGCTCTGAATCTGACTTATTTGCTGTATTTTTTTTCCTCTCCAGGAGAAATCCCTAAGGGCCCTTCCAGGCACTCCAGTCTTGTGACCCTTGCCTTCCAGGAGCCATGCAAGAAGGAAAGCCCTCAGTGGTCTCCCAAACAACTGGAAAGATGGGCCTGTCCCCCTTCTGTGCAGCTCCCTGTCTGCTAAGGAGGATCTGGGCTCTCTGCAGCAGATTCATCCAGAGTCTAGAAGGAGTCAGAGGTGTGTCTTGGTGGCACGGTGGAAAGGCAGAGAGTCTTCCTTTCCTGCATTGATGGAATACAATAACCCAAGGTCTACTCGGCCTAGCACAAAGAAAAAGGAGTAGTTTCTGTTTTTTTAGAGGACTTCGTGACACCGCTTGCTAGCATCTCAGTGGCCTGGCAACTAACTCTAGCTTGACTATATCTTCAGCACCTGCCTTCAAGTGGTCAACTCAGGGGAAATCAGACCTTGCTTCCTAGGAATAGGGCACATGACCCGACATGTGCTCCCCACATGAAACACTCAACAGGAGTCTCTTGCTTCTGAAATAAATGACAATTCTGCGATGCCAGCACAGCTCACAGACCTGCACCAATCTGGGTGGCTTGGCTGCTCACAGTCAGGCTGGCCTCAATCTCTGCCACTGCTCCTGAGGTGTGGAGTCCACCTGGAGAAATGTGCTGTCCTGGTGCCATCTCCTATTTTGTCTCTCACCTCTTATTTCAATCTTCTACGGTATCAAAGGGCATTGGCTCCAGAGTCAACATGATCCTACTGTCATCCTAACTTCCTTCTGGGAAATTGTGGACTAGTGGTGAGACAAGCCCATTGAAAGTCTTGTGTGAAGCAAACCAGTGTTTATAGTTACATGGCACCTGTGAGGCTTGGTAGTGCTCAAGCCCAGCCAGTCTTCAATGCACTGCAGATTGTGTGTGTGTATACATGTATGATCGATATTTATTTATATGACTGCAGTGTTATGCGGAAGGCCAGCATACCTGGTCCGAAGGGTCAAGGAGAGGAAATAGAACTACCCTACTGATGGCTGTGGAAACAAAAGTGTATAGAGAATAAAAATGTCTTCACCTATGTTTGCTTTGAATTTCTGTATTCGGCTGGGAGCATAAGAAAGAAAGATAGGGGCTGGAGCAATAACACAGTGGGTAGGGCATTTGCCTTGCATGTGGCCAACCCGGGTTCGATTCCCTGCATCCCATATGGTCCCCTAAGTACTGCAGGGATAATTCCTGAGTGCAGAGCCAGAAGTAACCCCTGTGCATCGCCAGGTGTGACCCAAACAGCAAAAAAGAAAAAGAAAAGAAAAGAAAGATAAACTGTTACTAAGAAGTTTAAAGTCTAGTATTTGAAGTCTGCATGAGAGGGTGAATTTTTCCCCCATATCATTTTACAGTATATTCCCTATACAAATTTAAGCCTGTAAATATTAAATTTGGTGTACTTGAGAATTAGCTGTCGGGCCTATAGAAGGTAACTTGCAGGGTTGATCCCAAGAGACTGAATTGTTGCAGGTTTTAGGTTTCATACTATTTACATTAGCAATCCCAGGTGATTCTCATGTAGTTGAGCTGTAGACCACAGTCTCCGTTAACATGATTCTATAAAGTTGAATAAAACTAAAGCATTTTAATTAATATTTAAAAATTGCCATACATGAAAACAAAGATAGATCTAAACTGTCTTTTGAAATGGATGGTAGTTGTGCCCTTTGCCTGTTAGAATGGAAAGAAAGCTGTTAGTACATTACTCCCTATAAAAATTTGGGCCACAGAGATAGTACAGGGGATACTTGACCTGGGTTCTGTCCCTGTCCCCCATATGGTCCCCTGAGTTCTGCCATGAATGATACTTTTTGTTTTAATTTTTTTATTTTAAAAGGTGGTTCACAATATTTGATTACAGTCAGTATTCAAACACCAATCCCACTACCATGACACCTTTCCACCACCAAATTTGGAATGTTTCCATCCCAAACCCCAATCCTTGTCCCAGAGCACAACCAAAATAATGTATTTTGTATTGTGTGTCACAATGTTACTGGGCCCACTGGAGCAAATCGATAAACAATGGGAGGACAGTGACAGTGACAGTGATTGTGTGTTATGGAAAACTGTCTTATGACGTGCATTCGCAGCCTCTCGGTCCAGGAATACGTTCACTTGTTGAACGTGAGGCTCAGCCCGAGCATGTGGGTATAGACTTGAGCATGGTGGCAGTTGGGTTCTGGAGGTTTTTGGCTGCTGGGGCTGGGTCCCTTGGGGCAGAGAGGCTCTCACCCGCTCCCCTCTGGGGTGCCCCAAATGAGACAGCCTGGTGCGGGGTCCAGTGGTATGACTATGGAGGCTATTGTCATGTTGCTCCCTTGGGAGTGGGGGGAAGGGGGGAGCCATGAGTTCTGGACAGTGGCTGATGAGATTATCTGGCATCAGCAGGAGGTGGCTTATGGGCGTGACTCCTGGGTCACCGGAGAATGGAGGGAAATGGGCAGAGGATCTCCACTCCGTTGAGCCGAGTCCAAAGACAGAATGTTCCGCATTACCTGGGTTTTGTCGGACTTCACTCATGAGTGAGGCTCAGGCTGAGGGTGTGGGGAATAGCCTTGAGCGTGCCATGAATGATTCTGAGTAAAAAGAGAAAAGGAAGCCCTAATTACTTTCAGGTGTGGCCCAGAAATAAAAACAATACCAAGTTGACAAGATGAGACCACAAACAGATAGGGATAATAGGACACGGATCTTTGGCTTTTCCTCAGATTTATCAACCTCATTTCTAGAGTTTCACTGATTATGGGAATGGACAAATGGAACATGCAGTATTGAAATATATTATAATGGAAAGATAAAATTTTACATTAAGTTAAAAATTGTTCTCCCCTATGTTAAATCTGATGGCAAGTAATGTTAATAATATTTCACCAAAATTTTTTGTGTTTCATGTTTTCAGATGGAAATAAGGGACTAAGTGAGATGAAGTGGTCACCATGAGAGCAGTTACAAAGCTTTCAGGTTTAAGTGTCAGTCATACAATGATGAAACACCTGTCCCTTCACCAATGCACATTTTCCACCACCAAAACCCCCACTATAACCCCCATTCCACACCCTCCCCCTACCTGTGGGGCAGATGATTTCCACATTACTCTCTCTCCACCTTATTACATTCAATATTTTGACATCAGACCCACCATTATTATTTGGGATTTTATCCCAACACTCATGTGCTGAAAAGGCAACATTAGACAATTTGTTTTCTATTGCTGACTATAGCATATGGAATCTGAAATCTTAATAATTAAATCTGGAGGGATTTCTGCCAAAAGCCTCTGGGTTCCAAGATTTGTTTCTGAGTCTTTGGGATCATGGTTTAAGATGCTTGTTGAGTAGCCAGAGGGCTACAAAGTGGTATTTTTTTTTTTAAAGATAACCTATATAACATCTTCCACAGTTCACACAGTTCGCTTTAATTTTTGCCAGCTCCCATATTCCTTAGCCTTGTTTGAAATATACTTATGTAGAATAAGGGACTCCGCACCAGGCTGTGGGGTGGGTGAGAGACCTCCCCACATCAAGGGACCCAGTTCTGGCAGCCGACCTCCACTATCCAACCACCGCCATGCTCCAGGCCACTTTCTGAACTGCGTGGCAGCAAAGCAGCTGCGGGAAACATTATAAGACACTTCCTATCCATTTTCCACAATTACTACACCACATATGATAGGGTTCAGACAGTAGGTAACAAATCATAAAGAAAAATACATAGATAGATGCCTCTCGGAGAGTCCAGCAAGCTACCGAGAGTACCCCGCCCACATAGGCAGAGCCTGGCAAGCTCCCTGTGGTGTATTCGATATGCCAAATACAGTAATGATAACACGTTTCATTCCCCTGACCCTGAAAGAGCCTCAAATCATTAGGAAAAGACGAGTAAGAAGAGGCCGCTAAAAATCTCAGGGCTGGGAGGAATAGAGACATTGCTGGCGCCCACTTGAGTAATTTGACGATCAACAGGATGACAGTGATACAGTGATGTTGAATAAAATAATATCAAATACAAAATTATTATTAAATATCAATATCAAATCCTATAAATAGCTTTTCTTGTTGTTTGTTTTTTGGGCCACACCCTGCGATGCTCAGGGGCTACTCCTGGCTTTGCACTCAGGAATTACTCCTGGAAGTCCTTAGAGGACTACATGGAATGCCGGGGATTGAACCTGGGACAGCCTCGTGCAAGGCAAACGCCCTCCCCACTGTACTATCGCTCTGGCCCCTAAAATAGCATTTGTCAATGCATTTACTTAAAAGTAGTTTAGGCTGCCTCATAACAGCATAAAATATTGATGTCTAACTTTAAATACTGCCCCAGTACACATAGGGATGCAGTTCTCCACAAGGAGATTAGGTGAAGGCATATGTTAAAGCTGATTGCCTCACTGGGGAAAATGTATGTCAGACATGTAATACATGGAAAAGAAGAAAAGATAGCAAAGTGATGGCAAGTTCAGTTTTATTCTAGAGAGGATTCTGATGCTGCTATTTTGAATGCTATCTTTAATCTACATATCACAATTTGTCATTGACTAATAAGCAATGCTGGGAAATACCAGCATTATTTCAGAGAAATAAAATTGAATTTCTGTGATTTCATTTTATAGGTTGTGCCAAGAAACTCCTGTATAAAATGGCGGAAAAGAAAAGAGACAATGTTTCTTTTGGTGCTATTACTTTCTTTTATTGTGGTAAATTAAGATTGAACCCAACCAGATTCAACACCTCTTGTGAATATTCAATATCTCTTAGTTGAATTATTTTCTGTCAATTACAGTTCTATTCATTTGAATGTTCTTACTTATGATTGATCTTAACTGGTATCAGATTTATATGAAATCAGCTAAGGTAATCAAACCTAGTTTCTGGGTTTGTGTTGCCTAGTTTTCTGGAACTTAATCAAGTATATAAACTTGGCATATAAAATAGCTTTAAATATGTAGAATTATTTTTGAATGGGGGCAACAAGCTGTTGTTCCAAGGCCACCATTTATGATGATTTGGAAATCTTGCTGTTCAAGTGATCGAACAAGACCTCTCTCATGCAATAGGTCTGCCTCCAGACTGGAACCTTACTTTTTTTTGACTCAGACCTATTTTTTATTCTATTTCAATCGCAGAACCAGTCCTACATAAATCACTGAAATGAACCTCTAGGAAGACTATTTTGACTAGCCTCAAATTCACTAGGTTTGCAAGTCGCTAAACTGAATAGACCTGTTTGTTTTTGATTCCACCATCTTGGTCTTGAGTCTCAAGTAACTGATGTTTGCCTCAAAGTTGGGTTTCACTAACATAAAGGGAACTAATGATTATCAACTGGAGTCCTTCAGGATATGAGGTGGGCAAGAGAGAAAGCATTCCTGTGCTCAGGAAAGAGCTGCACTGGAAATAAATCCTTTGCAGACCATCATGAAAATGCACTTTTAATGGGGCTATGGCAAATAATGTTTAATACTGGTGTGTTCTCTGGTCCTGGTGTGGCTGCCCAGATTGAAAACTGACATTTAAGTTACTATAAAGTTATAAATGTTTAATAAATACTTCTGAAACATTAAACAAGAGACTTGAAAGGTAACACAGCAGGTAAGGCACTTGCCTTACTTGCAGGTGACCAGGATTCAATCCCTGGCACCACACATGGGCCCCTGAACACAGAACCAGAAGTAAACCTTTAACATATCTAGTGTAGCTCACCCACTTACTCCCTCCACCCCATCCCCAAGTACCGTTCATTACTACATGGTAGTGAAATAGGACATTTGAACAAAGCACATGGAACTTTAGCATACGTTTTAGATTAGGCTACTCTAGAGAATTTCCACTCCCCAATCTCTAGAGGGGCCTACTTTTCTCTCTGTCCCCACAGCCCATCTGTACTTGGGACTCTTCTCTGCCTCATGCAGCAATGTGCCCTCCTTTTCACTTCCACAAAACCAGTTATAACTCATGTTCTGTGTCTATACCCAGAGTGTACCTGTCACCTCCTTCCCATGCTGATCCACTTGCTTCACCTCCTACATGT